TTTGAGAGAAGCATCAGAGTTCTCAGTCAAAAGTCTGATTTTAAATTGACAATACTGAATAAAAATGTTAGAATTCATAGTAAAATCTGAATCCTGAGTAATTCTTAGTTATTCAGAGTTCTGGAAAAAATCAAAATAATGAGAAAGTAGTTTGAATTCTTACTTTACACTCAGAATTATTGAAAAAAAAATTACTGTTGAGAAAAGGTAATAAAAAGTCAGAGTTATGACATTTATCATAAAATTTTGGAATTCCACTTTTTTTTTTTTTTTTTTTTTTTTTTTACTATAGTGGCCCCTTTCCCTTTAGACTTTTTATGACAATAAAATTGTGATTAATCCTGCTGCTTTACCCAACACAAGTTTTCAGAACAGGATCAGCAAAGATACAAGATACATTGTTTTTTCTACAGCGCTCCAAAATCTAACACAAAATGAAAGTTGCTGACAGCAGCTTTAAGGTCACCTGGAAACAATTTCCACCATGCTAGTTATGTAAATCTGCAGCGATATCCAGATAAATATAAACCATGAGAAACATGTGAACACCCAGCCAAACTCAGCACAAACTTCCCCTGGCTTGTAGCCCTCAAAATACAGTATTGCGTTGTTTGTGTGTATGTACAGTACACAGCTCACTGTAAACACTGATACCCAAACAGCCTGTGTTGCTGTTCCTCTTGCCGTGCATCAAAGAACAGTCTTGTGTCCTCACCAGGCCCAGGCTGCAATTTGGGCTCAAGGCGTGGCCCGGCACCCGTTGGGCTGTGTCCGCCCTGCGTACCAGTAATGACCCCTTCCCTATGGGGAGCGTTTGATCTGGGCTGCCTGTGTGCTTCAGCAGGGCCTATTTCTGGAGCGTGGGGGGGATAAAGGGAGCTTTCAGACTTGGTGCCAATGACCATAATTAAGCAGCTTTAAGGGGTGGCAGTGAGCGCGCTAGCAGGAGCAGAGTTTGTAATTTGGACAGAGGGGGCAGAGTCGCTGTGGCTCATTGGGAGCACAAGGGAGGGTCCGGTGGCACCGAGCGTTGAAACACAAGGGACAGAGTGTGTGAAGGAGATTGTAAAGAGGATGTTAATGACTCGTGTTCATTAGCACCTACCCCTGGAGGGCTGGCTTGACCAGCGGCCTCGGGGTGAAACAGAGAGATCACCAAAGAAGACACACACTGTCGGTCCCGCCCTGACAAGGTGTCATTCAAGGCGACCTCTGAATGCTTCAGGCCCGTGACCGGTCAGCTCAAAGTCCACTGCTAATGGACGCCGGTCACTAAGATCCTTATTCAGAGGCTTCCTCAGACGCCGCTTTTGCTCTGATGAAGCTGTGTGCTGCATTCATGGGATCAGGCCGTCTGCTGAAACACACATTCATAGAGTGCTTGACTGAATTCATTCAGATTTATCTGCTTTGGTGTTAGTCAGATAAGATCCCACTATTTCAAGAACTTCAAATTAACGTAATTACAATTTAGTCAAAATTGTGAAGAGCTGTCAGACCTCAACAAGGTCTGTGTGAGCTTTTCCCAGAAATGCTAAAAGCTGTTTAACTGATATGAGAATTAATTACTGTTTATTTGACCTGCTCATCAAAGGATCTGACTATGAAGTGCCAAATGTAACAGTTGAACAAAATACGCTCAAGAGCATCTTTTCTGCACATTTAGCTGTAGAAATGTTTAAAAAGTGGTGTGAAATTTTCAGTCACTTTTTTTTTAAGATTCTTGAAAAAAAATTTGAATAATGTCACTTGCAATTTTTAAAAATCAAAATGTTTATTCTTGTAAAATCAAAATATTTAATCAAAAGATTCAATAGATTCAATATCAAAATTTTGATATTGAAACTGTAAAGGCAATGTTAAATGTTATGTCCAAATGTTAAATGTTGAACTTTGTTATTAAATGATTTATCAAAATGTTAAATGTAAATGCTAAATTATAGACACTCAATAAAATATTCATGTTGGTTTTCAGATCTAAATGTTAAATCCAAATTTAAATGTTAAATATTTCATTTAAGTGTTTAAAGCTCCTATAAGGAACTTTTTTTTACTTCTATGACATAGCTTAAAAATCACATTTATGCTTCTTCATGATATCCAAAAAACAAAAAAGACCATCAGCACAAGACTGACAGTTTGTTTATCCTTATTTTTAATTCCTAAAATTGGTGCCAGAGGTTAGGTGTCAGCCAAGCAGCTAAAAAAAAGCAGCCCTGTTTTACAACTGCAGTATGAGATATTGACATTAAATGATACATTTGACTGCCGGAAGTTGGTAGAAGAACATGTTTTGGCCAAGGACTCACTTTAAACATGTAAAGGATAAGACAAGTAGACATTACTTTGTCCACAGGGGGGCGCCAAAGTTGATACAACCTGAAAGTTCCTCACAGGAGCTTTAATATTAAAATATAATCTCAAATAGAAAACAAATTATACTTTTTTCTCATTTCTGTCTTTTTCCAGAGTAATGTACTCATGCCTTTATTTTTCTGAAAGACTGTCTGCAGAAATGAACAGAATTTTGTTTGTCTGCTTTAATTAAACTCCATAATCTGTGAAACAATGTTCTAATTCACAGACCTGAATGTCAGGAATTTTCATCTCAGCCTTAAACACGCTGAGTATTTGTCCTCATGAAAACTGTTGACTCACCTTTATTCAGCTTTTATTTTGAAGGGGCACAAATCATCCTTATCCCGCTGTTAAGCACACACATTTATCTAACATCTCAAACAGATGTCAGGTGGTAATTACTGTCTCTCGTGGCTGAGCAGTGGTCTTAGGTGAGCCTTAACCTGCACCAGGCCGTGACCCCTCTTATTGTAATGAGAGCTGATCCAGGTGCTGCTCTGTCTCCTTTAACACGTCTCAGACACAATGGGAAGACTGGTTTGAACTTTGACATATTACAGTGGGAGAAGCTGCAAAATATCTGCAAGACCTTAACAACATTAAGACCTGTCCTTTTATTGACATTCATTAATTGTTTTAATCTTTATACTTGTCTAAAATATGCATGTTTGTTTTTCTGTTTCATCTTTTTAAGGTAAGACTTTTCAAGATTACTTCTTTTGCAGCCCAAAGACACAGGTTTTTGTAGTGTATATAGACATTGGACCAATATTTTTGAATTGGTGTGTGTGGTAATGAGTAAAGTATGGAGGCTCATAATGGACGATTCAAGATTTGTATATAAATTTAAATGATAAGGGCCACAGCTGATTTGACTGACAGGTGGATGATTTTCAGTTGATCGAAACCTAGGTCGAGTGAGCTCTTCCAGTATGGCAACCATCACCACTGGGCTTCAAACCTCTCTACAGACACCGGTGGAGGACATCCAAGCAGCAACCTCCAGACTTAGGAAATGCAGTAGCTGTGGAGGTGCCCCAAGAGCCCATTGAGGCTGGCTGCAGAAGGACCAGAAAGCCACAAAAAAAAAGCCGATCTAGAATAAAAGTGAACACATTTACAGTCTAGTTCTTGTCTCAATAGCTCAAGGCTCCTTTAGCACCCACTGTACGAGGAGTTCATATGTTTGAAACCCATTCCTTTAGAAGTTATTCAAGTTACAAGATTGGCGAATCAGAGGCACAGCTGACTTGACTGACAGGCGGGCACACTGCAGCTATTTGCAAAGAGGCTAAAGACCCGCCTCTGGAAGGTTGACTGAAAGTGAGTTTGATTCAGCCTTACCAATATGGCTTTAAAACTGCCTCAGAAACAAATGAGTTATGTCACTGACACTCTGTCCAGTTGTTTTACATTCCGTCACTTACAGTCATCTAAATAGACGGTGATTGAAGATGCTACACATCTGCATCAAACCTGCACATTGCTGAACGCAGGAACACAGTTTAAAACAGACTATTTTTTACTGGTGCAAAGGGAATACAAAGTTTATGGTATTTCAAATCTTTTTAGTTTATGTGGTATGCTGTCAGGAAATCACAGTGTACATAAAGGTGTGGATGTCTGTCTTCTTTGGGCTTCTGTACTTTTTAGCTCTAGTTTATTTGTGATTTATTTGACTCCTTGGATTTGCCTGATAGTTAATTCACTTTTCAAGTTGTCTGCTTTGATCATCCCCTTGAATTTATTGGAGAACCCTTACAAAAACACCCCTTCATAATACATCTCTACTTTGAAACAACAGCCAGTTTTTGCACATTTTAAAATAAATCTTGTGGGGTTTTTTTTATGTCTTATTCAAAATATCACCTCTTTCTCACACATTTTTAACTCCCCAGCGAAAAAACACTCTTGCCAAGTTTCCACAGAAAGTTTTATGTTCTGGCGATTTTCTCAGACATCTCACGGTCTGAAGAAGTTGCTCGAAGGACCTCTCTTGCCAATTTGAAACGTCCCAGCAATTCTCCTCACATTCATTGGATAATAACACAGAAACACAAATGGGAGTCTCTGAGGTAGGAGTCCTCATCTAGCACATCCAGCCTTCCCATCGTGCCTCACCGTGCTTCATTCAGACGGTTTACCGACGCATGGGGCTTTTGGGTAGGATCCATGTGGCCACCCCCCTGGAGAAAGGCGTGTAGTTGCTCCATGCAACCGCTGGGTTTGTAACTTGACACCTGGCCGTGCGGTGCATTTGCCATCGCTTTACCCACAGAAAGCCCATTTAAAAAGGAAAGGGATGAGACCAGCGCTCCTGACTCCGTAACCCCCCTTCCAAAAAGGAGCCTCAGCTTTCTGTCCGGGCTGCGCGTCCCTCACTCTGGATCGGCATAAATGAATGAAACACCGGGGAATATCGACAGACAATCGCACAGGAAAACTCTCTGTGAAAGCAGCAGCTTGCCAGAAGGAATTTATGTCGGGCTTGACAGGCAAATCAACATGAGTTTTCCCCTCTGGAACTTCAGCTCAAGCTTGTCAAATGTGTAAAACGGCGGCTGGTGTCGTCTGCCCCCTTACGAAGGAGTCACGCTGTGATTAACGGTCAGGTTTTTGACTGCCAGGACAAATGAATACAAATGAATTTAGGCACCCGAAGGAGAGATTGCAGAACCTCTCATCTAGACACAAAGTAAGTACCATTCATTTTGATTTCATTGTTTCTTTGAGGAGAGAGGATGTTGGGGAGGCTGAGGTGTGAGCGCTCACCGGACTTACAATCAAAGGAGCTGTGTGCGTCCATGTGCGTACCTGTGATGTGCCGGCTGGCTGTGGTCCAGCTCACCATGCAGGAGTGCTGTCCACTGGGGACTAGAGAGGCTCTGTACGGGGTCTGTTTGGACCAAGGGGGTCATTTATGTTTCGTTTGACTGAACGAAAACGTACAGAGATGGAGTTAAAGTGTCGAAACGTTTCTTTACGCATGTTTTCTCTTTACATCCGGACAAAGGATCGAAAAAGTCCGTTAAGGAACAAGTGGCGCGGGTCTTTATTCTCAATTTACCAAATTTTCGTGCACTTTTACGCAATTGTGTTCTAGATACAAGATGAATCCACTCTCAGAGCAAACTAGACAGACATTCAGTGATTAATGTTTAGTCTCACGAAAGGTCCAGCAGCATCCACTGCAGCTTTTTGGCTGCATTTAGCGAGGATGCTTTCCATGTTTTCCCCCTTTGCGCACAGCCACATTTACGCACGGTGAACAGGACATTTATTTCCTTAGCCTTGTCAGGTAGACTAGTTTCCAACTTATGAGGAAATGTTATTAAAAGTTACTTAGCTCAAACTATTACATAAGCTTTTGCAATATTTTCCTCGAGAGCTTCCACTTATCCATTTATTTGTAAAAACATCTGCTGCTGACATGAGTTTCACTGTTCTGTGACATAAACTGCAGATGTTTTATGCATGTGTTTACTGCGAACATTTCTACAGACAGTGAAAAACACATCAGGTTATTAAATTGACCGAATATTTGTTCCTGGCTTGGCTGAAGTGCAGATGTTTTTTTTTTTTCTCCCAAGGACAGCTGGGACAGAATACGCGTAAAGGAGTAGGCATCCATTGATTCATTTCCTGCCATTTAAGGAAGAATTTTATAGATCCTGGAGGGAATTCGGACTTCATTTTAAACATTACAAGTTTCAAAAGAAAATTGTTTGGGTTTATTGTGTGGTGACCACCTGGTATGGTTAATAGATAAGTGAGCGGTGAAGTAGTGTAGGAAGGTTGCTTTTACGCACCGTCACCTGGTTTCCCCATTGAGACAAGATTCCCAGATTGAATTAGCTGTAAGAGTCACGCGTGTCAGGATGGTTTTTAGAACCGTGGCAGTCTAAAATACAAGTTTCTGTGCACAATAGTCAAGTTTTGGAGCAGGAATGGACGATATGAAATGCATTTAACTTGTGCGTAAATTAGTAAGTTAGGTGAAAAGACGGTGTACCTGTGAGGTATTTGCTGCAGGCAGCGTCAATCACCTTTTGGCCACTTGGTGGCGCTCTTTAAGTCCTATTCCAGACGTTTTATATGCCAATTTTTTGGCAACTGGTATGTTTATTTTGACACTCTCTCCTTGCCCCCCTAAAAAACATCTTTGGATCAATTTTTGATGTGCACAACAGAAACTTAATGTCCAACATTTTTGCTCCAAATAATTTAAGCAGCAGCTAAATCCACTAAGTGAGTCATCAGAAATAGCCCATCAATTCCACTCTATATCTGCCCTTGTGAATTTAAAGTTACATAAAAAGACAGAAAATTTTTAATGGGCCACGGGAAAGTTTATATTTGTTGCAGAGAATGGATGATGGACATGTTGGAGGTGTGCTGGTCTTAAAACCAGTCAGATCCTCATCAGGCTCTCCTGGTGTCAGCTCATGCAGAGGAATTTTCCACTGTGTGTGTAGGTGTGGGTGTTTCTGTGTGAGTGTGAGTGTGTGTTCATGGGGCTTAGGCTCACCTTTGGGAGATCCTCTAAGGAAATCATTCAGAAGCCTGAACCTGGGAAAAGAAAGGGAAATGGCATCTAGGAGTTTTTTTCCCTTCTCTTTTTGGGGGTCAAAATAGGTCTGGATAAGCTGACCTACAAGTGGACTGCTGTGGGAAGAAAGAGGAGTAATGATGGTCTAGGGGGTCGAGAGGTTAAAATCAGAGCTAAGATGTACATAAAAGAGGCAGAAACTGGAGAAAACTCAACAGAGAATATGAGACAAATCTGTCAGTTTGCATGTGTAGATTTCTGCTACTGATTACAAAATGTGGCAATAGATATCTCCGAGTGCCAATCATGACTAAAGAAAGATGCTATCAGCTGCACAGATCTGCTTTCTTCCCTTTGCTTTCCATGAAATGTGAGTTCAGCGGCTCACAGCCCAACTTATAGGTTAGACTGTCTGGTTTTAGTGGATGACTTAAGAGGAGGTATTGTTCATCTGGCCTGTTTTTTGTCGACTCAGCTTGGCCAAAACCTCCCTCAGGGAGTCATGTCAGAGCTCACTGCTGGAGTATGAAAACCACACCAGACGGGGTCAGTGTCCAACTGTCAGCTCCATTGGTTTAAATGCTCACCGTGCAGAAATCTACCTCAAATGCTCCACAGGAATCAACGCACCAAATGAGAAAAGTAACAAGAATCTAAACAAGCTACTGAGGGCTTTTAATGTGAAAAACCAGATAAAACGAGCGCCGTTTCCTCAGTAACGTGGTCTAGTTCGCACGGATGTAAACAGCCTAAGGGGCAGATTGAGAGTCAGTAAAACATGTTGGCATTCATGACTCATTTTCGGAAAGCAGATCCCTCTTCAGCTGATAAGACAATGAATGAGAGTGTAACCAGCTGTTAGTCTGGGATGCACACACTCACACTCACACTCACACTCACACAAAACCACACACAAACTTAAAGTTAAGCATCCTGGGTAACCACAAGCAGCTGTGTGTGGGGTTGATTGTGATGAGGCTTTATTAGCGACCCAGAACTGGGAAGAGAAGCAGACACAGACACCCAAAACACACAATCACACACTTAGATATGTACACACACATCCTGATTATGATCATTCAGACTTGTGGGCGAAGCAGCCAGTGGTTAGCGCGGCATGCTTTGGCAGAAGTCTAAAAAACAGAGACACAGACGCATTTTTTGCCTGTAATAGTGAAGGTAAACAAGTTTCTGCAGCGTCTTTCCCACATTTATGTATCTGGAGCTGTCGGCCCACGCCCCCCTCCTGTCTGCCTGCTCCACTCAGCCACAGCTGCTTTACACATTTCCTCCTCCAATCTGTGTGTGTGTGTGTGTGTGTGTGTGTGTGTGTGTGTGTGTGTGTGTGTGTGTGTGTGTGTGTGTGTGTGTGTGTGTGTGTGTGTTTGTGTGTGTGTGCGTGTGTGTGTGACCATGTGTGTCTGGATGACCTCCAGTGGTAAACAGTGGCTGCCCTGCCTGTCACCAGATCTCAGTCCCCTGCTGAGCTCTCAGTCCACACGCCAATCAGTCTCTTACCTCTGCTGCACACCTGGATGTGCTGCTGAGGGAGGCAGGACATGTGTGTGTGTGTGTGTGTGTGTGTGTGTGTGTGTGTGTGTGTGTGTGTGTGTGTGTGGGCGTACGCATGTTGGTTTTGGGCAGAGAGTTGATGGATAGGTCCACTGTAGTATTTCTGTCTTACAAACCACAACTTGAAGCGGTCCCTCTGTGTGTGTGTGTGTGTCTGTGTGTGTTTTGGAGAGGAGTGCTTGCTCTTCCCTTGCTGAGTTGTAAGTGCTTTTGCAGAATCATTTTCTCATTTGTTTGTCACGGGGTATCAGAGGCCCAAATTCAAAGCATATGGGTTTGTTTGCACTCAATGTTGCACAAAACATCATCATCATCCTTGTTATCCTACATTTTGACCCTGCAGAAAACCTCATAACCCGACTTCAGATTTAGAGAGAATGAAGAGAAAACTGAGTAACCCATGAACCTTGAGTGATCCCAAAGAGTTGTACAATCATGAATTTCAGAGAGTTCACTCATTGGCTGTACAAAAGATGGATGACATGTCTCTACTTCCTCCCACTGTACAAAAATGAAGCCAAAATACTCTGTATAGACTCTGATTTATTTAGCATATTCTGGTATTTTGAGTCATACAGTTAGTACAGCCCCAGCTCTGATGTCCTGCTTCGTTCTTTGCTAACTAAAACACACATTTAGTCTAGTTTATGTCAAAGAGCTTTAGTGTCTTACTCCTGTTTTTGAAGTTTCTGACCCCTGTTCTCAGAGCCTCATTTGTCAGTCTCATTTGTGAATCCCCTTGTTAAACTATCAATAATTAATTATTGCTGGGGTTTAATCAGCATGATAAAAACTAACTATGACAAAATCCTGCATGAGAAAAGTTTATTTAATTTGTATTTTGATTTTAAAGTTTGACCCATTTCCCATCTATTTACATGGATAGGGCGGAGTTTATGACCTATGTTTTAATATGTTTTGGTTGTCTCGCAACTTTTCAAAAAAGTCTTTGGTAAACCCCAGCTGATTTGATTAGTCCTAGTGGTTACTTTCAGAGTTGAAAAATTGAGTTAAAGTGGCAAAACTGTAGTTCCTTTAGTGTCCACTTGGGGCTGGCTCCAACACCAACAGGACACAATTAAGTCCTATGTTAAAGTGCCTGTTTCTTCAGCAGAGTTAATAATGTTTGGAGCAGTAATAGAGCATATATTTCCATAATTTATAAGAAATACCAGAAGATAATGCATGTTTTGTGCCAGCCTCACCTGCTCCTCTTTCACCTGTATCTTGGTTGACCAAAAGTTTCATTAAGTCAGCTTTTACAATATGACAACCAATGGGTGATGCTGCTGAGACTGTGTCCATGTTTTATAGTGTTTATGAATTTGTCCCAACCTGTCAACCTCAAATTTCACCTCATGCTTTATATATTAAAGCTTTTGTCACAGCTGAGGGGTTGAAAATAAAAAAAGATTGTTTTAAAGTAAAACTTTCCTCCGTGTTACCTCCCTCTAACTCTCTCTCTTCTCCTCCCCCAGGAGAGCCCTCTTGCTCTGTACAGTTTTATATTGTACGTGTTACCTGGGACTTACACAAGTACACTCTGAAGGTAAGACCTCTCTCACTTTCTCACCTTTTTACTTACTCATTGAAAATTGAACACATGGAAAGTAAAAAAAATCTGTAAAGCTTGCAGCATTACTCAATGGGGGGATTTTGGAGTTATTCTTTGCCTGTTTGGTCATTGCCCAAGCACGTAAACACATTGCTATGAGAATTGGGCCAGTCGTTACCATGACAACGAGTGTTGAGAAAGCAGCTGAGTGAGCAAGGGAGTGATCAAACCATAGATCCAAAGACCAAAGCAGAGAGAATTTACTCAAAAAACACAGCTTGAATGACTGATCCTACAGTGTGAGTGAAGCTGTTAAAAGCAATGAACCTCCAGGGAGTTAGCACCTGAATCTGCAGCTCTTTTAAAAGTTATGGAGCTTTCTAGCGTTAGCTTATTATTTACCTGTCTGGCGCACAGTTTTTCTGATTTAGTTCACTCTCACTGCTCTTCAAGTGTTGTTTTTCACTGGAGTTGACAGCTGTTTTTCAGCTAAAGAGCCCTCAAAGCAACTAAAGGCTACCTGCTAATTAGCAAGAGCCAGACAGACATAGTTAGTGAGTAGCTGGTAAACATAGCAGAGCATTTAGCTACTAAAGAGCAAGATTACCTTCAGCTGTAGGTAGAGAGAGAGAGCAAAAAAAGGCTCAAGTAGACTTAGGTATATGAGAAAGACTATAAAAAAGTTTAACAGTATGATACTGTTGCTTCATGCTGGATGTAAAGGCTATAAGAGTTAGCTACCAAGCAGGCCATATCATATCAAACAGGTGACAAGATGCCAAAATATCGCTTACAGCAAGATTTTTGGGAAGATGCATGAAGCTACATAATAAAAAAGTAGATAAAAACACAATCTGATAGTTCCTGTCTCTAGTGGCGTGTTTTATTGTCCACGGACAGTAGCCAGATTGGACGAAACTCTACCCTCTTCCTACGCAGCTTGGCCGTTCAGAAATGTTTGTGTGCGGTTTATGATTATTTAAGCTGATTTTTGTACCATCTGGTGTTTTCCTCTCTAGCTACAGTCCAGTGAATTGGCCTCTTCTCTTCTTTAGTCGCTGTGATTGAGACTGACAGGGCAAAGGGTTCAATGAGCCTCGACCCGCAGTTGCTGAAAGTGATGGCAGACAAAGCCAAACATTATCTCAGTTAGTTACAACAAGGCTGACACCGATTTTTCAGTTTCATTTATTCTGTTTCTGAGTCTTTTCATTAGACAGGGGATATAGCTTGTTCCTTTCCATAGGATATAAACATGAAATTCATATTAGACAACAGTTTGAGTGTCATGTCAAGGAAATGGCATCAGACTGTGCACAACTAGAGCCACTGTGGTCTTTCTTCATGTCTCTTGTCAGCTGTTGTATCGTGTCTATCTTTTACAACATCTGTGAAAGCATAAAATCTCCTTTTGGAGGCGCTTCGAAACTAAAACAATCAAATTATTTCTGGTGTTATTATTGGAATTGAACAGGGTACTTTTGGGTCAGATAAGGCTTCTTGTCCTGCCGGTATCCAGGCCCCCAAAAAACATTGGGTATAAATGTTAATTTTAAGTCAAAAATGTGTAGCAAAGAGAGAAGAATTGTGAGAAAATCATCGAGTCGGCCTCAACACAGATACTCTCAGCCAAATCCTTTTTGATCTTTTTCCGTTTTAATCGAGACGTTGTTGTCTGTTTGTGTGTAACGGGGGTTGATTTTAACATCAAAGTCTGTTTGCAGTCCTGTGGCCTGTTTGCGGCTTTGATGACTACAGGTCTGAAAATGATCCGGTGGTGTGGGTAGGTCTCTTCGTGAAATCTGGAACCATCTTAAGCCAAATCTCTGACCAGACTGCTGAGGATTTAGTTGCACTGTGAGTCCAGTGGGCGCCAGGTTTTGATGAGAAATGATCATGTACTTCTTCTGCTGACTAGTCTGATAGGACGCTCCAATACTCTTTTTGAGACTTGCATTAATCGCTGGCGAAAAACAGTGAAATTCACAGGGTCATTGTTGAGAGAGCAGGCTCAGAGGTGACCAAATGATGGTCCTAAGTACTCTTCTGCAACACAAACACACTAAATGGCAGTTTTACTCCAATTTTCCTTGTCAGAGACTTTTGAGTTCACGATAAATTGATGTTTATTGCCAGCAAAAACAAACAATAAAGTATGTAACCCATGTTCGGTATGACTTTGAATTGCCAAAAGAAACTGTTACATGAAGAAGACAGGGAAGGGTCCTGCTTTACGGCTTTACAGCTCATTTTCACTTACGGATGCATATAGTGTCTGTACATCCATAAAGTACAATGCAAGGAAGCGAAAACCATAAAGTTTTCCTAAAGCTGTGGAGAAGAGGCTAATTTTGTGTGATAACTGATAAATCTGACAGCATTTCATACCAATAAAGATATTAAATAACGTTGACCGTATTTTAGCAGAATGGCATTACTTTGGCTACGTTCATACTGCAGGTTATGATGCACAATTCAGATTTTTTGTTAAATCCAATTTTTTTGTGTAGTCTTTCACATTACAACAACGAATGCGGCATCTAATGTGAATGGAATGCGTCCATGAAATGACCCGCATGCGCACAAAGCACAAATTGCTTTCCGCGCCTGTTTGTGTTATCGAACAATGGTGACGTTTGTCACATATTGATGATGTATAGGTCGGATTAACGCGCCTGAGCGTCCACACTGAAGTCACATTGGATACATATCCGATTTATATCCACATACAAAAGAGGCCTGAGTCTGATTTGAAAAAAATCAGAATTGCACTGTTCACACTTACATGATATATGTCACATATGGTTAAAAAATCAGAATTGACCTGCAGTGTGGATATAGCCTTAGACTCACAATGCATTCTTGTCTATCATAAACAAATTTGACAATCAACTTAAAGCAACCAAGATGAAAATAATCGCTTCTTTAATTGCAAAGAGGAATTTTTCGCTTCTTTACAATCATACGAGTTCACTAGATTGTCAAATTGGGAATGGAGTTGAAGCTCAGCAAGCACATTGTCCAATGGTCTCTCCAAAATCCATCCCAAAAGTTTAAAATGTCATAACAAACTGAAAGAAGACTACAGGCCAAAAGGTTACTAAAGGACGCCTACTGGACTGTCCTGGTCACCTTAAAGCACTGCTATAATAGTGCTCCTGGTTTGAATCTGGCCATGGGTCTTAGCTGAAAGTCTTTCAAACCTGAACCAGGCCTGCTTACACCTCTGTTTGATATCACTAAAGAGCAGATACAAGAAAACGATTGCACACACAGAAAGAAAATAGTAAAATAGTTTTTTTTTTGTCACTCTTTGGTCATAATTACAAAAAACAGGCACAAATTGTAGTTCAATATTGTGGGAAGACATGCAAAGTACTGCAGTTGGGACCATTTTTCCACCCAGACATATCTTAAATGGCCCACTGTAGATTTGCTTGGCCAGCCAAAGAGGAACTTTTTGAGTTTGTTCAACTGAATCAAGTGACTTCATCCTCTATGAGGGATAACATTACAGAGAGTCAAGCCTTGGACTCTCTCTCTCTGTCCTACTTGAATGACTTGGCACAGAGCAAGGCTCTGAACTGCAGCCATGTGTTCAACACAAGTCTATGAGTGTGTGTGTTCACATCCATACATTGTGCTGTATATCTAAAACCACATGGTTAATGTATGCACCAGTAATAATACAAGTGGTGTTTAAATAAAGACGTTTGGAGTCAGGAGTCTATGCACAGAAAAGATACATGTAATGCAGCTCCTGCTTCACTGCCAAGCACTGTTGTCCTTTACAACAGAGGAGACCACACAGGAGAGAGGAGAGGAGAGTTCACTGTGTGGACGCCGGGTATACATGAACACTACACCCCATGGCGGTCTTGTTTCCTTTGACAATTTTATAAAGCCCCAATGTTTTGAGGGTCTTACAGCCTCATACAGAACATGGAAAGACCATAAAGATCCACCTATAGAAGAGCTGGGTCTACAGTTGCATTACAGTACATTTACTGTACAGAAGGTGCAGTGCGCTGTAAAGTCAGGTTTCACATTTGTTCAGATCTGCTTTGAATCAATCGAACCCAATAAATCCTGACAGCAGTGATTAGTGAAATTTATATTTGACATGATACATGTGAGAACTTCTTCTGTGTAAAGCGTTTGACTTCTGAGCTGCTGCCTCCCTCAGGTCTAATTCCTCGACAACCACTGGCTCAACCACAATCAAATTCATGCTTAAGACTGTTTTTTCTCCAAAACTTTCCATGCAATTACATATTTCTGATGTCTGAGCCCCCTGTCAGCCGCTTAATGAAGCGAGCCTCTTATTATACAAAGACAAGCGTCTCATTGAAATCCTTGCTTTCTATGGATTACCAGGGCAGCTACTGTCAGGTCATCCCATCTATCTTTCTCCTCGTCTTTTTTCCCTTTTTGTCATGTCATCAACTTTGCTCATCCACTTTTTATCTTTTAACAAGCAGAGCCTCTATACACATGTCCCCATTAGGCAAGGCTGGGTGACCACAGGTCAGAGTGAGCCCACTGACAATGAAGATGATGAGGGGCCTGGTCACAGGTCTGAGATCACAGGTCATATAGAGAATGAAACTCTGAACAGAGAGTCAAAGCTGGCTGAAAGGCTGGAAACTGTACCCTGCCTCCAAGCCCAGAGATGCTCTGTACCCACCCGCTTGTGGTTTCTGTGGTCATGTTGTGGATTTTACAAACTGACTGTTTTGATGAGAAACACAGAGAACATAAGGAAGAAAGAAACGTTCCCTCGCGATCAAAATTTAGAACCTGCAAAATGCATCTTTTACAAGTACTTTAACTTTAACTACAGCAAATATTCAGGTGTACTAAGTGGCATTAAAATGACACAAACATGTGAACAAATCATTCCCTTATACAGGAGTTTGTTCGCCAGGTGGCTACCAGAGAGGATTAGGTGTTTCAGCCTGATTGAGTGTTCCTGGTACCAGCTGCTCCCTTCACAATTACCTCTGCCAGTCATCATGTTTCCATCCAGCACAGTTTGAACACAGAAAACAAAGTCTTTCCTGCTCATGCCTCAAATAACTGCTGTGATGAAGGAGATGTACTCGGCTGCAGAGTCTTTTCAGACGGTCTGGAAACAACACAGTGAAGAAGTGATGGCATATTTCCTGCTTTTTATCCCTGTTGCAAGCAGAATTTGATACTCATGACTGTATGATATAGGATAAAAAATAAAAAGAAGTCAAATATTTGTAGTGTTTTTGCAGCATAGACAAACCACATTGGTAAATCTAATAGAAAAGTTCACATTTGATTTGTTTTTTTGCTTCATTTATACCAAGAATTCAGGAAAGTTTACGGGGTTCGTATTTAGCCCTTTTGCAGCATGGCACTGTCCAGAACAAAACCCATGAAACACATGACCCGAACTCATTAAAGGCACAATAAGGTGCAGGAATGGCATCCCTCTTGGCATGGTGCAGTTTTAACCTCCATTTGTGGATGCAGTGACAAACTGTTTTCACAGACACTTGTTTTTAGATGTGATTTTGGGCCCATGCAGTGACTTCTACTACAGAGTCTTGTGTGTTTTTAAATGCAGAACTACTTGTGGACCTACAGATCATGGCCATCCATTGTGCAGAGATTTCTCAAGTTTCTCTGACTCTTTTAATGATGTTACAGTTAATTAAATCCATAGTTTTTACGCTGAGAAACAAGATTTTGAAATTGTTGAACCACCTACTCACAGAGTCTCTTACACAGTGCTGAATTTCTGCCTCTCTGGCCGTATCACTAACATTTTGCTGGCATCAAATTTCAAAATGAGCAGATCAATTTTGCATAATCATGAACAATTTTTCAGTGTAAACACTGATACTCTATGTTTGGCACTAGTTTGACTTAAATAGTGTGTTTAAATAATTTCATATCAACATTTAACACTGTGTCAAAACTTTTCTTGAATCAGGGTTGTACACATGGAACCACGGTGCTTTGGTTTAGTCTCCAAACCTCAAATTATTCTCGCTACCCTTTGGAGCTGTTTCAGTCTGACCACATTAGGGATATTACATGTCAGGGTGCACTGCTCCTTTATGAGTTGCTGGCCTGTTTAGCAATAAACATGCTATATTCAGAGGCTATTTGTTGTGGGCACTCTTTTAACTGTTTTATGCTTTACCACAGTCATATGTTTAAATAATACCACATCTTGCCACACTGGAGAGGGTAAAAACCACTGACATTCGAGACGACGACAACCACAGCACCACAGCAGCATCGAACTACTCAGAAAGCATCAACTGACCAACCAAGATACCTCTACAACTCATCATTAGATTTATGCCAGTCCGAATCATATTATTTTGGCCTAAAATTGCAGAAGACAGCCTAAAGAAGAGGTTATGCGGACTGGAAAACTAATGGAGTTTATAAGTCTTTGTGTCCAGGTCCATTACTATTCCCCATCTCTTTACCCTGCAGTGCTTGAGCTCGATTACTTGGCTGAAAGATCAGGAAGTTATTGGACATTTGGCTCATAAGTCAGTGTAGTCAATCCAAATGCCACTGGCAAAGATAGCTGTAATATTTTTCTGCGCCTTACTTGCTTCAGGAAGAGTAGATTCTCAAGCAGAGCCCAGTCTGCTCAGTTGATAAATTAAAGACATTCAGCAGTTCCTCTTTCCTCCATATCACTGCAAATGTACACAACTGATTGCTTAAAAGGCTGTGTGAGTGGCTGTTACAACTCTGCAAAAACTGGGGCTGTAACTCTAATGACTTAATTGGTGTTTTATTTGGGGATATCATATTTTAGGCCCACGCAATTATAAAAGTAGAAGTAGGTACGGCAAACAAAAAACAGTCAGGATTAGAAAGAAGTCTGGAGAGTCAGAAACACAAAAATACCCCTGATGTGAACTAACTGCACTGGTGTATGACCTCCATTACTAAGCCCGTCACAGTCATTTACTTCTCTAACAACACTCTCATTTTTTACAGATGTGGACATCCTCCAAAAGTTGGGGCTCAAGGGAGAGAAACCGTCACGCTCGGTGCCAACAGGGGTCATTCCATTCAGATCCGGGATCATCCTTAACCAGCGGGCGCACGTTGAAACTCCATTGCGCTCAATCTTCCCAGTGGCCATCTGGTCCAATCTGGCACTGGTCCTGAGTGTGCGCTCACACCGTGTCAACAGTGCTTTCCTCTTCACCCTGCTTTCAGGCCGCAAGAAGCTCCTTCTTGGTCTGCAGCTTACCCCGGGCAATCTGGTCCTTCACACTGGACCTAACACTTCTGTGGCGCTGCCCTATGAGCCCCATGATGGTCAGTGGCACCAGCTGGCGGTGGGAATTAATGGACAGAGAGTGACTCTATATGCCTCCTGCGGAGAGCAGAGTGTTCATGCAGACTTTGGGTGGGACAGTGAGGAGGGACTGGCCCCAGAGCTCCAGGGCTCCTTCCTGCTGGGGCGGTCAAGCCAGCAGCAAGCCTCAGCACACTTTGAAGGAGCCATCTGCCAGTTTGACCTGGTCCCTTCTGCACAGGCAGCTCACAACTACTGCAGGTACATTAAGAAACAGTGCAGGGAAGCCGACACTTATAGGCCTAACCTTTCCCCCTTGTTGCCTATCCTACCCAGAGAAAGAAATGTCACAGCTACCGCCGCTACCACTAAACGTGGTGGTCTGGTGACAGCCAGAAAACCCACAGGGCTGAGCCTTGCCAGGAGTGTTGCTGCTGCTGCCTCGGCTGTGAGATATGTGGCCCCCACTCAAACAACAAAGCCGGGTTCTGAGGCCATTCCTACACCTCTGCTGGCAACTGTAATGCCAGTCACAGTCCAGCTTGGTTTGGCATCCCCACCACCCAATGTGAGGACTGAAACTGTCACAGCACCACTCAGGACTAGAATTTCCCCTACAAAACCACCAACCCCCAAACCCTTCACCTCTAAGGCGTCTAATCAGAAACCCCTGAAACCCTCTCCCTCAAAGCCAACTTCTAATAACACCTCCAAAAAGACGATTGCAGGAACAGACAACAAGAAGAAACCAACCACCCCAGCCACTACCAACACTAAACCGACCAAGACGAAGCCTGACTCCACCTTATCAGACCAAGGTGCCACCCCAAAGACCCAAAAACCACAACCTACCACAGCCAAGAAAACAACTCCTAAGCCTAAAGTTACACCCCCCAAAGCCACTCTGTCCAAGCCTAAAGTAAACCCTGTCAAAGTTGTCCCATCTAAACCATCAATACCCAAGGCCAACCCTTCAAAACCTACCATCTCCAAAACTTCAACTGCTAAAACCACCAAGCTGGTCTCCAAACAGGTCATCAAACCAACAAAGCAATCCAAAACTACCAAGTCTACAGTCACACAAAGACCAACTAGACCTTCGTACAATCCAGTAACACCACCTGCTACTGATAGCTTTGTGAGCTGGGAGGTGCCACCAACCCAATTCTCCCTCTTGGACACACCAGTTGGACAGAAAGGAGAAGATGGACCACAGGTGAGAATGTCTTGTCTTTGGGTTGGTTGGTGATTGTGTTTCTGTTCGACCCGTATCTGTCTGTGTAAGATGTAAGATTCAACATCCAGAAACCTTGAAGGACTAAGATCGACCTGATTGTGCCCGCTTTTTCTTGACTGTTTGGGTTGACTGTCATCATCGTAAAATTGTCTTTCTTCAAATGCAAAAGTATGTGAACACAACAAAAATGTGATATAAACATTGAATATCAGCTGTCTACTGGCTTGCTCTTTAATTATTGGCACCTCCTATTGGAAAAAGGATACTGGTCAACCACTACATAATTAGCTGCATTAGCAACATCTCAAAGTGAGCTATGACCTTTGAAAGACCAGCTTTGAATCCGGTGCTCTAGGGCCTGGAAAAATGAGCCCACAGAGATACCTGGCATAATGTGGCTACTATCCCCTTCCCCACTCAGGTTAGAAATCCTACTTTTTCTCCCGCCCTTTCCTCTGTGCACTGTATCCTCCAGGCTGGGTGTGACGTGTCAGGTCTGACGCCTTGCCGTCTCAGCACAAGATTCCTCTCTCATGGAGGGCTGGTGGAGGTCTCATGGCCCTCTTTCAAAGCCAGGTCAAGGGTCAGAGCAGTCAGTAAACAACATCCTTAAGGCGCAAGGTAGTCCAGGCACAAAGCAAACCTCTAAGAGCGCAAAAAATGAGACGTGAAGGGCCCTTTTCTGCATTTCCAGATTTTCACATTTTCCTACTTAGCATTAGAGTGCATTTTAATTGCTTCTTGATGGATGAATGGAGATTAAATTACTCCACGAAAGGCCTCATAGTTGAGTGAATTACTTTTTAACTTCTTGGTAGCAAATTTGGTGTTTAGGATTGTGTCCGAGTTGCTCTGTGTTACCAAATAAACTCAGCGCTCAGAAGCTTTCTAATGTTTTCAGTTAATCATGATTGTCTGTGCAGTTCCTTGGCTTTAAATGTCGCCTGAGTAATCAGACCTCAGAGTCTCTTAAGCCCGTTCTGGGTGTGTTTGCTCTTTTATTCAAAGCTTCCCCTGTGTTTGAGTCATTTCAGTGTAATGTGTGTGCTGGCCCTGTTTGTTTGATACGTGTGCTTTGCTTAGTCTTTGTAGTGGTCTGTAATTTGCTGCTGCAGATTGCAGAGTGTGGCGTGTCAAGGGTTGGCTAATTTACATCCACACTGATGTCCCCCCCAGACCTGACTGTCATTACAGAGAGCCAAATTACTGCCATTTAGGAAGGACTACCTGCAATCTCAATATGGAGTGCTGTAATCTCAGACAGAAAAATATCCTTGAGGGATGATTTATGGAGGTTATGAGGTCATTTATTTGAGGACTGTCTGACACATTTAGATGCAGGTACAAAGCTAAGGCTGAAAGTTCAGGCAGTTGAACCAATCAGAGAGCAGAGCTTTGAAGACTAAACTGCTCCAAGCAGAAAAAAAACTGAACATTTAAATCTGAAAATGCTCAACTTTAGGTTGCATTTTTCTAAAACTGGTGTTTCTTGTCTGGATTTTTCCTCAAATTTGGAATTTTAGATGATCACATCTTTAAACTCACATAGCAAGTGTTTACTTTGAGAAAATACCAGATTAAACAGCCGTTTCTGTGAAAGCATGTGCGGTTGCATGCATGCTTGGCTGCATGTGACAACGTCTTTGTTGCCATGATGTGCCTCAGGAGATCCCAGCTGAACCCAGTCAGGCTCCCTTGTCAACATAGTTCCAATTTCATAAACACACATGCCATGCGTATAGTATCTCTTACTCCTTCAGTTTTACCCCCAAAGACACAATTTTTCTTTAATATACACACACTTTGACAAATATGAACATCAGAGGCCAATGAAAAGCATCAGTTGAGGTTTCAGCCAAATGCCTTTTCATTCATCACTCCTGCTGCTCAAGGCATTCAAAGTTTTTAACTGAAACACATAACAAGACCATGATTTGGACTTGTGTTTCCACTCTGTAGATCCTGTTCTGTAGCTGCCAGGAGAAACATCCTGTGCAGGCACAGATATGGCAACAGTTCCTGATCTGGAGCGCCTCTGGCTCCTCAGCACTGCTGTGAAAATGTCTTCTTTTAAGCTCTGTTTCACCACACACCTGAATGTTATTCATGTGCTCTGAATTTGATGAGATTCCTGGAAAATACAGTTTAAGTTTGTCTATTGGATTACATTTTAATTTGAGTTGTGGCAGCTGCAGTTTTAAATCAAATTTCATCCTGAACTGACTTCTTTCAAAACCAGACTTCTGTAGTCCGTTAAACTGGACCTGCAAGCTGTCTGAGGTCGAAAAGTTTGCCAAAATAATAAACTTTTTTTGTCATTTCATGTGACATTACATTAAAAAAAAGTTTACAGAGAATTAAAAATATGAAATATTCTTTCTTGTGACCTACAAAAGCAAACCAGACTGTCAACGATAGGATGAAAAGATTAGATGTTGTGACCGTCAAAGTCTGCAGCTGCTGTAAAGGGATAAAAACTGATAAATTAGACACAATTTTATGCTTCTGTAAGCTTGCGTGATTGTGTAAACATGGTTTTTAAGATAGAGTTACACAGTTGCATAAAACATAAACTTTGCTGAACTCATTGGTCACAAATCTGCAGAACTTGAATCTGTAGAAACTGCCTTTTTCACGGTTTTCTTGTACTAATATTCACAGTGAGGGGGACATTTAAAATCAACACAAGCAGAAAGTTCCTTAGAGGAGCTTAACGTAGGTTATAAATCTCTAAAATGGGACTTAAAATGCTCCGACAGAAACTGGAACAACATAACTCAGATTTGTTCCCCAGGTGATATGCAAAATGCCCTAACTTTCTCTTGGGCACAGTCAGCCCCCTGTAACTAAAAACAGCCCTCGCCATCAGACTGTGTTTGAAATGTGGTGGTTAAAAAATGCATACTGATGTGGAAACTTCATGGGACTCCTCCATCCTTGGCGAAAGAGCAGTCAACAAACCGTTTCTCTCAGACAGAAGGAAATAGGTTAAAGACCAACAGGTGCAAAGAGAGGAAAGAGAGCGGGAATAAACAAACAAACAAACAAACAAACAAGTGTAAGGACAGGAGGAGGGCTGGAGCACACAGGGGGCGGATGTGTGAGGATGGATGGGAGGGTGTGTTGGTGTTGACAGGTCTTTAAGGCCACCACAGGGCACACCACCTGTAACAATGGGGGTGGTCTCAAGCATGTAGGTCTGAATGAATGGAGATAGTGGGGAGCAAATTGCAGAAAGAGTTAGCTTCCAGCAGGTAGCCGCTATAATCGCTATAACCTTTAGACTTAAAGCTTTAATGTGTGTTTACAAGAGGATTAGAGCTGTTTTAAAGGCACATGTGCTTTATGTCTTATGGCTCGGTTAAAAGTTAGACAGGGAAATTACAGGAAAGGTATGAATTTCACAAGAAAGGATTAATTTGACTGTCAAAAATAGTCAGTTCAATTCTTTGAGAACTGTGGTAACCGATGTCTGGAGTTTTGGAGGTGAAATGTTGTGCCTGATAGAAAATTCAGCTGTTCAACATCTGAAATCTCCAAATTTTTTCATAATTTTACACTGAGAAAGATAACTCTGAGGACACTGAAATTTGCTCATGCAGTGCTGAATCTCATCCTGCATACTGTCAACAATAAATCGTGTCACTTATTATGAATATCGTAGACAGAAGTTTTTACAACAGCGCTGTTTCCTCAGCTTTCCTACTGACTCCCCCTCGCAGGCATTAAAAATTACAGTGTAAAAACTGTCAGTTTTATTGCTGATGGTCTCATTTGCTTTGTACCTCATAAAAAAAGCGTCAGTATGAATTTCACCCAATTTCATAAACCTCAAAAAGACTTTAAATGATTTACAAGCCATCAACTTCTGTTTTCATTAACATTTTGCAAAGCGTTCCAACTTCTTGGGTTGTTATAAAACTACTTTAATGCATTTACAGTTACAAAAGCATTACAAAAATGCCACATGTAGACTGTAACTCCCATTTACATGAGGATCCTGAGGCCTGCAGGTAGCTCTTGTTGGCCACCAGCCCTCTGTTTTCCTTCACTCTCCTTTTCCCCTTTTTTGATTAAAAGAAAACGAAAGAGCACAAGGCTGATAAAGCCACACAGCAGGCAGCGAGTGGCGCAAGGAAATGACCTGTTATTTTTAGTTTTTCTACGGTTTCCTGCTGCACACTCTCAGAGCTTCCTGATGGATAACGCTGAACTCTGATCACCTCAAAATGGAATTGCATTTGCACTTTTTATGCAAATCCAGCTTGTGGAAACACATAAAGAAGATTTTAATAACCTGAGGGTTTGGATTAGAGAGTTTAATAAGATGATGAGACTGCATCATTGACTGAATACTCTTTCTGTCTCTCTCCAGGGACTGCCAGGACCTCCAGGGAAACCGGGCCTGCCAGGCAAGAGGGGTCCTCGGGTATGTGTACTCTGTCACTCTCAAACACCTCCAGCTTAACAAACACACTTCTAGTCGAGTCATTTAGAAGTAACTCAATCTGGCGTTTTAATGAGCTGTCTTCATTTAGCATTACCGGTGGTTTTCTGTCTGCGTGCGTGTGTGTTTGTTTGTGTTTTTTTGCTACTGCTGCTGACGTACATGTTGACTGAAAGCTCAAACACAAACAGGCTGTAAATAACCCTTTGGCTGGGAGGTGACTCAAAAGAAATAGACAGACAGATAGAGACAGAGGAGACTGTATCTGTGCTTTCCAGCCCAGGAGGCAGAGTCTTGCTCCTTTTTTTTGTACAGTTACAATAATAACCTGCCAAACCCGGCTCCCACATCAGTTTAAATCCCTCCCATCACCCAGCTGACACACACACATACACACACACACACACACACATTTACGCACACACAAAGTTTTCCTATGCAGGCAGATTGACCATATTCAGCACAGGGCTGCGAGCGCTGACCTCCCACCCCTCAGCATAAACAGGAAAGCTCCTATAAAGACGGCCTTTCAAAAGCCTGCCTGTGCCACAGGATGCCTAATAAAAGCACTGTAAACAGACAGGGAACACATGGCTCCACTGGACTTTCTTCTCCTCATTGAGCTTTTGCAGCGGACTGCAGCGACACTTCATAGGAATCCCATTCTGGACTAATGAAAGGCCTCTTTCTCCAAGGCAGTTAAACAGATATGGTCTCGTTCCTGGCTCTGTCTTCCTCTTTGTGGAATTCTCTTGTACTTCCTCTGTTTCTCTTAGACTGGCATGTTTTTGTGGCTCAAAGTCAGCAAATGGTCCCTGAAAACCTCCCCAAACTACCTGACGAATCACTCCTAAAGTTTGTACAAAGTTTTGTTAAGCAATAAGTTTTATTTGGTGGTATATCACCTCACCCTTCCACTTATGCATGTGGAGTACCATAGCCTTAGGCAGGCAGAGCACATCTCCCCTCTGTTTCATAAGCATGCATAAAAGCCAAAGCAGGGAGATCAGCAGCAAAACCCAGACACCGGGGACAGTATGATACTGATTTAATCAGACAGCTTAAGAAGGAGGAGCAGGGGTGGAGTGGTGGAGGAAAGTTGCAGAGTTTAGGCAGGATAAAGCATTTCAAATAAAATAAATAACATTTGCCGAATTAGATAGATGCTCATGAGAATCATCATGAGAAATTTTGCAGAAAGATTCGCGTTTTCTTCAGGGTCCCTAACCCTAACCCTTTATTTCATCCATACTTCTGCTTAACTATCAGTATTATTGATTTGTTCAAAGCTCCTGTAGGGAGTTTTTTTACGTTTATGAGAAACTAATTCATATTTTTGTCTTTTTATGATATATAAAAGTAAACAAAACCATCAGCAACAACATTCATGATTCGCGTATCATATTTCCAACACCTGAAAGCGATACAAGAGGGTAGGTGTCAGCCAAGCAGCTGAAGAAACGCCTCTGTTTCTACATTTGTTATATCAAATATTCACAATTAATTATTAATTTTGCTTTCCAAAGTCAGAATGAGGAGTTGTTGTTTTTTTTTGTCAGAGGACACAAGTTAAGCATATTTTGGGCAACATGATCAAAGACAGGTGGCGCCAATTGAAAATTCCTCACAAGAGCTTTACTCTTGACCTTTAAAGGTGAAGTTTCCCATCAGCCTGAGCTGTTGTTGTTACAATTTTCTAGCAAATGTTAGCATGCTAACCCACAAACCAATGTGGTTGGAATCCTACCTTTTTTAAAACCATAGACTGCATTAACATGGATGTATGGACCTGTTGGTGTCTGAGTTTTGAAACCCAAAGATGGAGGCAGTAGAGGTGTAGCTAAGGCCGGTTCTTAGTCTGATTTTTCACATTGTGATTGGCTGTATGTTTGAGAGTTTGTTGCATTAGTCCTTATAAAATAACACTACCAAAGAGTCGTTCAGTTCAGCCAATTAAATCACTGTTATGTGCCAAAATGACAGTAAATGGTTGACATCCTCATACATGCAGTTCTGTGTGGATGTTTGTACTTGAACAGTTGAAGGTTTTTCAAACCATTACTCACTGTTAGTGTCTGAGAGGCTCTTAAGCTAAACTCTCTATGATCCCCCTCTACTATATATGTATAAGGAGGTCTTTGTCTGGCTCTAATTAAAGCTATTTAAGCCCCAGCAGCAACTCCCAAACCATCTCAAGTAACAGTTCCACAACATCAGCCCCACTTAGGTGGATTTCTAATGATCCAAATCAATCTTAGTAGAAATAAAACTTTAATTGGGCTGTACAAATGTGGTCAAGCCAAGTATTATATAAGAATACCAATGAGTGGAACTATTTTTGCGGGGCCAAGTTGCAGCTTTTCTCAAGAGATATGGCAAATTTAACTCCACAGTCCTGGGCAGAATTGGTCTTTTCAAGCAACACAAATGCCTGTAATAATCGAAAGAAGATTATTAGGTACAAGTTTCGCAGTAGAATAATTCCCCATGCCGCGGTTACAGCTTGGACAGGATTGGACTTGGAGTCTAGACTTTAACTTGTGCTTGGTGGAGCCCCTTGTCTCTCTCAAACCTCATCCATCAGCAGTATGTTTCCACCAATCACCTCTCGCTGATTTACATCCTGGCAGCTCAGACGTGTCTTTTGTCAGCCGCACAAACCAGCTGTTGAACAGCCTGTGGCATTGTCAGTGGAAGTGGTCAGTTTGCACTGCGCAAACAATGAAAACAAGCCTCTTCAATAAAAAAGCACTTGTAAAGGTCTTTGGTTTTGATGCCTCTTTAACAGGGGTCACTTGCAAACATGCCGCCAGTGTCTGACTCTGACCTCACCGTCATTTTTTGCAACACACACACACACACACACACACACACAAGTGCACCCATGCTACAGCGCTGATCCCACGCTGTGCCGCACAGACATATGTGGTTGTGTTTATGACCTGCCTATATAAAGAGTGAGACAGATTATGGTGCTTTCCTGTAAACAAAAGCATTTATCAAGTTTAATTGCTTGCTGCCATGTGTGTGCAAACACTAAGCGCCATATACACATACTTTAACACTTCCAAACATGCACTCACAAACATATGTTGTCCAAATTCTCGCCTCTCGGCCCGTTAAGAATGTGGTTTCAATTTAGGAAAGAAAATCTCTTAAAATAATTAGCTCCAAATCATCTGGATTCACACTACAGGTCACCTTTTGCATACCATGATTTCATCACGGCGGTGATCCTTTTAAGTGGAAAACCAAATTCCCGTCACAGAGAGAGGCTGTTTGCATTTTTTTTTTCTACCTGACCCTGTGTAGCCGTGGATTACTAGAAGTCTGCATGATGCCACACAGAGCACCATTGAGCCCTGTAAGCACCACCCATGAACCTTGACCCCTGATCCCACACATATGAGTGTGAGACGCCGTCACTATAGCAACCACTGCCAGTACAGAAGCCTTTGCTAGGTGTCCGTGAATAGTCCTGGTGAGCTGTTCTTTTTAGGATGACGGTGGTAGGGTGGTGTGAGAGGAAATGTGCGCTGGATGCATCGAGGGCACACAGGCCTTTATCTCTCTGAAGACTGGCGGCGTGTATTCGTCTGGAGCCTGCTGGGTCAAAAGGGTCTTTGTCTGAGGGAAGAAAATCTCTGTCGCCCATCTTTCCTCATACCTCCCCTCCTTTTTCCCCACCTTGCTTCACCTGGACGTAAAGCTAATTCAAATTCCAGATGAGCGTTTGGAAAGCTTCAGCTGTAAAGGACTCTAAAATGAGCAAAGGTGTTGAGCTCATTGTAGACTGCTTTGGTAGCTCCAACCTTTTAAGGGTCCGTATAATCTCTAGAGTAAACTGTGTGTAAGGATCTCTCCTCTGGAACTTTACTGTAATAAGCTCAGGGACGATAAAAATCACATTCCATACCTCAATTCATTATTTTTGCAGTCCCCTTTTGGCCACTTATTGCCACTTTCACTACCAAGTTTTAAATGTTTGGCATATAAGAAGCGCCAGGTTTCCATCATTACTTTCAGACCTGTCACGACAATTATGAGCTAATACAGTTATTGTTATTAACTCCCAAATAATACTTGGATTACTTATGATTTCCCTTTTTGAAAATCAGGTCACAGCATGAGGTATTTAGCTCTCAAACAAACATCAGCTTTTGAAGCCAGTAATTTCATTGGCTTTTTCCCCAGAGAGGCTTAATTCATTTGCCTTTCCTGCTTTTGTAATTAAATCATTTTACTGTAACTCATACGGCAACAGAATGCAAGGTCAGTGCTTTTCACTCTGCAATGGCAAGGTGTGCTTTTTAGACTCCACAAGCAGGTGATAGACCATATTCCCACAGTGGCCGTCTTCTTGCGACATCACGCTCAGGGAAGGATAATGGAGAATCACTGTATCCAGATATGCATCTGGATAATCAGACAAACTGTGGTAATTTCCTGCAACCACAAAGACAATAGATAGTGAGAGCAAGGAGAGGGATTGAACATACTTCAGGTTCAAGCTCCCATAAGGAGCTTTCTGTCTGTGTTGACTTTGGTGCTCCCAGTGGACAAAGTGTGCGGCAGTAGCTCAGGAGGTAGAGCGGTCGTCCAATAACTGGAAGGTTGGCAGTTCAATTCCCCCCAATCCCGACTCTGTCCGTTGTGTCCTTGGGCAGGCCACTTAACCCATCTTGCTCCCAGTGTGTGTCCTCCACTGGCGTATGAATGTGAGTGTTGTGTGTTGGTCGGAGAGACCGAAGGCGCAAACTGGTAGCCATGTTTCCGTCAGTCTGCTCCAGGGCAGCTGTGACCACTACAGTAGTTTACCACCACCAAGGTGTGATTGTGTGAGCGAATGAATGATATATCCAATGTAAAGTGCTTTGAGGGTCTCTGATAAAGTGCTATATGAAATCTGATGCATTAATTATTTAAGTGGTAACCCTTGTTGCATTACATGACAAAAAACTCCTCCTGTTGTGTTTTTACAATGAAATTTCTCACTCACAATAGGTGTTTGATTTAAGTAACTAAGGCTGTTTCTCCAACATACCGACCCCCTCACAGCATAAGGGTTCATATCTGTCTCATTTATAGCCTCTTGAAAACTCAAGAAACTCGCGAGAAATGACCCCTATAAACTAGCAACAGGACATTGAAGCAGAGCAACACTCTCCAATATAATAAGGCAAAAAAGAGGAACAAAATTGCTAAACTCAAGTGTTTTATTTATTAGATATAGACAGACAAATAGCAGTTTGAGTTTCCCATGAGTTTTCCACCCTCTGCGTGACATCACAAAAAGGTGGGCGCCATGGGAATATGGTCTATTATCCTCCTTCATTCCCAAAGGCGAAGTTCCCCGGTGTGTGTGCAGACTGTGATCTTTAATTATGAAGACATCCAGCGGTTTCACATGCTCCTGATCTGATGTTAGTTTATCAGACGTTGCCCCCTCTGCTCTCATTTGGCACAGCATCATACAGGACCTCTTTTATCTTTAATTTAGAGACTGTGTGTACATTTAAACTGCCTTTACAAGCTGGCGTTGAAAGTCAGACTATGTTTACAGCAGAGCCCATTAAAAAAAAAAAGGGCCTGCTAGAATATTCTGTGTGGGAATATAACCTTGAGAGTGACGTCACATCCAGATTTAGGATCCATGAGCACATGTACATTATTCCTTGGCTTTAAGCTGCACATATGGTAGTGATATAAAATTTGTAGATTCAAGGACAGATATTTATACACCACAAAGTGTCCAGCACGTATGTTTCTAGGACATGAAACATTAGGAGCTATCATTTAATGGATTTTTTCTGAACTTGGAGTCCGAAGCAGCTAGCAGGATTATTACCACAGGAACCACAGTAACGCCCTTCATCGCTGTCAGAGGTTGGTGGTTTTTCATTTGATAGCTCAGCTTGTGCGCGCCCCACCCTGCTCTTCTCTAATTAGACACCTGTTGTGCGAGAGGGGGACACGACATGCAAGCAAGAGCACAGTACCGAATGTGGGTGCCAGTCAGTGCCTACCAGAGTACTGCCCAAGCTGTGGTGAACCACAGGGTTAATTTTGAAGCATGTAATTCAAACATGTCTAGTTTGTTCAAGGTTATTCAGGGCACTACAGCACTGTCTGGGCATAGTACGTCTGCACCAGCTTCAACCAAAAAAGTTTAAAAAAAAAAGAGGGACTAGAGTATACTATGGGAGGAAAGATGCTGTCTCTTTAAAACCTGAGAATCCTTGGAATGAAAATATATCATTTGTAAAACATAACAGCTGAAAAACACATGGACATCTTTTAGTCTTGTGAGGAAATTTTGTTTTCTGCACCTCCCACATAAACCAGATTAAAATAGCAAACTTGGTTTCAATGACTTCTCCCATTATTTTTACCATTGCATCTTGTTTTATGGATCTAGGAGGGACCCTGTTTAGAGGCGGGACGAATAAGACTTCTTTTTGTAACTTGTCTTTGCTGTCTTTCCTCACTGGCCATTTGAGAAAACATTGCTTTGCATTGGCTTAAAGCAAAGGGCATCATCACATCTCATTTAATATTGAATCAAAAATCAAAATCCCTGGGGCAACAATAAATACTATCATATCTTACAGTATGTATGAGGTTGCACCATATTATTTCATTTTGTATGGTATGTTATTGTGTTGTTTCCTGTTGTGTTTTGGTGTATCATGTCCTGTCGAACTGAATTTATCTTATCTTTCTTTCTTATCTTATATCATTTTTTTATCATATCATACTGTAGCATTGCATATCATTCATTTTGAACTTTTGAACTTTTTTGTGTGTATTGGATCTTATCATATGGATAAGAGGCAAAGAGTGCCATATCATATCATATCATATCATATTGTATAATATAAAATCAAATCATATCGTATCGCATCATATCAAATCATATATTATATCATATAATATCATATTGTATCATATCATATAATATAGTATCATATTGTATTATATCATATCACATCCTATCATATCATATCGTATAAAAATTGTATCATTTCAAATTGTATCATATCGTATTGTACCATATCGTATCATATTGTATCATATATATCGTATCATACATCGTATCATTTCATATCATATTGTATCATATCATATTATATCATATCATATCATATCGTATTATATCATATTGTATCATATTGTATTATATCATATCGTATCATATTGTATCGTTTCATATGATATTGTATCATATCTTATTGTACCATATCGTATCATATCGTATTATATTGTATCGTATTGTATCACACCGTATCGTATTATATTGTATCATATCATATAATATAGTATCATATTGTATTATATCATATCACATCCTATCATATCATATCGTATAAAATTGTATCATTTCAAATTGTATCATATCGTATTGTACCATATCGTATCATATTGTATCATATATATCGTATCATACATCGTATCATTTCATATCATATTGTATCATATCATATTTTATCATATCATATCATATCGTATTATATCATATTGTATCATATTGTATTATATCATATCGTATCATATTGTATCGTTTCATATGATATTGTATCATATCTTATTGTACCATATCGTATCATATCGTATCATATCGTATTATATTGTATCGTATTGTATCACACCGTATCGTATTATATTGTATCATATCATATTGTATAATACTTTATAGTATCATATCATATCATATTGTATTACATTGTTTCATTTAATATCAATACACATTATATTTTTGTTTTGTTTGTGTTTTTTGCTGGTTTGCATAAGCTTTTATTTTTAATTTATAGCATAATCACATCTTATTAGAGTGAATCAAAAGACAAAATCTCTCACACAAATAAAGCATATGTTATTGTTTCTTCTCCTAAGATATAGAGTGGTATGATATGGTACTGTATTGTATCGTATCATATTATCTTGCATCATGTAATGTCATACCATGCTGTAACATACCATATAATATCATATAAAGCTATAGCCTGTTGTATGGTGCTGTATCTACATAGAGACAGCTACTACTGCATCTGTTGTACATGACAGTGTTGTATGAACCCTGTTATATCATATTGTATCACATCAGTCATATCCTGTCAGTTCATGGTTTTCCATTAGTGATGACAGGACCTTTATCAGTCCTTAGTAATTTCCTGTTCATTCATGAGAATCTCTGTCTAAAGTGAGTCAGACATGACTGTCATCAAAGCGCCCTCTGACAGGAAAAGCAGCTACAGAAAAAGGCATTATGTTGTCATGTCTGCATCCGACCAGTATGTCTGTTTTTCTACTTTCCTCAAAGAGCTTTTTGTTACGCTGTATAACCCTGCCCAAAACCCCCAGATTGCTTTTTCTTTCCCCCAGTGGGATTATATAGAGAGCTGCTTGTCTGGATGCTGCTTTATGTTGTAGTGGACCAGATCGGTAACAGAAATGTCTCCCTGATTTGTTTTGACTCACCCCAGTCAAACTTACTGACCCGACTCATAAAGCAGTTTTTCCGCCCTCTCTGACTCGCTCGACCCTTGACCTAATACAGGGGTAGGTTAGGGGCCCAAGGGTGCCGCACCACGTGGAGGGCAGCAGTGAGGTCAGAGATCCAAAGGAAAAAGTCACTCAGAGGAAGAGGAGGCGCATGGATAGACAGCAACAACCTTTGTGCTCCTGTCTGCTGTTTCAACTTAAGAGAAATTGGCGTAAAATAATTCTCTGGTTTTTGAAGGTCTTCTGAAAACCGTCCCATGGGGGGCAGCTGGAGACAGTTCATGTTACCAATATGCTGCTACTGTAGATCTCACTTTGTTTGCTTTCACACACAGCAGTATGGACAAAAACACACGCTTTAGGAAGAAGGAATGCACAATGTTTTGATCCGAGGCGATCTGCATTGCTCATTAAGATGCTTGGCAAATGTGTGTTTGTGTGCGGGGGCTTGTTGAGTGCAAGTATGGGGGGCAGGAAAACCACCTCCATATGGTGAAGCAGCCCCACAGAGCCCCCTTTTTTCCATAAGCTGCTTCCCCCAACACCAACCTCAAATACCTCACACACACACACACACACACACACACACACACACACACACACAGCTGATGTATAGGAAAATAGGTTAAAGTAGCATGAAGCCTGAGGTTCTCCAGACAGTCTTTGCCCTCCTTCCCCGCCCCCTATCACCCCTCTGTGGTCTCATTCACAGTAGCAAAGCCGCAGTCTGCCTCAACTTCATCCCAATATGAAGATTGATTGAGATCTTGTTCACCTTTTGATTATGTTTTCCTCTCTCTCTGGCTTTTCCACAGGGCGCCCCTGGTCCCCATGGAAACCCTGGCCGACCTGGTCCACCCGGGCTAAAGGTATCTCACACACTTCTAATCACAAATGACTCTTTATTTTTATCGCCAAAGGTCCGGGAACAGTGAGAGTGTTTCTACTTTCGCTGATTACCTACCTGCCTTTTCTTCTAAATTCAATAACACCCACGTAACCTTATTTGCCCTTTTCGTGACCAAGAATCCCTTACATGTCAAGTTTTTCTTAAATCAGCTGGAATCCATAAAGAGCACTGAGGGTAATGGAGCTTTAAGGCTGAAGATTCAGGGCCATTTCAGTTCACAGCAGCCACACCTGGTTGTTTGAGACACTCAGACTCTTGAGCGGTGAATAATCGAGAGATCTATCACCGTATCACTTTCACATGTGTGCTGCAAAGATGAATGTCAGTATCCCTTTTGACTCTAATTCCATTTTGGTTTCCATATTTTTGTAGATCTGCCCAATTTAAGCTCCAAACCTGCTGTCATGCGTAAATGTTTATGATTTTAAACGGCGTGTACGTCTGAGTGTAAACGTCTTGCATCTCACGCGGAAAGTAAAGGGCAGTTGGAGTTGAAGTGATTTATTAGAGCTCCAGGAAAGGAGGCTACAAGTCTGAAAACGAGAACTTCTAATAAATCTGTCTCACTTTAACGTGTGAACAGGAGTTGACCCTGCTCAAGACAAATTCTCTGATTCTTTGGACTGATTTGTGCCTTAGCAAGCACCCTTAACCTCTGCCACTGTGTGGTCAGAGTACACACTGAAGACTCGTACCTATATAGATGCATTATAAAAATACCTTTGACAAATGTCGACTGTGTACCCTGATCCCCAGAGACCTCGGCTCTCGGAGTCAACCAAAGTGACCGTATTTGTCCTTGTCTCCTTGGAGTGGTTGTATGTTTTTCCTTTTTTATACTCTACCCAGATTTTTAAACCTCTCTCCAGCATTTAGATTTACAATTCGCATTCGATTTTGATTACCCAATCTAATCTTATCTAGTTAATCGTATTGTATCATATTTTTGTATTGTATTGTATTGAGCACCACTCTCTTACATCTGCATTAAAAATGTCAAGGGAAACCCGATATTCCAACTTAGCTTAACAATCCAAAAGGCAAAATCCAAATACAGACACCAGGGGACAAATCACAAAGAACAACTGGGGACACAAGCATACGTTCACACATTGACATACAATGAACCAACAAGGACAGAGGGGAAGACAGGGACTTTATACACACACAGGGAAACGAGCAACAGGTGAGGCAAACGAAACACAGGTGAAACTCATGGGTAATTAACGAAGGACAGAAAACTAGGGAAGTAAAGTCAGACTAGAAACACAAAGGCTGTGTCCGAAATGGATCCCTAACCCCTTTAAAAGCGACTATATGGGGGTTAGCGCCATTTTGCGGGGTGTCTGAAACCTGATTGATCAATTCCAATGCCCCATGTAGGCGACTCAAAACTTCCCATAGATTATTGCAAAATGTATTGACCATCCGATGGTCACTCACCGGTGGTGGGAGGTTTTTTTATCTTCACCTCACTCGCAGGTGATCCGTACAGTTTTCGAAAAACAATTGTTTGCTGCGTCATATAGTCTCATGCACAGTATGACGCAGCAAACAATATTTGGCACGAAAATATAAGGCCTTTTAAATAAATTACAAATTTTTTTATTTTCTTAATTTTTTTATTTCACGAACATCCTGGAAAAACAAATACATCTAAACAACATCATAAAATTCAAGAGATGTGAAAACAACAGCTCAGACACGGCAGTCTGAGCAGTGACATCACAACGGTGCGCCATGTAGTGTCCAAAACCTCCGGTGATTGAGCTCACTACATAGTCAGCTATATAGAGAAACCCCATATGGTGGTTAGGGGTTAGGGATTGAGTGATTCATTTTGGACAAGGCCAAAGACTCAACTACTACAAAATAAAACAGTAAACACTGAAAACAGACATAAAGAGTAAAACATAGAGAAAAGGAAGGAAACAGAGTCAAACACAAATTGTAAACTCACAAGACAGGACGACAGGGAAACACTAGGGAACAGAAACACTAAGAATAAGAAGAACTTTATTATCCAGAAGGGAAATTCAATAGGGAAAATCACTTTGAAAATGCACTCAAATAACAAAACCAGGGAAAACTAAATCAACAGCACATATGACAAGCTTGAAATCAATATCAGAGACCTACAAAAGTAAACAAGACCATCAGTGACAAGACTTGGGACAATGACTGATGGGATTTGGCGCTATAGAGATAAAGATTGATCTATTGAAGATTGATTGAAGACTGACCATTTCTATTGAATAAGTAAATGTCTTTTTTTAACCCTAAACAGTGTCAAATTAAATCATGCCATTAATAAGTTTAAATAGTTTTGTAGTTGCATTTAAGATGACCAATTCGACTCCTGTAAAACCATAATAGGGCCATGAAAAGGTCATCTGATTGTGACTTTCTCTTTAGCACACGAGATTTTCGAGGATTAGATAAGAAGACTAGTGCTGGGTGCAGCATGAATACTCAAAAGAGGGGGAAACATCTGTCCTTATTGTGCCCTAAAGTAACAAATTCACATGGCTCCCCTTTGAGGCCCATATAAGATTTCATTTCTCCACTTTGTCCAAAACCTGATCTATAAAAATGACAGTTTGTATTTTTATCCGGGGTTAAATGTTCGATGATTCTTTGGATGGGAGCGTTGACTTCCTGGAATCTCCTGGAGATCTCAGTCACTGCCAACAACTGAATTATAGTCAGCTTTATGGGTAGCAAATGCACATTATACTAGATTTTGGAAGCGTTTCCTCAAGGCAATCTACATATCATGTTACTGTATAAAAGTCTGCTCCAATTCTAACCAAGGACTTAAGTTTCTTTCTTCAAATAAATCAAATAAAGGACAAACAGGTGTATCCTAAAAAATCTGATGATGATAATAAAAGTAGTTTGTAAAAGTAATATGAGTTGCAACCACAAAAAAACAGGCCAACATGCCAAGTAACAAGTAGATTGTCTGAAACTCTGCCTCACTTAATAACCAGTTTGGGGATTTTCTGGCAGGGTGGTGCAGAGCAGGCTTCCTCTACCTGTCAGGTGTGCTAGGAGGATGATTTTCAGAGTGTTTGATGTCTGGGGGGCACAAGACTATTTCCCTTTTCATCGTTAATAAATGAAACCAAGTTGTAAATAGCAGGGGGCCATGGAGAGAGACAGAGTCAGCACTCAGTGTAATTTCCGATTCATAGCTTTGATGTGCTGAAGTCTCATTATTGTTACCTGCTGACAATGAGGCCTGGTGTGTGTGTGTGACTGGAGGGGGACTGAGCCTAAATAATGCAGCTAAGGAAACCATCTGGACTTTGATTTTATCAGTTCATGGTAACTCGATCCTTTTCACCAATTGAAGCTTCCTATTATCCAGAGTGAGGCCGGCTTTTGTGACCTCTTCCTAAATCCATGTGAAAGAAGTTGGCTGTTTAATTTTGAAGTTATCACGACTCAGTCAAACACTCTTTGAGACCAAACTGCAAATGTAAAATTCTGCTTTGTGTTTTTCTGCTGTGTGTTAGGGGAGAAAAGGAGACCCTGGCATCTCACCTGGGCCAGCACCTAAAGGAGAGAAGGTAATTTACACATCCTTTTTTTCCCCACACTACATCCATTCATAAAAATTCCCTTAAAACAGCTATTTGCTCAGGCAGTAATTTCGCTTATCTGTCTTTTGACGTTGTTGTTTTGCGCTCTCAGGGGGACTCAGGGATTATTGGCCCGCTTGGACTGACTGGACAAGAGGGGAGGAAGGTAAGACAGAGCGAAAACCACATCCAGCCCCTCGAAATTATTCCTTAATGCAGGCCAGCATTGATCGATTGATGTTGTGTGAGCGAACACAGTGCTTACAGCTGCAGACTTAAATGTAAGGCCATTGAAAAAGTTTGGTAAAGTCCAGAAAAGAAGGCTTGCATGAGTCACTGTCACCATTTCCTAATCCCTGTGTTGTTGTGTTACAGTACGCCTGTTGTACTGTAATGTCTGCATGTATCTGCGTGCACGTTTGTGCACAAACCCACTGATCTTCGTAAAGACTCTTGTCTCTTTCTTCTTAATTCTCTCCATCACTCCGTCTCCGCTTGTGCTGTCGTCACCATTTTTTCCATCTGTGTGCTGGATCTAGCTCAGAGGGGTCTTAATGTTGGCAGGAAGGATGTCATGAGGGATGGAGGGGGAAGTTTTTGTCATCAGCGAAACAAGGATAGGGATCATGCACTGAAACAAAGAATTGTAGTGTCAGACGTTACTGAAGTCACAACTTGATTGATTTGCGAGAATTAATGCGGAAATGTGAGCCAGATTCTGGTAGAAGAGGTTGAAACAAGCATATAGGTCTAGAGAAAAGTCTATATCTGGGATGAGTCGACCTGTAGGATTTGGTAAATTCAGGTCAGATCTCATGTCAGTTGGTGTTTACTTGATGATAATAAGATGATACACATGATAGTGACTTCCACTGACGCACTATTAGTCTTATTCTCCATGGGTTGCAGTTTTGAGGGCCTGAATATGCTCCCTTAAAGCGCATGTAATGCTGCATTCGAGTGACCTCGGAAGTCAGATGTTGGAGCTGAAAATGACGTCATACCCGTGTTCACAGCGTTTCAGTTACCAAGTCGGAAAAAAGCAAAATCGGAGGCCAGAAACAAGCTGGCTACGTCTACGAAAGTTATTTTAGCGCTTGCCTTATATTGGGACAAAGCAAGCGCTATAATAACTTTCGTAGATGTAGCCATCTTGTTTCAGCCTCCCATTTTGCTTTTTTCCGACTTGGTAACTGAAACGCTGGGAACTCGGGTGTGACATCACCTGAGCTAAAGCTGTCCTCATGGCAATGCTGCATTCCCAATCAAACAAAAAGTTGGTTTTTTTTAAGGGCTTGAAATACTTGTAGAGTCACCAAACATGGTACACAAGAGCCAGGCGAAGTCATAGATATCATATCCCTAGATGCCTCACGACCCTGCCCAGGATGCGTCAAGACTGCCACCATCTTGAAGCTGTGCTTGTCGACGGTTTTGTGAAGCCTGTGGTTTACCTGAAAACATCATTTGTTTACATTCAACACCACGCTTGCCAGCAGTCACCAGTACCACTCCAAGATGGCGGCAGGTCTTGACATATTGCTGCATTCCAGTTACCTCGGAAGTTGGATGTCGGAGCCAGTTAACAAGTTGGAAAACCAAGATGGACGCCTACCGTTAGTAGTTGTTAGCTGTTGTTTACAATTTTCAAGTGTCGTTAGCCGCTGTCAGTTGTTGTTAGCCGTTGTAAGCAGTTGTTAGTTGTTGTTAGCGATACCAGTAGTAAACAGCGCATAACACAGTATTTTATTCTTACACACACCATAGCACAGTGTTCACAGTTAGACGTTGGGCAGTACAGCATATACCACCTATTTAATTCCACAAAAACAAAACAGAGGTGCTAATAAATAATACATTATGAGAGCTTAGTGCAACCTACTTATGTGCACCAGACAGCTTTAATTTATTGTGAGTTTTAGCTTTTATTTGACTGAGAAGCTTGAGAGAGACAGGAAACGTGAAAAGAGAGACCAAAGTCATTAATAAACAGCTACAATGGTTAGCTGTCACAGTTTAATCAAAGTTAAAATTAAAACTACCATCAGCCAGATCTACACGTCAGGCTAGTAACAGGAGGCAGCTCTACAGCTCGGACACAACATATGACCTGCATTTCAGGCTAACAAGGATAAAAGATAGTTACTATTTGTTTAACGTACTAGGAGCGAAGTTGTCAGGGAAAAGTGGTTAAAGCAACTCTAATACAGGACATGACTTATGCAACTGTCTTAGTGAGTCATTACATGAGCTAAAATAATCTGCTTCACCTTTTCCTAGAAACAATCACATTAAAATGCCCGTCTCCTGGCAGCAAACATCCTTAGAAAATAGCATTATGTAATGAAATGAACTGGACTGGCATTTCTAGCAAAGTAGGAGAGTTAATAGAGCGATTGAGTGTAGCAGGTAGACTGTTTACATTTAAGCAGAGGTGTGAAGTACCCCTGTCTGTATTCGCTATCTTCCCATGAGCCCCAGCGCTCTGTAACAGACTGGAGTTGGACGACTGCCTCCAGCTTAACATATGGCTTTTGTTAGGGGTCTGCCTTCCTCTGTGTATGTCTCTGTGTCCATTTGTATATCTTTGTCTCTCTCTTTCACACACACTCAGAGTGGAAAATGTAAAGGTGGTGGAAAATATTCACAGGGTTCTTTCAGACTTAATGAGTCCTGGCAGTGATTTGACGGCCTATCAGAAAGTTACACCATGACATACAAATCAGAGCTGCAGGTGAGAGAGAGCAACAGCTCAGGAATGACAGCTTATACGATTCTGAGGTTAGCCACAAGTTATTCTTTCGTTCGAAGGTAAGCTCACCTGGCAGGGAAGGACCTGTACGCCCCACATAGAGTAAGATGAGCTGAGCTGGTGAAGCCCTAGGAAACACTGCTGCTGCTTGTTAGGAGCCAGAATTGACCGTATTCACACAGGAAGGCTGATTTTTCACTCAGAGTGGAAAGCTAAAAGGGTTTCTCAGCAACTGAAAGAAAAGTGACCATTTAGTTTTGGATATCATGGTAAAATATCAGAGTTTTTATTTTAAATAACTGACAAAAGCAACAGTCATATTATCTGATCAAAGCAAGCCCTTGCTTTCGGAGGGGAGCATGTAGGCTGTAAACACAACACGTTTAATCAGATCAAAGTTAATCTGATATGTGCGAAACTTTAATGTCTTGCACTGTGAAATCGTACGTAATGAGTTACAAATTGATGAATAAATAATCATTGTCACTACCCACCTGTTCATGCCCCTGCACTAGAGATTATAAAATTCTCTGACTTTGCATTTTATTTATTTAAGTTGATTTTAGTTTCAATTACATAATTTATTATATATCATTTTTTATTTTATTTTATAATTTGACTTGATTTAATTTGATTTTTTTTTCATTTCTTTCATTACTTTATTTTATTGTTATATTTCATCTTTACATTATATTTCAATTTAATTCTTTTATTTTTTGTTTATTTCATTATAATATTTTTTCAAATTCTATTTATTTTATTTTTGGATTATAAGTGTACTTGTTTTATTTGATCGCATTATATTTGATCTCATTTTGTTTTAATTTTCTCATTTTATTGGTTATTTTATTATTATATTTCATCTAATCTAACTTATTTTATTATATCTAAATTTAGATTTTTTATTGGTTTATTCTACTTATAGCCTATATTACATTTTATTTTAGCTTATTTTATTCTAATTTTATATCTTTTTTTAGTTTAGTGTAACATTTTGTCGTATTTGAATTTATTTTCTGTTGTTTTTTAATTTTTTTATTTATTTTACCAGACATTTAATGGTCTTGGGTTTTTTCAGTCTCTTAATTCGGGCAAAAATATGATAACGAAAGCAGAAACTCATCCTATTACACAGAGTAAACTTGTGCAATAGAAAAAGCTTTAAAGCGCAGTTTTACTCCAACCTGAAAGAATGATCATATCAAGTGCTTACAAGGCAAATTATCCATGCATCAGTACAAAGTATACCAGGCTGTTATTCAGAGTGTGAGCGGCCCATGTGAACAGCTATAGTCTGTTAAGTCGCTCATCAATCACAGAGCAGTAAGATTACAGCTTTTTGAGAGATTCCCCACATTCATAAAACCTGGAACAAAGTAGTATAAAGTTATGACAATGTAGAGGTTCAGTGTGACTTCAGAGGAAAATGGCTGCTGTGTGAAAATGGTTAATGACAGATCCTCGTTTATGGGAAACTGTTACCATGGCGAGTCCATCAACACACACTCTGTCATCATCCCAGCATGCCTCAGGTTTTACTCAGTGAACCACAGGCACGATGACTGTAAAGGAAACTTGTGAAATTAGCCACAAGGAGTCAGCTTTCTTTCCGTACACAAACATAAAGACACTTCTTAACTCAAGCGTTAAACAATGCACAATAAACTCTCTTCACACTGTTGATGCTGCGTGTCTACACACTGTACCTTTAATGATAGAGGTGTTAGTCAGTGTCCAGTCAGTCGCTCAGACTGTCTAGAAACAGGTTTCGTTTTGTTCTGTGTCTCTTCAGCCGGCTCAGGTGGAAAGTTTAAGGTGTGTCCAGTCCTAACGTCTGTCTCTTCACAGACACTTGCTGTGAGGCCAATGCAATATTAAAAATCAATGGTGGTTTTCTCTGCAGTTAAATCCCAGTGGTAGGCCACCCTGAATCTCCCATGTGCTGCTTCTTCCTCCTCATGCCTCTCGCTTTGTCTCGCTTGCTTGGCTCTGAACTCTGCGGTTTAGGAAAACGGGACAACGGCAGCTTTTTCTCTGTTTTCTTCTTTATTTTTTTTTCCTTCCATCGACTTATTCACATGAAAACACACAAACACACACACGCACAGGTTTCTATACTCGCTGACTCTTAATCAGCCTTAGCTTGACACTTCAGTCGGGAATTCTGGAATTTGGCCGCTGGTTTTCCATGGAAAACCTTAATGGGGAAAGCAGTGGCGCTTTGAACGTGCGATGGAAGAGTGTGATTTTACACCGACAGACAAGCCAAGCATGTTCCGCTCTGCACAACATTTGTTCTACCAAGCCGAGTCTGAATGGCTTTTCAATATGGCAGGCGAGGTCAGGGAGAGGGGACTCGCTCGGGGCCAAACCTCAACTACAAGGCCACATAACAGAACAAGCCACACTTCTCACCTTTCTGTCTATTTTATGCTTTCTTCTCTGTCTCTCCCCTCTGTTAGATGATATTCTTCTTCTCCTCTTAATGTTAGCCTTTTTGCACATCTGTCTTTCACGCTGTGTCTGGTTTTCCTCCTTAAAAGCCAAAAAAATGTGCAGTAGTACAACTATTATCAGGATTGATACCAGATCTTGAGAAAGAAATGCGCTGGCCTGGCTTGTGTTGGGTTTTTGGGTGCAGACATCAATTTGCGTGTGTGTATAAGGTCATGTTTGTTAATAGGGATGTGAAGGTACCTTGCACAGATGCTATATCTTCATATTGGAGTGTCACTATAGCTCAATTCATAGTTCTCCTAAAAAAGCCCATCCAGTTAAAAGGAGGTAAAATGATTTGAGGCGATTACCAGCAGGTGTTTGACAGTTTAAATCATTTTCTTCTCCTTCATTTATGTAGGACATAAGTCTATCTGAAGCTCCCACAGACATGATCCAAAACTCTTTTTCCTCATTTAGCCCACTGTTCAAACTAACAACTCCACATGCTCATCATTACTGTAATTGGGAAACTTCAAATCAACCATCATCTCTTTGCATTTTTCCCAAACCAGACGACAAATCAGCGCTCTTCTTCCCTTTAACATTCAGTCGAGAGTGAAGAGCAGGCAAAGATGAGATGAGGGATGTTTTTCCAACGTGTAGATTACAACCAAAATTGTCCGGCTGGGTTGTTTGTTTCGTGAGTCCCTGCCAGACTTCCGTGTGGAGGGTTTATGTCGTGCTGTACATGCAGCGCATGCATGGAGCCAGACGATGGCTCGGAGCGATCATCTGGCTTCGCTCTGTAGAGGGGATTTGGATTGTGAGAGGTGGAGAGATGAAAGCGGAGATTAATGAGGTGACTGGTATATTTCTGCTACCAGTGGAGGCAGACTGCAAAACCCACATATCTGTCACTTGTGGTGTTCGGTTGTTAACAGACACGAGGCGGCGCTCATTTGAACACCCACAAAGTCAAGTGTGTGCAGAGCGACGTGTCATCGGCAAACACAATGTGTCTTTTATTTTGTTTCAGCCGAAATGGGCTTAAATCTCCCCTGGGCCATGCCTTGGCTTAGAAGGATTGGGAACGGGAGGAAAAATACTCTCAGGGTGCTACCGGGGAGCTGTTTTAAATGAAAAGCACTCTGGTGGGTTTATCTGATTGAACACACATGCTCGTTAAGCAAGTGGCACTGTGAACACAGGCCGCACAGTGGAAATGGCAACTCTCATTAGTGAGTTCATAATGAGTTAGATAAGGATCAGAGATGGTCTAACAGAGGTTGAGAGGCTGCGGCTAATGCCCAGGAACCATAGAATGTGTATCTGTGAGTATGCAAGTGTATGTAGAAGTTGAGGACCAAGTGAGCTATGTTTGTGTGTTCATATTTCTGCCTGTCTTTGTTTGCATGTTTGTAATAAACCGTATAAAACCTGTCTGTCAGTTATGTATCCACTGGGTTAGTAATGGGAAGAACAGTTCTTTATACTGTACTGAATCTTTAGAATCCGGTCATTAAAATGATTCGTTCAAAAGATTCGCTCACTGAATCAGCCAGTGCTTGAGATCCCCATCCTGCCGGGTGCAGTGACACAGCGGCACTGATCGGGAGTTCATTCATTAAACGAGCCCCTCCCCTCCCCTGCTGCTGAAGTCACAGCGTCGTTTACTGGGTGACACATGTCGTTCATTCACCAAGTCGTGAAGGAGGAATCTCTCCCCTGCCCTGAAAAACTCACTTCTCTGTGTGCGGCTGATGTTCGATAGTGAAACAACACAGTAGCAAGCAGCACGCCCGCTAAATGAGCGCAAGTCGTCTTTCTTTTACATTGTGGAAAAGTTGAGCGATTAAAAATAAATACACAATAACGTGAACGATGCTACACACCTCCCTCCTCTGCCTGTCTCAAGTCATTCAGAAGTTGTTTGTTTCCTTCACAGTCTGACTGATACGTGTCGTTCATTCGCTGTGAGCAAATCACGAGACTCCGCCCACCCTGTGGCTGGCTGTGTGTCATTCGCCAAAGAGTCAGAGGCGGCAGTTCCACTCCCGGCCGGCATGCCACGCTCACAGCTGAGCTCAACTGGACTGAGAGGGGAACGAATCAAGTCTTGGAGTGATTCCATTCACGTCGTTCACTCAGCATTTCTGTTCTTTTGAACGAATCGTTCATGAAAGACACAACACTACACTGGGTTACCTAAGAGGGAAATCGTGCAGAGCTATATTTAAAAAATCAAAATTAAAACTGATTAATCACCCAGTCTGTTTTTAGCACATATGCATTCAATACTACATTTTGCCACTTTACTTACATATGCATGTTTCATTGCATGCAGTGACATCTGTCAAGTGGAGGAGCAAATGGAAAAAAACGAATCAGCACGTGGACATCCCTGTTAAGACACATTCAGGCAGGGTTTGGAAAACGCAAATTCATCAACACGTTATAATAACAGCCCAACAGGCACCGTTAGAAAGGAAATTTTTGAAAGGTCAGACACGGGCGCCATGTGTCTCCAAGCGCATGCATCTCTGCCCTCTTCATAACACTGCTTACCAATAGAGCTTTCATAAAATTATGGAAAACACTCTTGTGTTTCTGATTAATGGCTGCGGTCTGTCAGCACCTGGTGACACATGTGTTTGTTTTAATTGTATTACGCATGTACAGCGCTTTCATCCCGGCTCCAAGCATCTCCTCCTGGTGGTCTCCCAATGATGTGCGTGGGTAAATCTTAAAGAAGCTCGGGCTTTTCTTGATGAGCTGTTAAGAATTTCAACTGTGAAGGGAAAAGCTACCTTAAATCCAGAAACGTGTGTGTCTTATTTGAACTATAATACAGGGAAACAAGAGTATTGTTGACACAGTTGCTGTAACTATTAAAAGACTGAACATGGAGTACAATGCTGACAATGGTGGTTTAAAGTGCTGGTATGAAGGTTTAAGCCAGTGGGAGTGATCACGTAACATAATGAGAAGAGAGATGCTGTCTTCTTTTCCCCTGCAGGACGAAAGGGAGGTTTACAGGAACTCAGGGAGTCTTGGCTTGGCATTCAGGAGCTGTGGTTTAGGAAAACGGGCCATCAGGAATCTTTCCTTTCTTTGCCCTTCTGTTTTTATTTTTATTTTCCCCCCCTTCTTCCCTTCCCTTCCTTTCCTCTCTCTCCCGCTGTCTTGCTCTATCAAACTGTGGTCTGGAAAGGCACGTCTTCCCACCTTTGATTTAATTCCCTCCGCTCTTTGTTGGGGGTCTGTGTTGCTGGAGTCAGCAGAACTGCAGACAAGTACTATATGTCAGGCTGTCTTCGGTGTTGTAGTCCGCTCTGCAGGCGGATGAAGGGAATGAGGGAGTGCTATCCGACTCTAACAGGAAGGCATTTATATCCTTCAACATGGCATTATCCTGGCACGGCTCCTCTGCCAGCGGAAAGTCTTATGTCTCAACAAAAAGGCAGATTGATTCAGGGGCTTTTTTTCTGTGTTGTAAGCATTGATGTGCGAATTTTACCTTGCACGAAAACTACACATGCTGGTCTGCAAGCTGTTTTTCTGTCACCTTTACAGAATTAGACACTTGGACTAACTTGTAATTTCTGTTGTGTCTCCTCAGGGACAGAAAGGTTACCCGGGTCCACCTGGACTCCCTGGAGAACCTGTAAGTATCATCCTTCACTTAATTAAACCTTTTTTTTTTTTTTTATTCCTCGGATACAAATTAAATCTCGTTCAGTTGTGTTTGCGCTGTTCTCAAAGGAAAATCATCAAAACCCAAATTTTAAATGTTTCAGATGTTCAAACAGGAACGTTTTATTGTTTTATGAGAAAGATATGCCAGTTTTTTAATTTGATGCCAGCAACATCCTTGAGAAAAGTTGGGACGGGGTGATGAAATGTGTTGTGTAATGTTGAAAAAAGATCTGGAGGGGATCTCCCAATGAAACCAGATTAATGTGCAACAGGTTAGTAACATCGCTGGGAATGAGACTCCAGAGAGGCTCCCAGAAGTAACGATGGGAAGAGGTTCACCACTCTGAGCAAAAAGTTCATCACTTCCCAAATAATGTTCTTCAGGATAAGACTGCAAAGACCCTGTGAGATTTCATCATCTATACATAATAACATGAACAGATACAGTGAATCTGGAGGAATCTAGATGGCCATGATCTTCGGGCCCCTCAGAAGGAGCCGCATGTGTCGAACTGAACCATATACAATCATGACCTCTGGTGACTTCTCTGGGCCAAACCCCTAATGCTAAACTCTGTATGCAGGCTTTGGAGCAACATTTCCTGACACCCAGATGATGCATTTAGCAGGAAATACCTTGCATATATTTAAGCAAGACCACATCCTGCACATATTACAACAGCATGGCTCTATAGTAGAAGAGTCTAGCTGCTAAAGTGGCCTAACTGCAGCCCTGACTAATGACTTGGTTGTATCATAAAAACGAAAAATACAGATACACAAAGCTGTTGAGCATCCGAGATTAAGCAAGAAGAGAAAATTTTCTCATCCAAACTCCAGAAACTAGTTTTCCTCAACTCCCACATGTCTATAGAGCTTTGTTAAAAGAAAAAAGAATGGTAAACACGCCCTTTGAAAAGTTTTGCTTACATAAGATTCAATAATAGCGTATTTTGGAGTATATTTCCCGCAAAACATTTGAATATTTCTGTTTCATATAGAGCACCATTTTCAGCTAAATGATGTGCAAACCATCAAAATCTGTTTTCTCTTTAACAATTAACAAAGTATTCCAGCTTTTCGGGAGGATTAGGATGGTATTTGATGATATCAATCAATACTTGTTGCACATCCAAACACCTCAACTTCATGCGTTTGCCTTGAAGCACACCTGAATAGGCATTTCCCACCATTAAGTGCTTTTATCAACGACTAACACCTCATGTTTTCGCCTCATTCTTTAAAAACTCAGTCACCATCTTCTCGGTGTGTGTGAGTGTGTGTTTGTGTGCGTGCACTGAGCATGCCCGTAGGGTCGCCAGATTAGATTAGCCTGTTATGAAGCACTGGTGAGGACAGACATCTGGCCGAAGCGCTGTGCTGCAGCGATGCTCTCCAGGATGTCAGAAAGCGATGCCAAAGAGAGAAAAAAAACAGAGGGAAGAGAAACATGATCAAGCCAACTAGGTCAACAGTGACACACTCACGGCTGTTACACCACAGCTTTGGAAAATTTCTCTTTGTTTTACTTTTTTTTTCCCCCGGATATTGTTATTCATTCTCTTTCAAACATATTTTACCATGATGAGTTTTTTTCCTTTATAGTCTTTTCCTCTCTTCTTCCTAGAAATGAGGATATCAGTTCAATGAACTCTCTATCCGCCGCTAAAGGAGGGTGGAGACTCTGTCTGTTTAGTCCAGCCCTAAAAAGACTATTTTAAGTATGGAGCATCCAGCCTCTCGTCCAGAGCTATTTTCAGCCAGGCTGGGTCATACTACTGTTTGTATTAAGCAAAGGCCTTAGTCATGGAAAGCAGAGTGGAACAAACTCCTCATTGTCACTCAGTTTGAAGAAGGTCCCCGTTCCTGTGACGTCACGAGCACAGGGAGTTCCCTCGCCACTAATCACGGTGGTTTTTTGCCTCTCAGCAACATGTCCTCCCACTCCGTTCATCCTCAAACGCCCCCGTCGTTCCCACAGAGCTCTCGCTGCTTCTGCTTAAGACGATGTTCTGAGTCAGAATCACCATAGCACCAACAGCGGACTAATAACCACAACTGTTTGGCAGTGTGGACTCTGCTGAGGCTGTTGGGAGCAGAGGCCAGCTGGTGTGAACACAGTGTTGATGACTCTGTGTTACAGTAACATAACATGGACCAAAGTCAGAGCTCCTCCTGATCGCTGGCCGGTTAAAGATCCAAACCTGTCTGGTCCAGCTCCTTGTCTGCTCTGAGCTGGCTGCATGGCGCTCTATATTTATCCAGGAGAGGGTTTGGTGAGCTGTGTGCATGGCTGCACATCAGGAGTGTGTGAAAGGAAGTTAAACATGAACACTTGTGCTCTGTGGATTCTGGACACAACCCGCTTCTGTGTGTTATGCCAACTCACTCACACATACAGACAGACACACATCAATAAAGGGAACTCCTAATGAACTTCTATGTTGTGCAAACAGACCACATCTGAGGAGTATGGGAGCAGAAACTGAGAGTAAACATGAATGGGAATAGTTAAACAAACTCGTTCATTTACAAGTCTTTGACACCAATTTGCAGAACATGTGCACAACTATTTTAGTACAAGTCACTGACCTCTGGAGTGTTCATATTTTCGAACTTCCACATAAAAAACACTTGAATTTTACCAGAAACTCTCAAGAAGGAGCTCATAATGCCATTGCATTTTTTTATCTGTGCACTTTAATTCCCAGCTCATCCCCACCGTTTGTGTTTGCTTATTTTGATAAAGCTTTGCATCACCATTCAGTGTGTGCAAAATGTGTGTGTTCATTGCCTTGTACTACTATAAAGGAGCTGTAATCTAGGTGAGCATATCCTGACTTCCCAAAAAAGAGGACACAACTACACGTGGGCGGAGTCACAGAGTCGCACAAAGTTAATTTTGAGAGTCTTTTGGGTCGGATTGAGTGTCTTTTATGCGCTTCTAACTCAGTAAGTTCATGTGACACAAACTCGAAACTTCACATAAAACCGCGGACATTTGAAGGATTTTATAAACTTCCCCAGACAAAGCCAGACAAACCTGGACAGCCTGGACAGCCCCCCCCAAAAAGAGGGCATGTCTGAGTAAAAGAGGACGTATGGTGACCCTATGTAACCCTCCTGCAGCTCTTTGAACTACTTCCTTTTTGGCTTGACAGCGAGCCTGCCTGACATTACCCAGCAGCTCCTGCCAGTGTGATAATGATGATGATGATAAACTCCGAATCTGGGGATGTTTTTCAGCAAAGCTGTCTGAGACACTTAGGCTGCCCTTCAAGTGATATCAAGTTAAACGCAACTTTGTGATATCAAGTTAAACGCAACTTTTACTTTTTACACAGCTTTGTAGTTGTGAAACAACCTGAAAACCACCATATCCGGTCCCCATTCAATTTAAATCAACCCCCAAAATGTGGAAAAGCTGCGATGGAAGCGTTACCCTCAGTGTGACTATCTTTTATTGGACTATTTAAACGATTTACACAAAAATAATTTTTAAAACAAGGCAAACGTGCTGATTTGTGTCCTGAATGTATGGCCAGGTTATAAAAGGATTATTTGCTTTACAGTTGGGCGGTTCGGGGTTTGATCCCAGGTCTCATTGTTAGCATACTTGTTCTTGGGCAAGACACTTAACCCCAAATTGACCCCGATGGCTGTGTCTGCTGTGTGTGAATAGGATTAGTTAATACTAATGGGCTTTACATAGCAGCCTCTGCCATCAGTGTATGAATGTGGAAGCACTTAAAGAAAGTCTGAAGGCAAGAGAAAACACTGTTTTTTAATATCGTACATTTACTATTTATCATCTACAGTGACATCGCAGGATTGCATTCAGTTTTTTTTATACACTTGTATGTATAATTTTATAAATATGACATACAGTCTGTACATGTCAAACAAGCCCAATATTAAGCTTGAGCTCCATTTCAATGAACTATTAACATACTGAGTGGTGCACAAACTCTTCATGCTTGAACCGCCTGCCTCTGAGCAGAATGGCAGCCCTGTGTGTTCATGTTACTGTAATTCTGATCACCCCCCCCTCACCTTCTCCCTCTCTCTCTCTCTCTCTCTCTCTCTCTCTCTCTCTCTCTCTCTCTCTCTCTCTCTCTCTCTCTCTCCCTCTCTCTCTTCTCTACCCCCTCCCCTTTTCTCCCCCTCCTCTCTTTTTTCCCTGCAGGGAGAGCAAGGTCCAGTCGGAAGCCCAGGTGCCAAAGGTTATCCTGGCAGGCAGGTGCAGTAAATCCTCTGCTGTGACTGGTACAGTTGTAGTCGGGGCCATAGTAAGGGCACAGGGCCAAGTGGAATTAGGTTATGTTGAACAGCTGACTGAGGAAAATATTTGGGTAAATACTGCCGAGGGGATTTGGAACATTTAGGAAAAATGGTCCGAGAAAAACATCACAAGCCGTTTAAAGGCACCATAAAACTCAATGAGAGCATTTATCCTAACGTTTTGGCTCTTGAAATAAGGGTGTTTTATATTGTTGGAAGTCTCCTCTTAGCAGAACTCTGCAGAATCTGGAGATGTTTTTTTTTTACCCAGATATTTTAGAGTATGACCAATATACAATGAAATCTGCACCAAAGATTGTTAAACTCCAGTACTGTCATTCTTGATCTTGGGAATGGGATCACTATCAAGAACTATAAGAATATGCTGTGAAGACATTTGCAATATGTCTTGTGCTGTATTTTTAATGCCACATGATATTAGCTCAGTTTCTTAGCTTGAATGACAAAGAGTGGTGAGATGCCAAAATACTTAGCCCATTTATTTCAAGACATGCTGACAGGGTTCATATTTTATCCATGTGTATAAAACGTTTGATGTAGCTGGACTAGGGCTGTCATTGTATATTGGTATTTATGATAATCATCTTAATGACAAATAATTCTACTGCGCTAGAAATAAGTAAGTGGTTAAACTTTGAGTTCATCGTAGGGGTCCTTTACACGATGAGGAAGAAGAAGTAGCAGATTTTTAGCAAGCTAGCTGCAGCATTTATACTTTCTAATGGCACGCTTGGCTGTTTTCTTTCAGTTGCAAAATTTACAACTTACCAGAAGTAGTACACTTCAAAATAAGAGCATAGTTTGGCCATGCAGGAAACAAAGCATCCTGAACTCTATAGAGAAAATATTTCAAAATAAAAGCATTGTTTGGTAACAGAAATGGTTATGTGGATAAATCTTAAATTTGAGCGTAATTAGAAATGGATGCTGACATGTAAGTTCAATGTTTTGTTAAAGTTTGTGCTGATACAAAACATATCAATAAATATTCATACATATTCTCTGGATACAATACAGATTCCTTTGTTGTTTGAATGATACTTTCACTGATTTTAAGTCAAGGGACAGAACTCAAGTGTAAATATTACAAGCTGAAAATAAAAACAAATCATAACAGCAGGAGAAATAAGAAAAGTTATAAGGGGATAACATTAGGTTAAAGCTCCTGTGAGGAACTTTATATCTGTATTGATTTTGGCGCCCCCTGTGGATAATTTTACACAACACAATCCTATTTAAAGAGCTCATGGTAAACTACATGTCAGACGTGGATCAGTAACCTCTAAAATAAAGCTGCTTTTGTTTTCCAGGGTTTACCAGGGCCTATAGGACCAGTGGGGCCTAAAGGCGTTCGGGTAAGTTGACCCAGCTTCTCACCTCCAAGTTTGCCGCTTAAATTTGATTGATCAGTCTGATTAATAACCCTTTTTGATTTGACAGGATCGGAGAGCATTTTTATTATGTAATATTCAAGAATTTGGAGTTTAAATCCAATGAAAACAGAAAACGTTCACAGCAGAGGTTGCAAACTGTCGCTGTTGTCCTCGAAAGCATGTGTATGCATTTATCCTCACTCAACCTGTGTGTGCCTCTATTAATAGTCTGCTAAACTTAGGAGCCTTTACTTGTAATGTAAACACTCAACACAGACACTTACTGAAAGACTGACTGTTGATAAGCCCCCACACACAAACACACACCCCTTAAGTACACAAACAAAGCAACACACACTCCTGACACAAACAGTGATTTGTATGTTGCGTCCCAATAAAGGGTCTTTATCAGCTCCCCTCGCCTGCTCCGAAGCCTCCCCTGCCCCCACCGGCTGGAATTTCCTGTTTAAGCTGCGTATGAGGCCCTGCTGTCTTAAGGAGGCGTTCTCGTCCCCTCTCTCTCTCGCTGACTGAGCCACCTTTTCAAATATTCTGCGCTTTCCTTTGCAGCATATTCCATATTGTGAACAAGTGAAGCAGCTCCACATGTGCACGCCACACTCCGGCATCATCTGAACTCTCGTGTTTGTGCTTGTGTTTTTCCTCTTTGTGTGTCTCACCCTGTACCCGCAGCTCACTCTGATGTCCTGGCTATCTACAGAGATCCCTGGCGTGAGGGTATGTGCCCTTGGACTACATCGTGGAAGCCAGCACCATGCAGTCCATGGGCATATACACTTGCCTCATGGCTTGGTTCTTCATGGAAGCCCACCCTGTCCTCGTCGGCCCCTCAAACCCAGCTCTACAGCTGGTGGGAGTTGCTGTTCTGCCCGCTGCTTTCACTTTACGGCATCCACAAACTCACTTCCAATTCTCCTCTTTTTTTCTCCTGTCGTCTCCTTCTCTTTCCTCTCCTCTCCTGCAGGGTTTCATAGGAATCCCGGGGCTTTTTGGCCTTCCTGGGCCTGATGGCGAAAGAGTAAGTTCCTCATGCACATTCAATAATTGCAAAAATGCACAGTGACCACTTTCACCCTAGCTAATAGCTCTGTTGGATGACAACAATGCTTCTCCTGCCATTACACTCAGCTGTCTGGCTGTTGTTATAATGCGGGAAACAGCCCCCAGCTGTCCGACATGCTGCTGTATGAGGCTGTGTGGGAGTGTTGATGACTCATATGATAAAAGCCCCCTCTTGGAGCCTTTGAACTGCATGAACTCATCAAGGCCTCCTCCTTCTGTACAGCCTCTAAAACATGAGGCGATTAGCCTACTTATGACATGCTCCAGGGGGTTGCGTCATGGCAGTGTAGGCTGTAATCAGGAACACTCCAGCCAGCACAGGCGGCCAGCGAGATGCCTCATACCTTAGCGGCACATAACAGACGATGTCTGCTAGTCCTCTCCCTGGAGAAAATGGTGTTTATTCAACATATATGCATAAGAGATGGGGGCCTAAATCCCTTAGAGTAGGCTGAGAAGATGCTGGATAAGCTGCAGTCAGCTGTTCCTCGCATCTGTTAGGAGAAGCTCAGTCGGTTTTTTTTTTGTTTTGGTTTGTTTTTGACATGTTTCTTACATTATATTTGTCTTTCTCTTCTTCTTTTATTCCATCTCTTTTAAATCTACTCTTCACCTTAATTTCTTTTCTACCTCTGCTCTCTTTTGTCTCGATTTGCAGGGTATTCCTGGCGAACCAGGGAAGAGGGGCAAGATGGGTAGGCCGGTAAAGTTTTGTCTCAACATACTTTACAGAAAATCTTACCAAAGTGTGATGACTTGTGCTGTTGTTTGTGAACTGTGAATGTTTCTTCTGTTTAGAGATTAGGGGCACAAAAATTTCAACCTCTAGGTAAAAGTTAGGCTTGAGAGGTGCATAAGAATGCCTATGATGGCTGTTACCTGTCCACTATGTCTGACTGGTGCATCAGCCCCAAAAGTCAATGCAAAGAGCAGCGTGCACAAGAACAGCTGGGGCACGTTTAGGGCAGAGGGGATGAGGTAGCAGGGACAACAATGACTAAAGTTGTATAGACAAGCTGATAGACCTGGTCCACATTCATGTCTTTCCTCCTGCACATCAACAGTCAAAATTTAGAAGTGGAGACCTGCGAACTACATAAAAAAATGCAGGCTTCAAGTTTTAAAAAGTATCTGACAGCCCATAAGATTACCTCAGAACACAGCTAACATTGGCATCTAGTAACATCCTATTTAAAGCTCCTGTGTGGATGTTTTGGTTTCTGGCAATTTTGGCGTCACCTGTGAACAAAACAGGCTTGGCTTGTCCTCCACATGCTTAAATAGTGACATTTGACCAAAAGTCTCATCCTGCTGACTTTTGAGTGTCAAATGTGTTATTCATTGTGAAGTTAAAAATGTAAAAACAGCCTTTTCTCTGACACCTCCCCCTTCAGGCTTCAGACTTATGGTATTTAAATTGTTAATCTTATCATCAATGATCTTGTTTACTTTTTATGTCATAATAAGGCATTGATACAAATTTCAGTCTATTTCACAGACATGGAAAATCCCCTCATAGGAGCTTTAAAATTTAGCCCCGTAACTCCTTAGATCCTCACTATCTATAGACATTGTGGCTGCTTATTAATGAGTGAACTGTGAAATGACCACAATCTGCTCAATTATCAATAGTTTTCTGATTTACGTAGTCATAACAGATGATAACATCTGAGTTTTTAATCCTGAGCATAACGTCACTCTCTCATGGGGGACTCTCTGTTTGTGCTGGTTTTGGCGCCCCCCAGTGGATAAAAAAGTTCTAATGTAGTCCTGTATAAATGTCAGATGTGTTCTTTGACACAACCATTTCATTTATCCCGAGTATCTGCTGTAAAAAATGTGCACAAAAATGTGTTTTTAATCTTCTGCCCCCCTCACAGCAGCTTCAGGCGTTTAAAATGGTGATCTAAAAACTGCCAGTCTTCTTCTTTAGTAGGTCACACAGGGGCATTCTGGTTCATTTCAGTCTGTTTCAAAACCAGATGAAAACTTCTCACAGGAGCTTTAATGAAGCTACTTCCCACTTCTAAAGACTCTAATATTCAGATCAATATTTGATCCTGAACAAACTTTAGATGTTGGAGCTCACAAACACACTCAGACATGTCAATGACTCATAAGTTATAAATTTACCCTTTTAAACGGGCTTCTAATTGGGTCATATTGAATTTTTTTTCAAAGACTTCAACAGCTCCACATGTGAAAATGTTAAAGGTCTGCAAGCACGTCATTGTTTGAGTCAGCTCAGTATTTCCATGGCTGTTGGAAGGGTTAACTGCAGCTCAAATACTGTGGAGTCCCACCAGCCGCATGTCAGGGTCTTGGATACAACAAGAAAAAGGCTTTTGTTGCCATAAAAGAGCTTTTGGTCCCCCCCCTCTCCCCTCCTTCCTCTACTCTCTCGTCCCTCAGCATGAAGCCAAGCCATTTGGAGGAAGCCATAGGTTCTGTTGTGTGTGTCAGATAGTGTTCAAAGTCAGTCCGACAGGGTGTTTCAGAAGGAGTGTGCAAGCTTTAAACTTTCTGCTGAGATCATCCTGCAGCTGCTGCTTATTGGTTTTTCAGTAAATAAGGCGTTTATGGACCAAAACATCTGAACACATGCGAGCAAGTGTCCACTTAGTGTGAGGTTTTCAGGACTTAAGTTTAATCTTTAATTAGACAAAACTGCAGATATAAATATCCCTTATGAGTGAGGCTTTGTGTCACTTTTATTTGCATTTGATTTGATTCTGAAGCAACAAAGGACATATTACAATTTCGTTTTCCTGCTCTGATCCTGGACAGTTTTAGCACAGCTCGTCAATGCCAAGAGGAAAATGACAATGTATCACTCAGTAGCATTGTCTTGGAAAGAGAGTAGCAGACCACACCTGTAATTTTGATCATTTTGAAATCCTTAACGGGAAATCTCTGCTGCCACAGCCCTTCAGAGCTGACCTTTATGTGTAACTGGAAAATGCGCACATCGTTGTCTTTGCCGTCAGTGCTCCTGCGTGGAAAAAGGGAAGTCAGGCATTTACAAGATGATCCCTTAGAGAACATCCCTGTCCTCCCTGATGGAGGAGAAAGAACAGAAGAAGCACCTGAACCAGAGCCAGACACTTTAACGGCCTCAACCACAGCGCTTGTAGTCTGTTGAGGAAACACACTCTCAGACACACAACTCGCTCTACCTTCTACCTAAAACAGATGATATATCTAAATCTAAAACAGCGGAGGGCGTAAAAAGTTTTCCGAAGTGCATCGCCAGCACGTCTGCATTTCTACTTAACCTTCTTTTGCATGTAAGTGTTTAGGGTTTGTTTGTCTTTTCAAACTCGTCTTTACCAAGTTCATCTTCTCCCTCAGAGTGCTGCTACCGTGGGTCACTTTGACCTTTAAAGCCTATAACAGGGTGTATCTGACGTTTTATAAAAGCAAAGATCCACTAAGGGCTTGTGGAAGTTTTTTTTAAGTGTTGTTCATGGCTAAGCTATGTTTCCCACATTTGTCTCTAGTTGCTTTGGCAGCAGTGACAGCTGTATGATTCATCTTCTGGGTCACTGTCATGCTTCAAAGATTTCTGTTGCACTTCTGCCTCCCCCTGTGAGAACAATTACTTAGTACCATGAAAGCAGTCCTATGCAGTCATCCCCAAATGTTCAAATCATTTCAGATACAAGAAAAAAAAACTGTTTTTCTTATGCTCAATTAAAGTATTGAGTGCAGCTATGATTGCACCATTGACCTGATTTGATGCGTCCCAGATTGACAGATAGATGAACATTTACATACCACCTGTCACAAGGCTTTATTATTGTTTGAATATGCAATCTAAATTTAAAATTACCCGAGACTTTCTTTCCTTAAAACAATAAACTGCAAACTCAAGAGGTCACATTTAGTCAGCAGATTCTATTTCTAAGGCGTGTTAGACATTAAAATAAACACATGTGCATGCTCTATATCTAAAACATCTAAACTATGGCAAAAATAGCAGCCATCTACTGGAGGTATTGACAGTAATTAGCTCCTTGAAATGATGTGTTGAGGCCACAATGGCAGAACCATGCTATTATGAGTGTTCCTGCAAGGTTAGGTTTAAAATAAGTTGGCACTTGCTCTCTCTGCAGATGTGGTTCCTCTTTATAGCACTACCAACCGTTCACGTAGCTCAGATTAGCATTCTGCTTTCTAACTAATTGGACCGACTTGGCTGCTGGTCGCTCTTGTTGGACTTTAAAATATACTCAGCAGAACAGCTGGCTGCCCACACCCTACAGCTGATAGACTCAAAATGCGTAACAGGGCTCTTTATGCTCTTATTTTCTTCATATTTTGGATTACTGTATGAGTACGGTTATTTTGCTCGGCGAGATTGTGAAAATTGCTGAGTAATTACATTAAGAGCAGTCTTGGTTGCGTAACACTTTGTACTGCGTGTACGAACACGCTTCCAACTCAACTCTGAGGTTAAAGACTTAATGCTTTACACGCCCATGCAAATAAACCCCAATTATGTTATAATTTACTTGAAAGGAGTTTCTTTGACTCTGTGTTTAAGGAGTGTGTTTTTTAATCTCTATAATATTTTTTTTTGCAGTTATTCAAATTAGCACTTAACAGGGTTTGCCTCTGAATGTTTAAGTAGCTTTCATTAAAATAAATGTAGCAGACAGTTTACAGCTTACAAAATCAACTTGGATACTAACACTGTGGCATGTTAATGTCCATTCAAAGCGGCTAAAAGATTAGCTATTACAGGTCAAAAGGGGAAAAAAGAAATGGCTCCTTTAATTTAATGTATGTCTGAGTTCAAGTGTTGCTGAACATTAAAGCTGCTCTCTCTGTCTTCAGGGGTTTCCAGGGGACTTTGGGGAGAGAGGACCACCTGGACCAGATGGAGAGCCAGTATGTCACACACTCACTTATAACACACCTACACTACCAACTATGTCCTCACACACTATAACACACAGCCTCCCCACATAAACAATCACACAAATTGAGAGCAGTGGTTTCACTTGCACAACCAACCCCCTGGTGTTTAAGCACTAAAGTTTTGGCAGAGTTTGTGGGTAAATCATCTCGCCGTCCAGAAGTTTGCCTCTGTCTTTCTGTTTTATTTAAAGTGAGTTTTTTGCTCGGGACAAGTTTTACTGCTGTATTTAATTTCAACCCTCTGTTGTAGACAATTTTTTTTGGCAGGCAGTCTCAAAAACCTGCAGTATTAACTGGGGATCAGCTTGTGGGCCTGGCTCTAAAGTGCAGAGCTTTCCATTCACCAATGTAAACGGGCCACCATCACACACATACATTATTATTATTATTATTTTTATTATTATTATTAGAAGGTGATATCCAAGAATAGTAAATGATGTAAGAGAAGATTGTATCAAGGGGTCAGCAAAGGCTCTTGGCCTGTCAGTCCCATAGCTGTATCCACATGGAAAACATCCTATTATTGATCGTAGCATTTGACTCTAGATGCTCTCTGTTATTATGACAAACATAGCACTTCATCAGTGGGAGTGAGAAGCTTTAACAACGAGCCATAAACACGTCAGCAAGGCAGCTTTTTAACAAACTCTGAATGCATCAGCATGAAGCACATTTATGTTTTGAGTAACACTGTGCTCACACATCTGTGACTTTTCAGGCTTGTTGCTGAGGCAACCAAACTCCTTGTAAATCCTCTCTTGGCCCAGCTGCTTTTTTCCCTGGGAATTATAACTGTAATTTATCCATCAGAAGCATCAGATGTTATGGTATATTTAAATAGTCTGGACAAGGGGTTTATGAAATCCAAGTTGACATACTTCACATATTTCCCCCAAGTTGAGCCGCAATCTTTACTGTCTGTACATTTGAGAAAAGACAGCTTAAAAAACATCTCAAAAAACACTTTGGGAAAGTGACTGGAAGTGTAGAGGCTCTGATCACGCTACCATGCTTGTATCAGTATTTACCATGAGAGCATTAAATACTTCATAAAGCAGTTACCATATTCACAGTTTCTACTCTTTTAAATTAAATGTAAGCATGGGTGCTGCATTTAAGTATGCCAGTGCTAGGATCCCAAAGAATGGTCGTACAGAATAGTTACATGCTGTTGGTCTAATATTTTTTTAGCATTCAAGATAGAATGCTTGTGTTTTCCAGTGTAATAGAAATACGGGAAAACCACAATTCTTTTGAGTGTAGAATTTAGAAGCATTTAGCAGAACAGATGCAGTAGAAGTTGAATATAGTTTTTCATGCTTTTATTTTGACATTTTTTCTGTCTTATGTTAAGTGTGATTTATTTCCTGCATGGTCAAACTATGCTTTTAAGGATACTACTTCCAGTGGATTATACTTCTTGGGAACAGAGAATAAAGACGGTTAAAATGAATGGTTGTGGAGTACGAAGTTTTAAATCGATTAACCCGATAGGAAACCAGCTTTAGCGTTGATTTTAGGCGCTAAGTAAGTTATGGAAATTCAATTAAGTGGTTAAGCATCTCTCAAAGGGCTTCAAATGGCACAGGTAACTTGCTAGCAGTCCGTTTCCTCCGCTTCGTTCAAATTCCGTTAAGAGACGTTTGGCCCAATGCAAGGACTACAACTATAAACTCATTCAGTTATTGTTTGTTTATTTTTCCATAAACGTGTGTTCAATTAAGAAATATATATTCGATTACAGACGGTTATGCTTATCATGTCTTTAAAGGCTAATGTCCCTTATTTCTTTACACTGTACCTTTGAGCAAGTATTCGTTTACTGTTAAACTCTTGAAGGTTTGTGTGAACAATGTACGGTGGCCGAGAAATGCCACTGCTGCAAATAAAAAAATTAAAAAAGAATGCAAAAAATAGAAGTCACAGTGGAAGTTACTGATGCAAAAAAAGACACCAAAGCCTGCTGCAAATAAAAAAAGAAACAGTGCAGATTAAAAAAAAAAAAAAAAAAGCCACAACAGGAGTTAACAACGCAAAAAAAAAAAAGTGGGGGGTGGAAAGAAAAGTTACTTACTGCGAAAAAGTAAAAGGATGCAAGTAAAAAAGGCTACAGTGGAAGTGAGCTGCGTGGGACCAACAATGATGATGGACCAGTGTTTGCACTGATGATGCAGCAGGCTTCGGGATTTTATTTTATATATTTTTTTGCATCAGTAACTTCTGTTGTAACTTCTTTTTTTTGCATTCTTTTTTATTTGCAGCAGTGGCGGTTCACGGACAACGTAACAATGAGCATAGCATGTTAGCAAAAGAGTACAACAGATGCCAATTAGTTTTGCAGGTATTTCTGTTGTAAACAGTAAGTTAGAAAATTTACCGAGTAAAAGAAATTAAGTTTATTATCAAACCATCTCGCAGTGTCGAGTTTTTTTTTCTCTCTTAAAAAGTAAAATTTAGAGGCACGAAAAAATGAGTTGTTGCTAGAATACATCATCTGGAAACCATGACTGTGCTTCATGGATGTACAAGATGCTGGTGACTTTGGCCTGCTGGTGGTGCTATAAGACAAGTCATTGAGAGTCATCCTCTGAGGGCTATGAATGGCATTACAAATCTTCATCAATCCATTTCTTCATTTTGTTAGAGGGAGAGCTACACCACATATTGGAAAATCTCTAGTGTGACGATGGGCTAACATCCCCCTCTGCTTTCATCTCACACACACACACACTCTTACCAAGACGCACACTTCCAAACACACGTATACACGCACACAGCCCCCTCTCATGAGCTGTGATGAACACTGAGCCACTCTTCTGAGCATGTTTGTTTAAAAAAGAGCCAATAACCCCAGAAACTTGCTCCTTCTGCCTCTGCCTTCATCTCACTGACTCTCTCTCCCCCTCTCTGAATAGGGTGAGATGGGAGCCCCTGGTCCAAATGGAGTTCTTGGACTTATTGTGAGTAGTGGTTTGTGTATATTTCTGTGTATTTGTCTTCGTTGAAACATCCTTTTTACCTCAACAAATGTGCTGTTAATACAAAGGTTCTGCAGATTGTACTAAGATGAAATAGACCAAACATGCTCTGCTAAAAAAACACTCTCTAAATTAGCGCCTATCATCATTTACACAGCCTGCCGATAATGTAGGAAACTGCCCACTCTCTGCTGTTTTCTTAGCACTGTAAACATCCAAAAAAAAGTGAGAGTTGGTGGTTTTTAGAGTACAAGATTGATGATAAAGTTATTTTTCGCAATGCAATAAAGCTAAATCATGCAGTCTGTGGCTCCCACTTCCTCTCAGGACAAACACAACATTTCTCCACTGTTTGATCAATCAAACAGACATAAACAAAGCATCTCATATCCCTCTCTTATTAACTATTTTTGCACAGGAACTTCCCCCCTGCCCACCCATCACCTTGCCCTCCAAGCCTGCCCGCCCTGACAGCCATATCATTTTGTCTGATTACAATGTCTCTGTGGTTTCTCTTGTCGTGTCCCGTCTTCATCCATCGCCACCGCTCCTCCCGGTCTATTCCAGGCCACCGGTGGTGGTAGTAGGCCTGTAATTCTCTGATTACAGCTCTGCTCTGAGCTCCCTGTTGTCTGCATCTGTCCTGACAGTAAACTGTACAGTACACTGAGATAGACAGGAAGATATAAATAAGCAGACACCCTTCTCCAGGGACCTTCGACCTCATGTTAGGGTGAAGACAGGGCACTGCCAGAGAAAGGAAGTGTTAGCATTTCGAGGGATATAAGGGACTTTCCAATGCAACTTTCTAACGTGTAATGCTCATCTTTGTTGTTGCACTACCAAGAAATTAAGCCAGGGCATCAACATCATCCATTTTTTTCATGCATCTCTGCCAGGTAAAAACAAAATGTGTTATTGATAGCGACTGTTAAGTGTAAGCAGCCCCATGGAGGCCTGCAGATTTGGAGCAAGTTAAAGAGTACACTTGTGTTTCCGGGGCTAAAAAACACTCATTTGAATCCATAACAAAACACAGAATCCTCCTTTTTTGGACTTGAGATCCCCAGGTGAAGGAAAAAAACAAACTTTTTCAACCCTCAACAACAAATTAAGCGACTTGTTGTGAGGGATACTCCAGCAGAACACACTCAATAACATCCTCTGTCACACATGCAAATTCTACGGTTTTCAAAGAGGGTATTTGAAGCGCCGAGCCAAGGCCACCCTGAAGTTCTTTGAAAGCAGACATTGCTTAGCAGCAGAGAATGAAAATAAGATAACAGCTGGCAGCGTGTGATGATTTTCTGCAGTGAGGCACATCATGAACGATTTCATCCACACATACATAATACAGTTGTGTTTCCTCTTAATAGCTGTAAAGACAGCTGATAACCTGATCCAGTTTTTAACCACTCTGTATATTTTCTCTTCAGCTCATCTTTAAGCACTTATTCAAATCAGATCATTCAGATTTTGGATCTTGCAATGAGACATAACAGTCGATTCCTTATCTCTTAAATTATACCGTTTGTTCTCATGCATTGTTTTGTGTCGAGTGTATTTCGAGGGCCTCGCGGATAATCTGGAAGCAAGACAATGAACTTATTCTTGTGTTTAATGAATACCAAAGTGAACCGACATGAACTCATTGTTTGTGTGTGTTTGTTGAGGGTAAGCCATGAGCCTGAGCCATGTTTTTAAACTGTAATTTATGCATATGAATATGCTTCTTGTTTGTCTCTTTTGGTGACAGGGTGATATGGGACCTGTGGGAGAGATGGGCCTTCCAGGACCAAATGGACTGAAGGTAAACTCTCTCGAACACAGATGGAAGCTGTTACCTTCTCCATCTTATCTCGTATTGTCCTGTTTTGACTGCTTTTCTGTTCAACAAAGTGTAATATAACACAGAGGAATGGCCAATAAGCAGATGCTGGTGTATTCTGATAAAGCAGAGACAAACTTCCAAGTGATTTACCTCCACATTGCTGACTCCACGACTCTTAGCTTTTGGCTTAGGGGGTCACTTTCTAACTTTGTCATTGGTGCTTCTTCAGGGGGTGCCCGGAAATCCAGGAGAACCAGGACTGAAAGGTGATAAGGTGATCTGAATATTCCTGTTATTGGCCTGTGTATGTGCAGCATGTGACTTGTACATGTAACTTCTCTGCACTTGACTGTAGCCACCTCTGTCCAACGTTTAGATACAGAGCATGTCTTTTATTAGGTCGCACATTCAGATGATGGCTTTCTGTTTTACCGAGTCCTCACTGTGTTATTTCTGTGGAGCTCATGTACAGTTAAAGCAATACCGCAACTCCCAGCAGTGAGGCTGTCTTGTGTAAAAAAAAAAAGATAAATAAATGGTTAGAAATGTGCACAATGATAGATGATACTTATTGAATTTTGGGAAAGAGAAAAGATACCACTCAGATTAAGTGGTTAGACCAGCTGCTCCACCTCCAAATTGAACTACTGGTATCAATCTTCTAATTTATCATGTGATTAAAAAATGATATCAATCACTTAGATATTACCAACCTCGAACACTGTTTTGTTTAATCTAAGACGTGATTGTACTCAAAAGAGGGATAGCTTGCGTATCAGCGCCATATTGACGCCACATGAGGATTTTGGCACACCCACTGGACAAGATAATCATGAGCGCATGTTTGCACTGTAATTAGACCTGTAATTAGTACTGTATGTTTAAAAAGCTGGATTTGACTGTTGATGTTGAAAGCTACCATCCCTCCTAATGTTTTTTTAATTTCTCTGTCTTTCCGTCCATCTCCCTGCGTCAGGGTGAAGTTGGGATTCCTGGAGAACAAGGGGAGATCGGGTACAAAGGAGACAAGGTAGATTTCCAGCGTCTTTACGTGTTATAAATGTTCATGTTCAGCTTTTTGGTGCGGCGCTGAGTCCCTGCAGAATGATTTAGCCAGATGTGTGCTGTCCAGGTTATGGAAATTCTTATGTAAACCCTTCTCATTTGTCAGTGTGTGTAAGCAAAATCGAAGCCTTTTAGTGTAGTAGAGCAGACTGGTCCCATGAGATGAAAAATACTGAGCAGAGACACGCATGCCTAATGTCTTTTTCCTCAGAAAATGGATCAGGGCCCTTTTTTTCTGCTTTTTAATGCTGCTGACTGTCTGTCTGAGTTTTTATTTTTTGTGTTTGTGTTGGACAGGGTATCCAGGGGGCTCCAGGTTTACTGGGCATCCGCGGAAAACCAGGACCACAGGTTAGCTTTGGCTTGAACAACATTTGAATTTAATATTTTTCATGTCCAATGTGAACTTTACGTTTTGGGGACGCACCTTTTTGGCTCCTCCAACAGTCACTTGAATTTGTCTTCTTAATGAGTCGCTAAGGCCTCATCTGTTAGCTTAGTGTAGCATTAAGACGAAAAACAAGAGGAAAACTTGGCCCCTATCTGAAGATCTAAACTCGTATACGTCTCAGAATATCCAACTATTCCATTAAGATATTCCTCATGTTCATTTCCTCTGCCACAGGGACAGCAAGGAGAGAGAGGCCCTGATGGTTCGTCTGGACCTCCAGGTCCTGAGGTTTGTATTTAAGCTGCTTTAGTGTCAGCCTGTGTTATTAAAAGACAACAGAAATCTAAATTTTTTAATCCATCATGACAGGGTTTCCCCGGTGACATGGGACCACCGGGAGAGAACGGTTTAGAAGGACCAAAGGTAAGTAAAACTGTGGTTCTGCTTAGTCGTTACCATCTGCTGTGTGTTTGTCAGTATTTATAGTTAAATGCTAATATCAGAGTGCAAACATTTAGAAGGACTTGTGTTTGTTGTGTTGGCATGGCATGCTTAGATTTGCTAACAAACACTTGAAGCAAAGTACAGTGTGATTCGGCAATAAGTAGCTTGGAAGGTATTCACATTTCTTCAAATGTATCAAAGTTGGGATTAACAATTTCTTTCCACCATAAAGCAGACTGAAAGAGTATGAAAATTCCTGATAAATGAAAAAACAAACTGAACAGGCAAGGCTTCAGAGGTTTAGGGCATGATAAATCAAACATTTTGAGAAATTTTGGTGCAAAGATGAGCAGCAACCAAAGCCAAAAGGATATAAATATTCATGAATATTTGCGCAGTATTCTGTGATAATCCATCCAACAGTTGTAAAGATATTTCTGTCTGGTCCTAAGTGGTCAACCAGCTGAGCAGTAGACCCAAACCACTCCTGGCTAAAAAGCATTAACATTCATTCTACTACTTCAACCTATCCAGGGAAAGCCAGGAGCCAGAGGTTTACCGGGACCACGAGGGTTGCCTGGCTTGGAGGTAAGACCATCTAGCACCACCCCTGTCAAAACAACCCCAAAGTGCCAAAAGGCATTAAACATTTTATTGCACAAGGCCTCTCTTTGCTGGAGACCACTTTGTGTCCCCAAACATAACTCATGCTAAGATCAATATCATCTGTTTCCAGGGTGACGAGGGCCCGATCGGACCACCGGGACCAACAGGACTGGAGGTGAGTTATTAGAAAAACACTCAGTTTTGCCTGCCTGGTGTAAAGAAAGCAGTGTGAGCTGAAAATAGTGGTCTCAGTGTAGTCCTTAACTGATATTCATGTGTGTTATGGAAACACACTGAATGTGTGTGTATGCAATTATGTAAGTTTGCGTGTTTGTTTAAACTGTACCCCATGCATTACAATCAAACCATCAGTCATGTGCATTGTTGTGGTTCCTTTCCATACCCTTTGCTGTAAACAAATCAGTGACAGGGAGAGAGAAAGGGTTTGAAATATCACTGAGTTTACAGAAACCCAAACTCTGCATGAAGCCAAATCTGCTCATGCTTAGCTGTAGAGCTCAGAGTTTTGTTGTTCGCAGAGCAATTAAAAAAATTCACTGACTGAGTTGCAATTGACCTTCGAGGCACATGACGTGAGATACAAGCTTGCTGTTTTCAACAAATTACACACAGTAAATCATGTGTGACCTGCTTCCTGTGTCTCAGGCACCAACACCATAAGCAGTATAGTTTAATTATGCATCCCAAAGTTTGTGGACCCACAGTGAGAGTTGATAAAGAAGTTCTAAAGGAGGTCATCATAATGGATCATTCTCAGTTTCCAATAGAGAAGCTGTAGAAATGTATGCCCAGAGATTTATGGGTGTTGTGTTAAGTTGTGTCTCTCTGCAATTTCCCTCTTGCAACTAAAGCGTGCATGCAATCCACATTCTTGGCCACTAGGGGGTGATAACTGCCATCACTGTGTTTATAGTTGGCAAGATTTATAGCTGCTATAAAGAGCTAGATGTTAATAGGCCACTGCTGAAATGAATGAGTTGTTAACTTTGTTCTTATAAGTTCTCTGTAGTTGATGGAGAAATTAACTTTATCAGTTAATAATAAGCTTTCAGACCTTTTTCTTTAAAAACTGCCCCACTATCCCAGATGCTGCATACCTATCAGTTTGTCCTGTACCTCCTTCTTTTCCATCTCATTTCATACTTTATTCAACTGCAGCCCTCCGTCTCTCATCTCATACTCTGTAACCATCCCCTCTGCTCCTTGCATTCGAGGGGAAGTGGTGTAGTACTCCTTCAGGAGCTGTAATTGATCTCTGGCCAGGTGCCACAAGTCCTCCTACCTCTCCACCATGTCCTTTTCCTTTCAGCAGCTGTCTTTCAGCTTCACCTCTCTGCCTGGAATGACACCCTTTCTCCTTACTGTCTCTTACACCTCCTCAAATGCTCTCCATCCCCTCTCCAAGTGCACTCTGCTCTCGTAGTGTTTCTTTCTTTCTCTGGTTAATGCAGTCACAGAAGTAAATTCAAACCAGGTGATAAGAAGTCGCAAATCCCGGAGAGCTTGCTTTAATTCTCGTGTTACTTCTTTTACAATATAAAATACAGTGTTAGCCTCATGAAAGCTGACGACCCTTCTGGACTAAAACTCTGGAATTGTTGAGTCATTGATTCTTTGGGAGTTTGGCTCAGACACTTGTGACCCGGAGTTCTTGCCGGTAAAAACACTAAGACCCCCTCTTAACCCCGGGAATTACTGTCTGTGCAGGAGGAACATTACACTCATTGAACGCTTTCACAGCTGAATGGCCAAAATGTAATGTCAGCAATACCTGCACACGCCAATGCATTTTTCAGCAGCGTGTACGCTGAGCTAGAACAGCTGCAGTCTACTTCCTAACTCCGTCTTTAAAATGGCATCTTAAAGGAAGCAGATCCTTTATATTTGTTGAGGAAATGTCAACAGTAGTCGTGATTGTTCAACCGCAAAGTGAAAATCTCAAACACCATTACCATGTCCTCTTTCAGGGCAGACTAGGCCGAAAAGGATTTCCTGGAAAAGTTGGGCCTGAAGGAGTCAAGGTGAAAAAAATTGAAATTTGAATGAGATTTTCCCATTTTTCTTGATTAGAACAAATGATAAGTAACACGTTTGTCTCTTCAGGGAGAGACTGGTATCACAGGAAAGGTTGGATCCATGGGAGAAAGAGTAAGAAACCCTGACATATCTGCCTACTACCATTTTTCCAAATCTTGGTTTGTTATCCATCCAACACTGAATCTAATTGTTTCAGGGTTTGGTGGGTTTCATCGGACCTGTGGGAGAGGCGGGACTGGCAGGAGAGAAGGTAAAGTACAAGTAACTTTTGTTGTTGTTTTATTTCCACAAGGTGACTTATAAGACTGAACATAATGCCTATTTCTGTTTAGGGTGACCGAGGGGAGATGGGCCTTCCCGGGCCACCTGGAGAAAAGGGATCAACGGTAAGATATAAGGAAGAGGACTGAGAGGATTAGTTTTTTAAGAGTTAACTTTAAGAGAGCTTTAGGGAGCAATGTCATTATCAAATTCCCTCAAAAACGTGGTTACTGCAAACTCCACTGTGTATGTTATTCCCATGGGAATATTCAGATGTTTTGGGGTTATGTCAATATCTTAAAGTATGCCAAAGGAAGAATGAAGCACATCAGCTCATGGGCGACTTTTGGCAGTTATTCCAGGCTGTACTTGGGCTCTTAATAGGAGGCCTTTTGGTGGAAAAAGTCATAACATTGGCTCCAACAAAGGCACAAAAAGTTCCAATGGATCACCTCCACTGATTTACCCCCTTAGGTATTTGATAAACAATGAAGGAACAAAAGAAGTAATAGCCCTCCTGTAAATTTGAATTATCAAAGTCATCCAAATGAAGACACTAACTAGGCTAATATAAGTTTTTTTCAGGCAGGTAGTCAGAAGGCATTAGGCTTCTTGTGGTAAACTATGGACGTCCTGCAGTGATAGAATGAGCTGTGAAAAGAGGCTCTTACACAAGGAGCTCGGGCAGTTATCGTGCAGGTTCCTAGAATGTGGGTTAATCTCTAATATAAAGATGTGCATCATCTGCACATGCTTGTATTGCAGAAACACAATATACCTAAAAATGATTAAACTCAGGTGAATATGAATTTATTTTAAACAAAAAGGTAAAGGACTAAGGATTGACCCCAGGGGAACGCCTCGCAATAGGGAGCACTGAGGCTATAGCAGAGAGAGACCTGCTGGAGAGAAAAGGTCTAACAATACTAAAACTTTGTCTTTAATGCTTGCAAGGGTTTTAAGGCTTTTCATGAAAGTATCATAGTGGACAAGTTATTAAATGCACAAGTTAAATTAGCCGACTCGAGAATCAGCAGTGAGCGATAAGTCATGGAAACCGTCATAAGAGCTACTTCTGTGCCGAATTTGGCACAGATTCCAGATAAATGTTATTCTAGAGGCAAAACAAATGAAAAGAGTTATTACAGAAATCTGTCCTATTTTCTCGCCAGTCTGTAGGACACCCTAGTGTACCCAGAGGTTTTGAATTTCACGGTTTAATCTTCTGCTATCACACATCCACCCTTCTCTTACAAAAAAAGGCAAGTAGCTTGTCTGTTATGTTTTGTCTTATCCGAAGTGGACCGTCTGATGTACTCCGTATAACTGGCCGGAGAGCATGAGAATTAAGTCATCAGAGAAGTTTCCTGCTGGCTCAGAGCCAGTTGGATGCCTCTCAGGACTTAACCACACACACACACTCACACAGTTATGAGGAAGTTCTCAGTTGTCTCACTCTCTTAGCTGCAAAACACAATCAGACCCTGTGGAAAATACTGCATCATGCAAAGTGAATGGAGCGGACAGTCAGACGTCTTCAGCTTCTATAAGTGCTCATACTACCAACATGTATGATTTATGCCTGAGAGCAGAGCTGCCTACTGCACTATAGGTTTGGATACTGGCTAAAGTTTATTGCACTCAGCTGATTTGAGTGGTCTGACTGAAATGGGTCCCCATTACATAGTTATGCCTTTACAAACGACCCAGCCAGAAAATGAAGAGCAGAAGGGGAAAGGAAAGCAGCCAAAAGCAGTATGTTTTAAGATATAAAATCATCTCCTCTGGCCTCTTTTTTCCCCATTGGCTCATGTCACTAAAGTGTGCACACTTTCCAGGAGGAAAACATTTCTGCAGATGTTTGTTCAAGCTCAGTGCATGTGTGGCTGAAATCCAGTTTGCTATCTCAAACAAATTCAACCTGTATGCATGTAGAGGAATAGGGCGTAAAGGGGAAATTAAAACGGATACATTCCCTCCTGAAAAACTTTGTTTGGAACAACTTAAAGGTCCCAAATAATGAAAAACACAGTTTTCCTTGCCTAGACATCCAGTGCATATTCAAGTCATCTTACAGCCTAGCAACTCTGAAAATCTAGATGCGAAAAGCCTCCTCATTGTTTCTGTAACCCACCTGGGAAAATATAGCTTCTACCAGCCAATTTGAATTTGCTCCTGTGATGATGTAATGACAGGGGGACTTGCAAAAGGCAAGCATGCAAAACTGCTCCCCGTCTTTGAGTGATTGTGCTCCTTCCATACATGTTAAGTTCAGCTTTGGTGTCACAAAGTCCAGATGTCAAAGGTTGGAGCCAAGTGCTAACAATGAAGAACAACTCTGGCCTCATATTGTACCAACTACTTTACTTTGGAGTGTTTAAGCAACAAGGAAAAGTATAAAGTTTATACATAAGAGGCAAAAAAGTAGGAATAACACTGACATTTGAATGCAAAACTTCGAGACACTTGAGCTGTTGCCTCCTCAAAGTTCAAAGTCAGATGCTGAATCATTAGTGCAGAGCTGATGCAGGTTATCCTGGTCGCACTTGCCATATTTGGGGGTGTTTTTCCACCTCTGCATCTGTCTGAGCCTGTCTGCACTGTTGCACCTCAGAAACGACCTTGGCAGCCAATCAGCACAGTGCACAAGGGCTGAATTTCTGAATCTTGCTTTAAAAATCTTGCTCTAGACATGTTGTTAACAGCTAAAAGTACAGTTATAGACACCTTTAATGTTTAGTAATGTGTAATTCTGTAATGTCAACCAAAGTTTACTCTCTACTTTTTCTGCATTTGCAATGTGTGTGATTTCATCTGTATGCACATTTGATAGGGTCACCCAGGGACACCGGGTGAGACTGGGCCTTCTGGACCACTAGGAAGACCAGTAAGAAAACTCTCTTTTCCTGCTTTTGCTCTTCATCTATTTTGCTTTTTTTTTTTTTTTGCAGATGATACTATACTGATGCTTAGCATTATACCACATTTGATACATTTCTAGGTATTGCAGATAATGTTTTGAGTGTGGCTAGAAGTAGTGGGAATGCATGTCTCCTAAACCGGCTTAAAGATAAAGATGCCTTTGTAGGTATATACAAAATATATTTCACTGTCCTTGCAGATGATAGTAATATAGTGTTTGGAACCCAGAGCGTACATCTGATGTTTCTCAGATCATTATGAGAGCCGGCAGCCTCCTGCTGAACCCTCATTACCCTGCTGTCAATCAAAAGCCCAACACCTATAACCAATTAGAAGCTGCCCCTGCCCTCTGTTTCCCCTTTACTGTGTCCTTGCCATGGCCAGGTTTCAGCTGAGCTTTGGTTGAAGGTGGGGGCCACTGAGCCACCAAAACAAACATAAATATGGGGCTCTGGAGTTCGGCAGGACAGGATTCCAGAGCAGGACCTTTAATTGGTATGAGTGACAGATCTAACAACAAACCCCATAGTGTGTTCTCGAGGTCAGGCTGCCCTCAGGGTCAACAGCCAGGGGGGCTCTGTGCTCTGTCAGTGTAAACCTTTGTTTTGTCTTTCCTTACATTTTCCTTACCTCTCTCTTTTCCTTTTGTTCATCAGGGCCCTCCTGGAGCAGCTGGGCCCGCCGGTACCAGAGGACCTAAAGGCTTACGGGTAGGTTGAAAGTTTCCCACCTGTTGCTTTCGCCACTTAATTTTTAGTATGAGAGCACCATCGCTCCAAGCCTGAAGAACAGATCATAAACTACAAAAGTGTGCAGCCACACATCACTTTGCTGTAATGTGTTGAACTAGTGGAAAAGTTTAGCGGATGGACATAATGAAGTGATATAGCCTTGCCTCTGGGCTGAGGTCATGTGTGTTTAATGGACACGACTGCTTGCATAACACAGTGTCTGGTTCGGAGTCAAAGCATGAGTCTGCTTTATCCTTTTCAAAAGTCTGTGCTCATTATAACTTCTGGGAGAGTTCCAGTGATGTAAAACAAACAGCTCTTTTTTATATCGCATATAAAAGGAACAATGACTAGCAGTTATAGGAAGAACCCGCCGTCAGTCCAGCTGCTTCATGACATTTCTGGTGGAAAATATGACCTGGCTTTGTGGCTGATCCAGAGCCTGCTTTGATGATAAATTCAGTTAACTGTTGAAATGTGATTAAGGTGAGGATTACAGAGGCTAATACAAACCAATGGAGAAAGTCATTTATAGTTTTGATTTCATGATACCAGAAAACCAAAAACTCTAAACACTAGACCAACACCAACAATTTTTTTTTATTATCTGCTATTACTCCTAAAAAAATATGTTGCTTGGCCTATAAAGTCCCTTTCTTAAGCCAAAAGTGACCCTTTATGTGTCTACAAAAAACAAATTCATGTTCACAAAAGAAAATATTTCTGGAATCAGTAGCTTTCAATATTTTACTAATTTTTGTTGCCAACGGTAACTCAAAATGATTCATCATGATTCAATAATTAATAACTACTTGAGTTGTCCCGGCTCTAGTCAGCACTCTAGGCTGCGCATTAGTGGATGTATCTGTTCATTTCTGTCCTTGTGTGATCAATGATGAACTGAAATGACCATGAATAATATAAACTCCAATAACAATGATTAGATTTTGATATTGTAGCAATGATTTGCAGAAATATTGGCTTCTTAACCTTACATTTTTGTTATGGTTGCATCCCATTTATTGTGAGTGACTTACCGGCGCTGCTGAATTGATATTAGCTTCCTGTAGATACACTTGTAGCAGAAAACCTAATCAGTGTAAATGTCAAATGAGTCAAGAAAGTTCAGAAGCAGCAGCTGACAGTATTTGCTTGAGATTTATAAAATTCAAGCAGCAACCCCTGGTGGTGAAAAATGAAGCTTACACAGAAGAGCAAAAGAGCTGCAGTTCCTCAAGTGTCCACTCGAGGCTGTTTGCAAAATCCAAAGAATCCTCACTAGGCTACATGTTAAAATGTCAATTTTAAAAACAAAATTTGATATGTGTGAAGCTAGGTTCAGAAAACGCATGTTTGGTATTTAATTCAGTTTAATACTCACTGTGCAATGGGTTGATATTTTTGTAATAAATCCTTTGATATAGCTTTTGATATAATGGCCATGAGTGATACATACATTTATGTATAACATGCCTGTATGTGTCTAAATTGACTAAATGTTAGGTTCAGTCAGAATTTCCAATAAATGAACCGCCATTGTTGTATCAAAACTCCTCTTTAGAAACCAGTGGGTGACATCCCTGTGTTAACATTTATGTTTTATGCAGTCTTCAGTTAAATTACAGCTTTGCAGCTTAGGCTATGTGACACTAAATCCTTCTCCAGCTATTATGTAGGTGATGTAAACATGTGATAACAGCTGGATTTAAAGCAGTTGAGTATGAACTGCTCACAGAAAACTTAAAGCTAATGTAAGGAGATTTTTGATACTTGTGAGAAAGATTGAAATTAATATTGATGTCTCTCTATGATATTTAAAAGATAACAAGAACGTCAACAACAAGATTGATAATGTTTATGTTGTGATTTTAATGCCTGAAACCTGTGTGAGGGGGTAAATGTCAGCAAAGCAGCTAGAGAAACAGCTCTGCTTTTACTTCTTTTTACAAGTGGTTCATCATGAATGACTCATTTGACTTTTAGAAGCCAGATTGATGAGATTTTTCTGTCAGGAGAAACCACTTAAGCCTGTGAAGGACAAGATGAGCGTAGACTGCTTTGTCCACAGGGGGCACCAAAATTGGCACAGATTTAAAGTTCCTCACAGGAGCTATAAACCACATAAAATAACAGCTGGAACAACTTAAGGCTGATTCATACATTAAACCAAGATTTTAAAGGACGCCCTGATAAAATATGGTTAGTTACCTATTGAATGATCATTTTCAGACTGAGGGGGGTAATCCAGAACCCTGTAAAGTGTATGCTCTTGGGGGTTTCCACTGTTTAAGGTGACAACTCGGCCTGATCTTTAACCTCCATCAGAGCTTAGTGTCCTTATCTTTTATCAAAGTGTCTTTTAAAGGATGTATTTTATCACCCCAGTCCACTTAACCAGCTGGAGAGCAGCATGAATGTCACTGAGCCTCTTTATCAGAGGTATCCAGGGGAGATGGGCCTCACTGTGTTTGGCCTGGACACATCTCATGTCTCAAGCTGTGTTTTTAATTAATACCAATGTCAGCACCTTCCAGATTTCCAGTAAACCTGCTGCTGCTGCCTCATGACTTATACCAGGTAGACTAAGCAGAGAAACCTGAGTGTTGCAAGCCAGGGGACAGCCATGTGCAACCGCAGACACACACACACACAAATACCTCACACAACAATTTGCCCTCTGCGGGGCCAGCATGATGATTACAACTTTCTAGTCATTGTTTGAAAGATGCGAAGAAACCTCAAACAGCTGTCACGAAGAGCAAAACATGAGACTATTTTCATTTGTAGCTGATTTCAACTCCTGACAAACCTTTTTATCATCAAATGAGACTGAATGCAGCACTTACACTGTGCCATTTGTCTTTTAACTGTTAGCTGCTGGGCTTGAGGCCTCGGCGCTGACAGCAATATAACATCTGGCCTTTTTCTCAGAAGCGCTGGCACAGGACTCTTCTATAACATGGAAATATTGTGGAATCAGAGACGAGACTCAAAACCGCACCAGACTGCATGTTGGCATCAGAGCTAGCTTGGAAGCTAACGCCACTTTAGCCTCTTTGTTTTTCTTTGTTTACGTTTTCTTCGCAGCCTGTTTCGAAGTTGCTGACTCGAATTTGTGGAGCGTAATCACCGATCTGACTAATCGTTCTTTGTATCAAATAACTCCTCATGACGTCTGACCTACAAATGCTCGGCTAATGATTTCCATACTTAAGAGCATATTAATCCCATTAGCTCCCTCTCAGCATATGGGGATCATTATTTTTATTCAGCTGGCTTAAATTGTTGTTTTTGATGATGCTCGTGGTGTTCTTTCTTGCTGTGTTTTAAGAGATTAAACTAATATGATTCAGCGTATCTAATAACCGTTAAAGCATAATGATACATCCTTATTTCCAAAAGTTGTGACCCTGTGTAAATGTTGACTAAAGCAGATTTTTGATGGTCTTTAAATGATTTAAACACAATATTTGATCAGAAAAAGTGAAAAGACAACATAGAAATTGCTGAAGCTAAAAAAAAGGATAGTTTTATGAAAGTTGTGTATGCTCATTTTACATCTTATGCCAGTCTAAAAAAGTTTGAGTAGGGACAACAAAACTTTGAAAAAATTATGTGATGCTGAAGTCACACCTGGTGTCACAACCCCCAAGTAATTACATTAATTAACAACAGGTGCGTAACATGACCAAGTACTAGAGGAGCTTTTCTGATTGGCTGAGTCTCTCAGAAGTAAAGATGAAAAGAGATTTTTCACTGTGAGAGACTACATGAGCAAAGACAGTAGTTTGACCTTTCTAGACTAAGATTCTCTTAAACAGATTTAGAGAATCTGAAGATATTCTGTACAGAAAGGACAAGGCCATGAACCAGTATTAGAAGGTGGCTCTGCAGGAAAACATACATAACTCTGCAATGGAAATCACTGCATGAGCTCAGAATCACATCCAAGAACATTTAACTTTAGAAACTCCAGGAATGTGAGTAGTTTATTCATGAAACACACTGAAATTCATATTCATATCAACTTTTCTACCATAAATATAAAAAAAAAGTTACATTTAAATGAGAAACATCAGAAATATTGAGATTTTCTCTGATGGGAAACACTACTTAAGAAGACAAGATTGGTAAAGAATGCTTTGTCCACAGGGCGCGCCAAATTTGACCCAAACTAAAGGTTTCTCACAGGAGCTTTAAAATGAGCATCTGTTTTCCATAAAACATTAAATTCTTCAGTATCTACATTTGATATCTTATCTTTGAACCTCTAAATAAATTCTTTAAATGATTTGCAAATCAAAATACATTTTTATGGACATTTTGCAGTGTCCCAACTTTTTTTTGGAATTGGGGTTGTTTTGGAGTGAGTGTGTTTTTTTTATTTCTTTGGCCTGATCAGAGTGAAATGTTTCCCCTACACATCAGCTAATCCAGCTATGTAAACGCAAGCAGTGGGTAGCAGGTACCCCAGACAGGAATGTTAATGAGCGCTGCTTATCCTGCTCTATGTATAATAGGCTTATAGCACTTCAGCTAGCGGCAGCTAAACTCCCACTGTGCTCAGTCATCAACTGCTCCTGTGTGGCTGCGTCATGTTTTCTCCGCTTTTCTCTTTGATTAATGGTCCTGGGAATGTTATTTATAATCACTGTCTGCTCAATCAGCCCATAGAGTGTCATAGATTTTTATCAGCTGCTGTGTTACAAAGCCAGCATCCTTTGCAGTATGGATGAGGAGGAGAGAGGTGCAGGTGCAGAGCAGATGCTTTGTATTGGTCCACTGCCTGGCCACCGTTTATTATGACTGCTCACTGGACTAGGAGGGCTTTAAGCACTGTAGATTGATTATGTTTGACAATTTGATCCATGTAATGTAAACAGTCAGACTGAGACTATATGTGTTTAAGTGAAAGCTGGGACACTGTGCCCTGATTCCAGCATCAAAATTGTACAACTTTCACTGCTATGCCTTTCACCCGATGCTACTTCTACTGTCTGTCTTTGCTCAATTTTACCACTGAATGCACTTTTGCTCAACTTAACTTCCAATCTAACCTGAATTTGATAGTTTACAGGCACATTTACATCACTGTACTACACAGAGATGTTTATGTACAGTGTGTCGTGGCTGTTTGGCTGTGTTACACTGACCTCTGTTGGTGAAGTGACTTCTGTTTTGTGTTTTCAGGGGGCAATCGGGCCTGATGGTCCAACCGGGGAGACAGGGTTAAAGGGCAAGGAGGTAAGACATCAGACCTTTAAGTGCATTTTGTATGGATTACATATCTTTCTCACCAAACATGAGCTACGCGACCTAAGAACAGCCTTACATTGTCTGAAACCAACATTTTTCTGCACACATACTTAAATCTTTGCATAAAAAAGCTGCACTTGTCTTGACATGTCTTAACTCACAGCTATCTCTTCTTCTCCCCTCTCTGCAGGGCTCTGATGGCCCTCCAGGAAAATTAGGTTTCCCTGGACCACAGGTAAAGCACTGGGGTACTGTTCTGCTTTTCCTCTACTTCCTCTCATATATTTTTGGTGCTTCTGTTACTCTGCAGGGACGAGGCATTAGAATGATTTAGAAAACCCACATAACAGCAGCAGCGAGGAGGCCAGCAGTCAGACACAACATATTACTGGAGGAGATCTCCTTCCTGGGGAGTTTGAAAGAGGGGGCAATGAGACAGATTCTCATATATGGCAGATGAATGCTGAATTTTCTGATGGGTTTTATGGGTACTTACTCAGCCTGGAGTTACACTCCACTTCTGAAAAGAACCCAACATATTTTGCTGCAAATTTTAGGATCTTATTGAATCAAAATGGTATGTGAATCTCTATGAATCTTCAGAGGCTGTACAAGCATTTAAAAATACACAGAGGCTATCTAGTCACGTGCTGGCGCTATTTTTCTATAAAAATCCAAGTCAACTCTACTTCTTTCCTTTTAACTTTGTCTGTTGCACTATGCTGGATAAGATATTGCAATGATTTAAGGATTTTACTGGCAGTTTTATTCATATTGCTACCTTTTATTGCAGTCATGAATACCAAGTTGACTTGAGATGGAAAAATCATCTCTATCATCGTGATTGACAGACAGGGGTCCACAAGATCACGTGGTTAAAAACAAACAAACAAATTCAGATGAGAAAAACAGGATATGATCAAACAACTGAGAAGCAGGAAACCTTGAATATTAAGAGACCATTATGCAAGTGATTTCACAGGAATGACAGGTATCCTACAGAAAGATGACTGGGATCAGTCAGCAGCATTATAAAAGAATTCTGAGAGTACTTTTAATCAGCATAAACATTTTTATATCAGATTTCTCAAAAGAGCCTTGAAAGTAGAATCCTCCACTAGCACAAGCCCAACAAGATTTAAATATTGTTCTCAAAGCATCATTGTAAGCAACATGAAGCCTTGGTAGGCTTGCTGAGGTGTCCAGTAAGCTCTAAAGAGACTAACCTTGACATTGTCAGAGTACAGAGAGAATTTTCTTGCCTGTATTGGTATGAGCATGTAGTATACAACATTGTCTGTACAACATTTGTTCTGCACTGAAGTGTCCTAAATATTTGTTATACTGCTGAGCCTTAGCACTTTCTCTGATAGATGGAGGTTAGTAAAAGGGAGATCCTTGCCCTCTTTAGCTCTACATATCAATACAAGGCTTTTTTTGGCATTGTATCATAGGTTGTATTTAACACCATATTCAGACAAATATTGAACAGCTGCCGGAACCCAGCACAAGGGAAAAATAGCCAAATCATCAGAATACTTGAGATGATTGATTGTTACCCAATACACAACCAGTTTTGCAGCAATTCAGCTGTAGAGATAACTCATCCATGTCCAGGTTAGAGATGGCACAGCTTCTCTTCCTCATTTGATTAGAGTCATTCATTTAAAAAAACATTGACATAAATCTTGTGCAGGATCGGTTTGATAGGAAAGACTGTGCAATGTAAGACAGTAAGCGACCAGTAGAGGGGGTTGATGCAAATCAGTTGCTAACAGTAGGTCCATCTATTCTGTGCAGAGACCAGCAGCTCATATGGTGGTGAAATCAGATAGCATTAGAAAGAGTTACACAGCTGCATAGAAACTTCACATTTCTGGGTGAAAGTGAATGAAAGTCTTCACACATGTAGACGGCATAAACAGTTTCACCCCCGGAGAAATAGATAGCCACTTGTTTACCTTCATTTTTGGATTTTACAGTGTTTAGCTGTAAACCAGAAAGAACGTAAGATTCCGCTGTCAGTCACTTGTTTTCATATTCAGTCTTGGTTTTTGGGGGGATCTTAGATCACAAATGCGAGTGAGGGCTGATGTAACTGATCTTTACTCTTGTTGTTGTCGTTGTTGTTTCTCTCCAGGGGAAGATTGGAGAGTCGGGCGAAACTGGGCCTAAAGGTTTCCCTGTGAGTACAAAGTTTGATATTGTTTATTTTAGTCCGATAGTAGTATGTAGTCTGAGAGTGAGATGATATGTGGGGATTTATGTGTCATTTATAGTCTGTCAATTATCTCTCACCAGGGTATCCAAGGGCCCTCAGGACCTCCAGGTGACAAGGGAATACCAGGGGAGCCGGTATGAGCTTCATCCTTTTGGATTTCTTCAACATTTCTCCTCTCATTTACTGTCTTCCCCCTTAAACTCTCTCCTTTTGTTCTTCTGTAAGAAAAATCAGCTTTTACATTACTCCTAAATTAGCTCGTCATATTTTTCCTCTTCATTTTTCATAACCACACTTCCCAGTTTTATGAGCTTGTCTTTGGCAACAAACCTCACACTGGTCCTCTCTGCCCAGGTCCCAGAAATCACAGCCAGGAGAAAGTTTATGAGACACATTTTCAAGTTTATTAAGAGTATATATTCGCTTGTATTAAATGTTTCCTCCAAAGCAGCCAGAGAATTGTCTCATCCTTCATGCATCTGTTCTGTAAGTGGCAGGAGAGTGAAGTGAACTGTTCACATGCTGATGGAAGGATTAAAAAGACATTTATTAAGTAGGAACAGCTTTTTAATAGAAGTGCTAAAGTGCTGAACTCTAAGGGAAAATGTATGTGATTATTGCCTCGATGAAGAAATCCATGTCTATAAAAGATTTAAAGGCCTTCATGTGGTTTTACTTTATTTTTGCTCAAAAACAACAGAAATATGAAAATATATATCTAACTTTCCGTGCAGGTAGAGTTCCCCTATGTGCATTCTTTTTTACTGTCATATAAGCAGGAAGACACTGCGGTAGCTTATCTACGGTTCGCAAAAAGGGGCAAAATAGTGACATGTTTAAAAAGCTGATGGGAAAATCTCTGACTGTTTTGACTTCATGGCTAAAACGTCAACACTGACAATCCTAGTTAGCAGCATTTCAGTCAGACATCAGACTTTAGAGCCATTTCTTCTTATTCGTAGTTAAATATGCATCAGAATGGGCATGTGCATGTTTTTGTGAGTCATTAACAGTTTGCTGACTCTGCAGTTTCCATTTAGGCAGTCCATTTTAGTGAACCGCATATAAATATTAATCCAAGCTGAGGATTAAGTGGCAAAGTGGAGAGTTTTATAGACCAGACCACCAACAGATAAAGCTAAATAAAGGGTATGAACTCCCAGTACATTATGCCAGTTTCATGCTGCATATCGGAGCCAATTTATATCACTGTATCCTAGAGACTAGATATTAAACTCTGCTTCAAGTGAGGGATAAGTCTTAGTTTTTGAATATCCATCGCTTTTTGATGGAATAGTTGACACGACCATCATCTCATCTTCAAAATATCATTTCAGTAGTTTATCCTGTAATGTGTTCAAACTACCACAAGGGGGCTGTAACATCATCTCAAAGCAGTTTGATTACCAGCTGTTGCTGAAAGCATTAATGCCAGATGTTGGTAGAGAAGTGTTGTGATGTGAGAGAACCGCACAGACTAAATCAGCTATGAGGATTTTATGTTAGGAACCACTTCTTAAAAATACAAAATCAAAACTATATTTTTATAATCACCTTTCCTTCCTAATTATGCTTCATTTTCTGCTCTTGTTCTGCATGGATGTTTACACTTGAAGAAATACACCTCTGAGCTCTTCTGTTTCCCTCTTTGGGTTCATATGTGATTTAGAGACCTCAGTGGTGGCTTCACTTTTTAATTCAAGATAGTGTAGATCTGATGTAGATCACCACTGATTCCTACTTTAGTTAATACTTCTGTATTTTTCTGTCATATTCAGGGACCACCTGGGCCACCAGGGACTGTGGGACTGTTGGGAGAAATCGGCCACAAGGTGAGTTTGGTGTCCATTTGCATATATAAATTAAAGGTATTGTAAAGACTAAATGATCAAATGAAACGAGGTGTCCATCCTTTTCTGCATAATCAAACATTCTCCGTCTCTGGACATTTTCTTTAAATGGTTAAAGCTTCTTATTTTTATCACAAATATTTCAACGTTTTCATTCCCATGCTCTCTTTGTTTCTCTTCAGGGTCCTCCAGGCAAGGTGGGAGAACCAGGACTGCCAGGCGAGCCAGGCGAGAAGGTGAGAGGCGTTATTTAAGCTGTTGCATGCCTGTTGAAAGAACACTGAAATGATAAATATTCAACACTAACTCTGATGCTCGTGTCTGTGTGTGTCAGGGAGCCATTGGAGCTGTTGGCAACATCGGAGAGCAGGGACTGATAGGACAGCGGGTATGTTTATCTCTCAAACTATTTTAAATAATCAAGTATTTTGCCTTCCTCCCACATGGAACTGTTTATTTTATTTAACTTTGCATGTGTGTGATCACAGGGAGAGCCAGGCCTGGAGGGAGAAGCTGGTCCAGCCGGTCCTGATGGAGCCAAGGTGACATGATTTTCCACATTATCTTTGTCATCAGCTTTAAAGCTTTGACATTTAGCTAAAGCAGAATCTGCTTTTTGTGTGCTCAGATATGCTCTTTTTCTGTGCTCATGTTCAGGGTGAGAAAGGCGACATGGGTCAGGAGGGCGACCAGGGAGAAAAAGGAGAAATTGGGCTAAAGGGAAAGGAGGGCCCGCTTGGAAGTCCTGGACTAACCGGCGTCAGAGTATGTAATCTGTTTTCAAACGCTCCAGGCCTTCACAGACCCTAAACCCCACAGCCTCTAACTGTTTATCGATTTTGTTTCTTCCTAAAGGGTCCAGAAGGGAAACCTGGCAAAATTGGGGAAAGAGGCAAGCTGGGGTCAAAGGTATCAACAAATTCATCTTTGAACAACAGCATGAAAATGATCTGTGACTGGGCACGTTGTAGACAATCTGTTGTCTTTATTCAGGGTGCAAAAGGTCAACAAGGACACCTCGGGGAAACCGGGACTGTAGGAAAGACTGGACCGCCAGGATTTGTTGGGCCGAAGGGATCCAGAGGAACTATTGGACACGTGGTAAAGTGGAACAGTGATTATACCTTCGACCTTACTCTATTCTTGAATGATTTCGTCTTTCTAGGCAATAATATGATTATAGTCAGTCCTTCAGAGTCTGTCATCACAGCTACAAGGATTTGCAAAGATTCGTTCAATATTACATCAGTCCACACAACTAAAAAATGACTGACTTTTATTGAGAGTTGCTACTAGTACAGTGGTTCTCAATCCAGTCCTCGAGCCCCCCCTATCCTGCATTTTTTGGATGTTTCCCTGCTCCAACACACCTGATTCAAATGATCAGCTCGTTATTAAGCCATTACAGAGCTTGATAACGAGCTGATCATTTGAATCAGGTGTGTTGGAGCAGGAAACATCCAAATCATGCAGGACAGGGGGGGCTCCAGGACTGTACTTGGCAATGACCGATCAATCAGGTTCTTCAAACATCTGTAAAATGATCAAATTCATGGTTCATTTTTGAATGACAGCATCTTTACTATCCACTGGTTTCAAATGCATTGAGTGTGCGTAAAACCACAATGTCTTTTCTTTTCAGGGAGCTCCAGGTCGGATGGGTCAACAAGGAGAAACTGGTCTTGGGGGTTATGAGGTGAGATTGACCTTTTTGTCAGTATGGGTGGACATACAATCATAAATAATCCTGCTGTGGTTTTACGTGGCATAATCTCTTGCATCTGTCTTTACAGGGCCATCAGGGACCACAGGGCCCCATGGGGCCTCCGGGAACAAAAGGCGAAAAGGTACGCCTCTTTTTCCTGTATTTGTAACACCAGTTTTGAATTACTCCTCCTCCTTTCCATGAAGTTTTCCCAGTGTGTCTCTGAACCAGTTTGGATCTATCAGAATAAGCACCTGAAGTAGACCAATAACACCAACAGGTTTGAAAGAGTTTTGAAGCCAGCTTCCCACAATGCACCTCTCTTTCTCTGAGAAGCTTTTACCGATTAACCTTTCAATTTCAAACCTGTGTGTCTTCATCAAAAAGGTCTACTCTTAATTAATGACAGCATGTCCTTCTGATTCTTTTTGTATCAGGATTAAAACAGTCAAGTTTGGCCCTGAAAAACAGCGAGTTAACAGTTTAAGAAGCAGCAGTTATACGTGGTGTTTTGAATCATGGAGAATGTTTGTCTCACGCATTAAAGTCTGAATTCTCTTTGCTTTATCTTCATCTGCAGGGCGAGCAGGGGGATGATGGGAAAGTTGAGGGTCCCCCTGGTCCTCAAGGTGACATAGTAAGTCACACCTGGCTTACTTTTCTCCCTCTTTGAAATATTAGTCTGCTTAAGAATACCAGTGTGGGCGCTGAGCCCTTACTTTCCAGTTCATGTTGGAGTGTGATGCAGGGGGAGTTTGTTGTTGCTATGGGGTCTTTTATAAGGAAACAAAAAAGTCATCTTTCTGTATCATGTCACAAAAGACTTCCTACCTCTGACCAGAAGATGGTGCTATAACAAAACAGTGGCATATGAATGTTTGCAGAAAGAGACTCTCATCTTGCATGCAAAGTTTGACACAGTTTGGACCCTGAGTGTTTGAGTGACAGTAACTTCCTGTTGTCATCAAACAGTTTGTTGATTGATTTCTTGTTGCTTTAGGGTCCTGTTGGTGACAGAGGAGAGAGAGGAGAACCAGGAGATCCAGGATACATAGTATGTACAATCATGCCAGGTGATCACAAACTATTCTGTTTTGGTGTTTGATTTTTTTTTGGTATTTACACCTCTCTGTTACTTTGTTTTAGGGTCAAATTGGCGTGGATGGAGAGAGAGGCAGGCCTGGAGCCCCTGGACAACCTGTGAGTGTAAAAACCTTTGGTTTCTAAGCACAGGGCTCTCTTTAGACCTGCACAATCTGCACATGCACACACAGACTGTCTCTATGTGACTTCATTAACACAAAAACCAATTTCAGGGACAGCCTGGACCTCGAGGGCAACAAGGACCCAAAGGAGCAAAAGGAGACCAAGTAAGGATGTGAAAACAAAGTCTTGCTCTAGGTGCTTATTGATCAGTTCAAAAAAGATTACCTGTATTTTCCTGTCTATAGGGTCAAAAAGGAAAAAAGGGTCAGCTGGGACAAAAAGGAAGCCGAGGAGTAGAGGTAAGTCCAACATTTGTTTCTCTAAGTCAGATTTTCTTATATGTCAATCCTCCAAAAGTGTTACTATGACTCAAGGCATAAATAGATCAGCTTCAGTAACTTCACTGAGGACAGACAGGTGGCATAAAGACAGAGTCACTCATCTAGATTGCTGAACAGTTCTCCTCTCTTTAGGGTGCAGGTGGTCCACCTGGTCCCAGAGGTGTGGTGGGCCGAGAGGGACAGGAGGGTGTGCCCGGGCAGGATGGAGTCCTAGGGAAAGATGGCAGTAAAGGCATGCCGGTGAGACACACAAATACATCTCTTCTTTGTAGCTTTTACAGTGTTACATAATGTATATACTGTTCTTTATATATCTACTGCAGAGGCTGATGGGTAACCTGTTATAATTATTCAGTGGCCACATTAGTCTAGGATAAAGTTTTTTTTAATACTTAGATGTGTTTCATTTTTCTCGTCTATGTTTCCAGGGAGAACATGGTGATGATGGAGAGTTTGGTCAATCCGGCAAAGCTGGCTCTCGGGGTAAAACTGGCGTTCCAGGACTTCCAGGAGATCAGGGAGGCATCGGACCCAAGGTAAAAAGGCAAAAGTCCAAAACTGCACAGTCACAAAACAAAGTAATCAAAATGACATGATAGGTTGAATTCATTTGTCATTAGTCTTAGATGATGGTATAACGGACTTCATTTATCCTTTGTGCTCTTATCCAGGGTGAGCGGGGTCTTCGAGGCCAAAGCGGACCTCCAGGAAAAAGAGGCTTCAGAGGTGGGATGGGACTGCCAGGGCAACAGGGAGACCAAGGACCTAAAGGCCAACCTGTGAGTGTCACCCGAATATACACACAAGGATTCACCAAAACCTTGACTGACAGGATGTAATGATATACTTTATGATTATTTTGGGATGTTCAGTGATTTTGACTGTCACCTGTCTTCTTGCTCAGGGTGATACTGGAGAATCAGGGTTTCCAGGGATTCTGGGAGATTTTGGGCCAAGGGTAAGTTTATAACCATACAGCAGTACGTCTTTGTCTGCAAAGACTCAATGGTTATGTCTTCCTAAGGGGAGAGTTAGTCTCTAAATAATGAACTTCTGCAATCATAGCTTAATTTTGAAATCTGCTTCAATTAGCATGGAGTCAGTTTGACACCACAAGGATTGAAAAACTAAATCTCCAGAGCTGATGACACGTGTTGGATGCGTAGAGTTTGTATGTTAGAAAACTTTGAGGACATTTAATTTCTGCTGTTTTCAGGGGCCTCCAGGAGACTTTGGGCCAAAGGGTATACGGGGACCAAAGGGGCCACTGGGGTCAATGGTGAGTAGACAAAAGATTAAAGTGACACTGATAAAACGCACGAAGCCTCGTGTTATTTTCTTATTCTCCCCTTTTTCTCCATCAGGGAAGGGGAGGGGTCGCTGGTCCCATTGGAATCATTGGTCCTAATGGCAGTGCGGTTCGTATTCTTGAGATTATGCTTTGTTATTTCGCTGTGCTGGTACTCTGCAGACCACTGACTCTGTCTGTCTCTCTGCAGGGTCCTAGAGGGGAGAAAGGAAGCAGAGGAGAGACTGTAAGTTTCCCTAAACTCTTTTGTCACAGATTCCTTTTCATTTTAAGTGTGAAAAGTAACCACATCTAACTTTATAAAACAACTAAATGCTTTTTTTTTTTTATCTGAACAGGGGCTGCAAGGTCCGAGGGTATGTTTGCATACTGTGCCTTTATTTTCTGATGTCCACGGTTGTTTATATTTTACCTGAAGCACTTGATTGGTGAGATAAATATATATTTAAAAAGCATGATGGTTTGTCATTTATTAGGGATCCCCTGGACCTCGTGGACCTCCAGGACTTCCAGTAAGTTTTCTCTACTCTATCAACTCTATAGATCCATCATTGGTCAAATTTAGTGTCAGGATGGAGTTCCATGTCTTATTGTTCTGCATTTTTCCTCATAGGGTCCCCCAGCTGTCCCTCTATCATTTGTAAGTTGTTTTATATCTTTGTTGTTACATCCAATAAATAAAGCAGTTAGACTACAACATATTAGGAAAAGCTGATCATATGCGATTGCTCTGTTTAAAAACTCTTAACATTTTTATTATTCAATGCAGAAAGAAGACGGTGTTTTGTTTCTGGATTCACACAAACCTCTCAGGACTGAGGTTTGTGGAGTTTAGCATCAACATTCCTCAAACTGTGACAGCTGAAATGTGATTCTGATCACGTGAGTCTGTGTTTTTGTCTTTCTTCCAGAATAAGCCAGTGATGGATCTGCCGATGCTGGACCAGGGCGCAGAGATCTTCAAGACCCTCCACTACCTCAGTAACCTGATCCAGAGCCTGAAGAACCCACTGGGCACCCGGGACAACCCTGCCCGCATCTGCAGGGACCTGCACAGCTGTGAACAGAAGTTAAAAGATGGTGTGTATTTATTTTAAGGTTGGAGGCAGACAGCAGGTTTGTGTCTCAAAGACTTATTTTTAATTCTGTGTTGATTTCAGGCACTTATTGGATGGACCCTAACCTGGGCTGCTCATCAGATAAAATAGAAGTCTCATGCAACTTTACCGGAGGGGGACAGACCTGCCTCAAACCAATAACAGCATCAAAGGTATGTAAGACACAAGACAAAACACATTGGCTAAAGCTACACTTTAAAGACACCAAAATACAGAGACGGTCAGTAAGAGAAGTGTCACAAACCAGACTTGTTGACTGATCTCTGTTGTTGCGCAGCCAACAGTGACCGTTGGGCGTGTCCAGATGAACTTCCTGCACCTGCTGAGCTCGGAGGCAGTCCAGCACATCATCGTCCACTGCCTGAATGTCCCGGTGTGGAGGACAGCTGAGGATCAGCCAGGTTCCCTGTCTGTGAAATTCAAGTCCTGGAGTGGGGAGGTGTTTGAGGTGGGAGGAGAGCTGGAGCCTGAGGTCTTGGAGGACTCCTGCTGGGTATGACCAACATCAATTTACTTAGTGTTAGTTCGCTAGATTAGTAAAAAGCTTTTAGCTTACTCTTAAAAGAAGAAATGGTGTCTGCCTCACTGCTATAAACTGTTTGATGATATCTAAGGAGTAAGGCCTGATCATTGAAGACTCTGCCTCCCATACTAACCTCAGAAGTTAATGGTTTTTTGAGAGCGCCTGTTTTAAGGCCTACTGACATATGATGGTGCCTGAACATTGAAAGCTTTGCAATAAAGAAGACAGATTTTAAGTTTTCCCTGACAAAAACTGGCTTATGATTCCAAAGGAAAAGGACCAAATCTGAAACGGCCCTGCCTCCTACACTACTTTCTGAGATTTTATGCCCCTTCAGCAGGCCTGTAGTATGGAGCAGCAGGGTTTTTAGGGAGGTGACTGGCACTCTTGGGCCTTTGAAATGAGATGATGACTGACCAATGAAACATTTTCAGAGCATTTTCACTGAAACCAGGATTTCATAGTGAGCAGGTACAGAGAAGCTAGCATGAAAGAAATGTGGTTTCTGTCCCTTGGTCTTGCCGATAAATAATTATTTGTTTCTTGGTTTCAGGTTAAAGATGGCCGCTGGCACCAAACCCATTTTGTATTCCACTCCCTGGACCCCACCCTGCTCCCTGTGGTTGACATCTACAACTTCCCTAAAACTACACCTGGCTCACATTACCACCTAGAAGTAGGCCATGTATGCTTCCTGTGAGTTTTAAACGCAAGTCTTTTAAAATGAAAGGATGGTTCATGACCCACTACTGGTGGCGCCATTGTGCGGGTGTAGGAATCGGACCAGCCTCCTCCTGTCTATAACGTGACAAGCGAGTATAAGCCTCCCTCCAAACAGATCCTGCTACACCCTGTCAAACTCCCATTGGACTGCAGACACAGAGGGAAAAAGCACAGGGAGCGGGAGGTAGGAGGAAAGAAGAGCTTTGGAGGAGCAGGGGAGTCCTTGCACTAATAGCATCTCCATACAGTAAAAGCTTCTTCAAGCAAGTCCAGAAGGATCTCCGCATGCCCACCTGCTTGAAGAAAAAGACTTTTGCCACAGTCTCTCCTGAACATTTAATAGTGAAGAGAGACCAAATCAGCGGACATTATAGTAACTTATTTTTCTAACGGTATACAGTCTGTATACTGTGTGTACTTTCTATGGAAATACCAGGAATTCAATTCTATTAAACAATGAGAAATAAAGTAATTGGGATCAGTTTATATATATATATATATATATATATATATATATATATATATATATATATATATATATACACAACTTTTATACATGTATATCTTTTGTAAAAAGAAATAATCTTCAAGTGCAATAGAGAATGAGAAGATAATTTGACATTTTAAACTTATATGGAAGGATTTTTTAGTGGGGTACCATTTTACTTTTGCTGTTTTTTTGGTACTCAACTCCTTGTGATCCAGCCTGGTAAATATATCTAAAGATAGACTCATAAAAAAAAAGATTTACTGATGCTCCAAATGGGAAATCGTGGTGTTCAGTTTATACCCTATTGTGGGAAAACCAGGGAAAAATCTTATTAATCACATCTGATGACACAACTGATGCAGACATGCAATCTGGGATACTCAAGTTATCTTATACTTATTGCTTCATTTATCATTTATATATAATTGAACTGGATGCCACTGATAATATGGAGGGAAACCTACAGTTGGGGAGTAAAAATAACTATATGGAGCTCTAGTTCTCAGTAGTTTTTAAGTTTCTCTGCAACTGTGGAGTAGGATATCAGGCATATCTCTTCCTTGCTTCTATATGAATAAATAGAGACAGGAGGGTTTTATTTACTCAGCGCTACATGGGACCAGGAGTCTTCTTTAACTCGACAGTTACAGGTACAAGTACAGGTATTTCTTAGAGGAGAACTGAGCCACACGGGAGAGAGGGTCCAGGAAAAAGAATGAAAACCCCAACTTATGTCTCATCCTCTTTCTGTTCCATGGTGCTAAGTAAATTATTAAAGGTGCTAACAGTGCTGTAATTACACCACTTTGCCAAACTATTCTCACGTTTATAGTGCATGCTAGCCTAGATAAAACTCTTAAGTCCATATATCATGTTGCCTTTGCTTCCATTGTGCACTACAATGCTCATAATCCATCTGAAACTTCAACCCTTGTTGTACCAGCTTTTATTAATGCTGCATTTTAGAAAGAGGTTGGTTACAATACTATTTGAAGAGATATTCCTCCATTTGTATCCAGTATAAATCACAGGATTTTAAGTATTTCCCTCTTTCTGAACTCGCCTCTTCCTCTGTACAAAGCCCCCCACAGCTGTATGTCATATTTGTTAGAAACATTACTAGTGGAGATATAGTTTTGATTTAATAAGAAGTTTCTTTTTTGTAGCTGGACACATGTGTGTATAATTGTGCAAACTTTGCTGTATACAGTGGATCCCCTCTCTCTTATTTAATATTATTTAATGTTTTTAACGTGGTTGCTGACTGAGCAATTTTTTGTTGGTTGAAGCAATATTACTCTTTCTGACATCTTTATATATCAGTTTGCCCAACTGGTCTTGGAGTTTATAGATTTTTTATGTGTAAATTTGGGGCTCCAGAGAACAAATTTATTGCAATGTTAATTATCGTTTATTTTTTTAATTTTTGTCATTTCTGTTGTTTTTTTTTTCCTCTATGATAACCAACCATGTACTGTATCAAGATTCTGTGCTATACTATAACTTGTGTTTCAAAGAATTAAGGAAATATGTGAAAATTGTTTCTGTCTTTTTGTTACAGACATAAAAATGAGCTAAGAATACCTCACATTATTACACATGCTTTCATTATCAAAGCCTGTTTGGAAACATCAGCCAAATTCAGTCAAGTCATTGAACTCTGAGCAAGACTATTTCTGGTGCAAACATCCTTCATCTGTCTACTGTTTATGTATTGTTCAATGTCCATGTGTTAAATAAATACTTTCAATTTTTGTGTTGAAGAATTTTTATCGCCAGAAAAAATCAAGTTAGATACAAGGATCTATCACCGGTATTAACTATGGGCCATACTTTTTCAAAATGGAATAAATTAAGTTGCAGAGTTGCCCAGGTTTTAGCAACTGATAGTGCAGCTTGTATGATGATTCTCAACCAGGTTTCTAAACTAAGTAGTTGTCATGACAAAGATACCTTGAGAATAATGTATTGAACTACTGACAAGTATTACCCCACTTAAAAACTGTCTTTTTGTCTATGTAAACAAACTAAAATAAAATTGAGTTTAGTTTGCAGGTGTACAGGCTACTGTATCCTGCAAGGACGTCGGTCGTGCCTCTGATTAGCCAATCTTCTTACTGTAACAACTTTGAAACAAACACACGACACTCCCCGTACAGCTGGTAACACAGGAGCCCTGAACTACTTAAACCCCAACTGTTTTTGAACCAGGCTGTAAATGTGTTTATCTGGAGGTTGCCACTTGGTACTATATGACGCGCCAACCATGCAGGACTGGAAGGGAAGGAAACAGAGAGAACAAGAACATACTTGCAGAAGTGCGGACATGTATTAATCTCTCGTAGCAAAAAAAAAAAAAGAGATTTTTCTCTTTTCTCCCCCAAAGGTACTTTTGGCACTGTCTTTTCCACTGCACTGGACTGATGGTGTCAGTGCTATATGCTGAAACCCGTGAGCTGAAACAGTTATTAAGAAAATGTGAAAGGATTTGGCGCTCCTCCAAAACAGCTGAAGCTCGTTTTCTCTGGCAGGAATGTCTCGATAAATATAAGAAAGCCCTACGACGTGCTCGGACAACCTACTACTCGTCTCTTATTGAGGAAAATAAGAATAACCCCAGATATCTCTTCAGCACTGTAGCCAGGCTGACAGACTGTCAGAGCACCACTGAACCATGTATCCCATTAGCCCTTAGCAGCAATGACTTCCTGAGCTTCTTCAATGATAAAATCTTAAAAATAAGAGGTAAAATTAGTAACCTATTGACTCCATCAAGTGTCTCTCTCTCAGATAACCCTAAAAATGTTGAGGAGCCCCTAAGGCCTCTGGTGCACCTTAGTAATTTTGTACCTATTGACCTTCCTGAGTTAAAATCAGTGGTGCTAGCAGCCAAACCATCGACGTGTCTCTTAGACCCAATTCCATCTAAATTGCTGAAGGAAACTCTTCCTTTGATTAGTACGTCCCTGCTCAAAATGATTAACACGTCTTTATTAACAGGATATGTTCCCCAGTCTTTCAAGACTGCATTGATTAAGCCTCTCCTTAAAAAACCTACTCTAGACTCAAGCTCCCTAGCTAACTATAGACCAATATCCAACCTTCCTTTTATTTCTAAAATCCTAGAGAAAGTTGTTGCGAATCAACTCTGTGATTTTCTCCATAACAACGGTTTATTAGAGGATTTCCAGTCTGGGTTTAGAACCCATCACAGCACAGAGACTGCTCTGCTAAAGGTGTCAAATGACCTACTCATGGCCTCAGACAATGGTTTTCTCTCTGTTCTAGTCCTGTTAGATCTTAGTGCAGCATTTGACACAATTGACCACTCCATCCTGCTTCAGAGACTAGAACAATCTATAGGCATAGCAGGATCAGCTCTCTCCTGGTTTAAATCGTACCTAACAGATCGATCCCAGTTTGTCAATGTAAATAATGAATCCTCTGCACACACCAAGGTCTGCTACGGTGTGCCGCAAGGGTCAGTGCTCGGTCCAATCCTATTCACCCTGTACATGATTCCGCTGGGTAAAATTATGAGGAAGTACTCGATTAATTTCCACTGTTATGCAGATGACACCCAGCTATACCTATCCATAAAGCCAGAGGAAGCAGGCCAGGTTGCTAGGTTAGAAGCCTGCCTCAAAGATATAAAATCCTGGATGACCAATAATTTTCTAATGCTCAACTCAGACAAAACTGAAGTTCTGGTCCTCGGTCCTAAACACCTTAGAGAGGCGTTCTCTAGTAATTTAGCTACATTTGATGGTATCAGCCTGGCATCCAGCCCCACTGTGCGAAATCTAGGAGTTGTATTTGATCAGGATTTATCTTTTAGCTCCCACATTCAACAAATTTCCAGGACAGCCTTTTTCCACCTGCGCAATATCTCAAAAATTAGATGTATATTGTCTCAGAGCGATGCAGAAAAACTAGTCCATGCCTTTGTTACCTCTAGGCTGGATTACTGTAATTCTCTCCTATCAGGCTGCTCTAGTAAGTCATTAAGGACTCTTCAGCTGGTCCAAAATGCAGCAGCTCGGGTATTGACTAGAACTAGAAGGAGGGAGCACATCTCTCCTGTTTTAGCCTCTCTTCACTGGCTCCCTATTAAATATAGAATTGAGTTTAAAATCCTCCTTGTGACATATAAAGCGCTTAATGGCCAGGCACCATCATATCTCAACGAGCTAGTTATACCGTACTTTCCATCTAGACCGTAACGCTCACAGTCTGCAGGTCTGCTCGTTGTACCAAATGTCTCTAAAAGTAGTATTGGAGGAAGAGCTTTCAGCTACCAGGCACCTCTCCTCTGGAATCATTTACCGCTCGAGGTTCGGGGGGCAGACACACTCTCAACTTTCAAGAGTAGACTTAAAACGTTCCTCTTTGATAAAGCCTATAGTCAGGGCTGATTTGAACCAGCTCTTAGTTATGCTGCTATAGGCCTAGACTGCCGGGGCTATCTGGCACACTGAGCTAGAGTCTGTCTCTATCTCCTCTTTAGATCTTTATGTCCCATATAAGTCACTGACCAGTTTTCTGTCTCTCTGAGTGTCTCTGAGTCTTTTAGCTGCCACTGGACTAATGCTGCAAACAGGTCTGCTGCGGAACTGCCTGACCCCAGCTGCATCCACCCTGGGCCCTGAGCTCCTCCAACTCTTTGGCTCTTTGGCTCCTCTGGACCGTTGCCGCAGACCTGAAGGTGGGTGTGATCGACAATGGTGTGAGGTGCCTGAGCCAACAAGCCCTGTTCACTGCACAGGCACATGTTGTTTAAATCAGATATGAACCCTGTCTCAGTTCTGAGGAAGCGAAAGTAAAACAGTTGTAACTCGGAGGTGAAATGGCTCACAAGCTAAACCAAATGGACCAAGAGAAACTCTGCTGTTTTATCTGTCTGGATTTACTCAAGGATCCAGAGACTGTCAGATGTGGACACAGATTCTGCTTGGACTGTATTGAAAGTTTCTGGGATAAAGAGGAAGAAGGAGTCTACAGCTGTCCACAGTGCCAACAAATCTTCATACCGAGGCCTGTCCTGAGGAAAACCACCATGTTGTCAGATTTAGTGGAAGAACTGAAGAAGACTGGACTCCAGGATGCTCCTTCTGATCACTGCTATGCTGGACCTGAAGATGTGGCCTGTGACATCTGCACCGTAAACAAAATGAAAGCCAGCAAGTCCTGTCTGCAATGCCTGATTTCTTACTGTGAAGATCACCTTCAGCCTCATCTTGAACTACCTGTCTTTAAGAGACACAAGCTGGTAAAGCCCTCCGAGAAACTCCAGGAGAACATCTGCTCTCATCACGATGAGGCGATGAAGATATTTTGTCGTACTGATCGGCAGTCCATCTGTTATCTCTGCTCTTTGGATGAACATAAAGATCACGACACAGTCTCCGTTGCAGTAGAAAGAGCTGAGAGGCAGGAAGAGCTCGAGGTGAGTCGACAAAACATCCAGAAAGGAATCAAGGACAGAGAGAAAGACGTAAAGCTGCTTCAGCAGGAGGTGGAGGCTATCAATCAGTCTGCTGATGAAGCAGTGGAGCACAATGAGGAGATCTTCAATGAGCTAATCTGTCTCATAAAGAAAACACGCTCTGATATGAGGCAGCAGATCAAATCCCAGCAGGAAACTGAGGTGGGTCAAGTCCAAGAGCTTCAGGAACAGCTGGAGCAGGAGATTGCTGAGCTGAAGAGGAAAGACACTGAGCTGGAGAAGCTGTCATTGACAGACGATCACATCCAGTTTCTACATGACTACCCCTCACAGTCAGCACTCAGTGAATCGACACACTTATCCAGCATCAATATCCGTCCTCTGAGGTACTTTGAGGACATGAAAGCAGCTGTGGCGGAGCTCAGAGATCAACTTCAGGAGGTTCTGAAGGAGAACTGGTCAAACGTCTCACAGACAGTGACCGAAGTGGATGCTTTACTCTCACAATCAGAGCCCAAGACCAGAGAGGAGTTCTTAAAGTATTCCTGCGACATCACACTGGACCCAAACACAGCACACACACAGCTGGTGTTATCTGATGGGGACAGAAAAGCAGCATTCATGGAAGAACAACAGTCTTATTCCAGTCACCCGGACAGATTCACTGTTTGGATTCAGGCCCTGAGTAAAGAGAGTCTGACTGGACGTTGTTACTGGGAAGTGGAACGCATAGGAGGAGTTTACGTTGCAGTCGCATACAAGAATATCAGCAGAGCAGGGAACTCCAATGAATGTGGATTTGGACGCAACACCAAATCTTGGGCTTTACATTATCACAAAAACAGCTACAGATTTTTGCACAACAATGAAATCACTCCAGTCTCAGGTCCTTGGTCCAACAGAATTGGTGTGTACTTGGATCACAGAGAAGGTGTTCTGTCCTTCTACAGTGTCTCGAAAACCATGACTCTTCTCCACAGAGTCCAGACCACATTCACTCAGCCTCTCCTGGCTGGACTCAGGATTTATTCCTTTATGTTTGGGAAAGCCACAGCTGAGTTCTGTCAGCTGGAATAGACGAGTGCCACTATTTCTGGGACAGTGGGTTCAATTGAATGTTTTAAACTATGTTTGTCCAAGTACAGTCAAAGCTTAAGGGTGGTACTGTGACGTCAAACCAACTACAGTTGTGTAATAAGTTTTACTTAAGTTGACACTCCCTCCTTTATCTCTTATGCAATGCAGGCTGTCGCTGCTCATTATAATGTTTTATGAACAGACAGAATATGTAAACCTTTATGGTCTGGGTTGTGGGTAGGTATTTGTGTTGATGTACTAGTAAGATGTCATTCCTCTTCTTCTAAGTGAGTGTTAGGGAAAAAAAAAGCAGAAGACCTTCACATGCAAAATCAAAGCTAACCTGGTGTTCAATCTACAGAGGGAAGAGTGTTTGACTCACAAATCCTGAACTGAGGTGTTGACAGGTTTGATGTCGGAAATGTTTGAAACTCTTCTTTCTGTCCTCTTTTTTCTGTTGTATGAAATGGTTTGAACTTGTTTGTGTGCTTCTTGTTTAAATCTAGTTGCAAAACTTTTTAAACTTTTTGTAAAAAGGGGGTGATAATAATACTATATTTTTTCATTAAATTTATCATTGGGATTTTTTGGGTTGTTTCAATTAATCTTCTTTGTATATTTGGGTACATTTAACAGGCAGAAACCTTAAGCAGAACCAAACTCAAGTAACATAGATATCTCATAAGACTGCCCTGGGTTTAGAGATGGGATAGAGGGAGATACATAAAAGGAAGGGATGGACAGAGGTGAGGTTGATGCATGTAGTTAAAGCAGCTGGAAAGCATGTGGAATCATGGCAGTAAAACGTCTGCAGCTGCTATCCAGAGGAACCTGCAGCATGATGGAGCACAGAGACTCTCAGAAAAAAACTAAGTATTAGTTATTCTAATGGGACATGATTATTCACATATAATATACAACCCCAAGCCTGTCAGAGTTGGGATGTTTAAAATGTTCATAAAAACAGATTTTAGGATTTTTTCAAAAACATGTTAAATTCCATTAATAAAAAGGTACATCTTGCCAAATTTGCACAGTTATTTACAAAAATGATGATGATAGTAAAACCTTGTGAAAGTCATAGATTAATACTTCTTATTCAAACTCTCCTCACTGGGGAAGCAGGATTATCAAATAATTCTAATAGAAAGTGCAGCAAGAATCTTAATATGGTTAACTGTGAGGAATCATTGTGACACATTGTGTATAAAATCCACGTGATTGTTGTTGATTTCATTAAATATTTGACACCATCATTTATTTTTACTGTCTTAATTTATTGTCCTGGCTTATTGTTCTTAATTATCATCCTCAATTTTTTGATAAATCTGATTGAGACAGTCAATTGTGTGTGGTGAGAGAAAACACACAGTTTTTATGATTTCTTTTTTCTATAATAATATTTTTCCTGCTTTCTAAGTCTTGATTGTAAAAATGACTGTAGTACAACTCTAGATGTCGCTGTTGTTACACGGATACATTATAGCCTGCTGCCAGTGATGGGCACGGCAGTTCTTTTAGATGTACTGAATCACTAGAATCAGTTCACTTAAAGGATTCGTTCAAAAGATTTGTTCACCAAATCACCAGCTCATGTAGCGCTTGGCGGGAGAAGCCTGCGACTCCGACCTCCTGAACTGATACACAGCTGAACGGTTCAGGATTCAGTTTCTGGGACCAGGAGACGAGAGTGTTTGGCTGTGCTGCTTTGACAAACAGGTTTGTAAGAATGAACTTGTTTACAAGGGTCCTTACACACTGGGACCGTTTTTGTCCTGCGATTATTTCGGACGTCAATATTTTTTTTCCAACCCGTATCCTGTCAATACAAGTGATCACATCAGCGACGTTTTCCCATCCTGCAATATTGCGACATTTATTTTTTCAGATCACAGTCGATTTTTTCTGAAGTTTCGCATACTGTGTGTCCACTTCTGACCAATCAGATTGCATGTTGTTGTGACGTCAGATTCACCGGTATTTCCAATATAGCTGATCGGCTGATTGTTTACGTGTTGGAGAACAGAGTGCTTTTTGATAGAAGATACAAACATTACAAAGATAACGACCTGAAGGATAGTTTGTGGAGAGTCATAGCGTTGGATTTCTCATATGACGATGGTTTGTGTGCTTTAACAGTTTCCTAAACGTCTTTGTTTTAACTTTCATCTTTGCCAACGTAAGCTAATGGTTGTTACCGTAGTTTCATGTGCTTATCTTATCGTCTCTGATTGGCTATAAGTGCTGACCATTTGGCTTGGGCGAGTGATGACGTATCCAGCTTTTCTAGCCAATCAGAGGGAAAGGAGGCAGGACTTTCCCCAGGAAAAGTCTTCCCCAGGATGCGTCTTTTTCCCTCAGAAATCGCAAAATCGCATCGAGCTTGATGTGTATAGTCAGGCGCATCAAAATTCTCCGAAGGAATATTAATAACAGGTTTAATGCACTACTTGTTACATGCTGTGTCCTATTATATGTAAGTTGTTGTGGTGGCAATTCAGCAGTAAAAAAAAAATTTTTTTTTAGTTTTGTCTGGCAAAAATAATTCCAGAGGGTGTGGTTTAATGCGTGATTTGTTCACCAAGTGATTCAGGTGTCGGTGCATGTGGTCCCTTGTTCGCCGGCTGCTCGACTGGCAATGCTGTTTCTCACTGTAGCTTAACTGAAGTGAGAAATGAACAAATCACTCGAGGAAGTGATTCGGTTCAGTACGGTCACTTAAAAGATTTGGTTTCTTTGAACGAATCGTTCACGAACGAAACAACACTACCTGCTGCTAATTATGGCATGGCGGATATTAAAACTCTGGGATTGAGGGTGGTATGGTAGTCTGTAGTTTTCTCAGTGCTGTAATTAGTCCAGTAAGTGTTGTTTACTGTAGGCCTGAATGTAACACACCGCACGCGCCAAACACTTGCAACTCACCACAAAACCCATTTCAAGCCAAAAATGTCAAAGGAATTTTTAAAATAATATCAGCAATAATACTTCCATTTTTGTACAGTCGGTGCAACTCTACTATACGTCCATGAAAAGATTATAATTAAAAAAAATGCCATTAATTTTTTGATAGAACGAATCGCGAAAAATGTGATATGAAAATGTTTTAGCGGCAGCAATTACCTACAGTTATTCTTCATGTAATGCATTTTATTTTTGAGTTTCTGTGTACCTCCCTTGAGAGTTTGTTTTGGCCAATCGCTTTGTCCCAGTATCCTCGCACTGACATGTTGCCTTCAGAGTACTCGAAAAATTCTCAATCACAAACTCATGAACTATAAACTAATGTGAAGGCATCGTGCTGAATAAAATAGATCAATGTTGCTTACATATCTATAGCACAAAGCTTGTATTGTGGCAACTTGTATAGCAAAACAGTAATTGCCACTGACAGATTTCGATCATCATTTGACATATTTCCTACAGTACATGAATGCATCCCAGGTTTTCAACGTGCACAATGGTGACGTTTACCATATCATGATGGCGGTAGCCTGGACTATTTTGAATTCCGTCCCACTTTTCGAAGTTTGTCCTATGTCTAGTCTGTAAAATGTCTCGTTATCCCGGGGAGAACATACAATAATCCAAAAACCACCATGGATTCCGTCGTGGGAGGCGATTTGACGCTGCCCGTTGACATGAACGGAAGGTAAGCCCAATAACGGGCTAGTGAGCTACGGCTAACGCTGGGGGCTGCTGAACGTTACAGTTGAAACACTAATCCGAAACCAGGATTTAGCCATTAGCGCACGGGTGCCGACTATTTACTGAAATTTAACACAAGCTGTTGTATCTTACAAATAGTGTTACAGCTGAAGTGAAACCACTATAAGATAGTAATACAACGGAATAATAGTGTTTTTTAGTTTTTATTGTGTTGTGACTAAGAAGAAGTGTCTCTTGTTTGTTTTTCTAATGGTGGGTTAGTAGGTCATCATTGACTTTTGAATGTTAAGACATGTCAAATATATCTATAAACTCTTCACGTTACATATTTTACCGATACATGTAGTTTTCTATACAACGTTTTTCTGTATTTTGATATTTAGTTTTGCAAAGTTGACTGATTTTACTCTGTTTTTACCAGTAATAAATGAGTAGCCACCGTCTTAAAGATGGGTCGTATCGGGATTGCTTCCGACTTGACTCTTCTACTTACTACGTTTTAAGAAAAAATATAAAGTAGAATAATCGCCTTTCTGATCATCTCAACAAAAGCTGAAAATTTAGATGCAGGTCCCATTAGTTTGCCCAGGTGTTCATGATCATATGGCTGCTTTGTGTACATTACAGGCATTCAACAAACCAGTAGTTTCTCATTTGTGAACGACAGTGATTTGGCCTTGGTTTGGTTTAGCTTTTACAAGAAATAGCGAAGTCGTAAAGACGAAGCTTCAGTGGTTCAATCTCCCTTTTGACCCAAAATAGAGACAGATTTAAGATTACGTCTGACTCTTGGGTATGGGGACTAAAACCTGAATGACCTACTCTTCAGTAAACCGAAGATGCATTCAGGAGCATTGATGCAGAGAGAGAGTCAGGCTTTTGCTGCTGTATGCTCCGTTATAGATCATATTCAGCTCATTGGATGTTGCTGGGATATCACTGCGGTCGGTAGGCTGGCTTGTTGACCTGTCATTCAGTGAGTGAAAGAAAGCGGAAATGATCAGAGCCAGTTTTAAAGCGGGTTAAGACAGACTCCAGAGCTGATGGGTCACTGCAATCTCTGCATGTGGAGTTTAAGTGTCATATTTGCTTTTTCTCTCACAGCCACGGGAGGAGAGTTTGACGGTGGTAAGGTGAACTTAGTTTTGTTAGCTCTGCTCTTTGTGTTGTTGTCAAATAGTACTGTAGTCTGTAGCTCCTTTTGCTCCACCGAAATGCAAAGTAAAAGCATCTCTGTGTTGAAGTTGTTCCAGCTGGGTTCCGTCTGTATTAAAGCAGTCATACAGGTGGTAAGCGTGCCTAAGAAACCCAAGATGTCAGCCGATATGTGTGGTGTGTATTACTTATGAGGTAATTCTGAAACCAAGTTCACATTACTCTTTATAGTTTTAAAATGGTGACTTCGCATAAGCTTTTGCTTTTGTTGTTTTTCCTTGTATAACATTTATACGAGCTTTTTCGTTTTCATATTTGTGACTAGCAGCTGAAAAAATACAAAGAAAAGAGGAAGTCACTGTTTACAGACTCCTAACATTGTTTCCACCGGGTGCTGGAGGGGTCACTGCAAATGCAACGATGACTAAACAGTAAATATCTCTGGTACAGATGTGTTAAATAATGTCTTCTAGTCTTTATCGGAGAGGGTGATCTCCTGTGGTTTCTAGTATAGTTGTTTCAGATGTTTGTGTTTTGTGCTTTTATGCTCAGCCCTCCTGTTTTACACTGCTTCCTCTCCATTAACACAGGAAGAGGTTGCTTGGCATTTGAAACCTCAGTGATGCAATCATTTTCAACACATTTTTGCTGACTTTTAGTGCTGTGTTGATGCTTACTACGTCTCTGCTGCTCATACGAGTTGTCTTTATTTTCAAATTAAGTATATACAATAGCAAAAAGGAAGAAGGTCTTAGGACAGGGGCACATGGTCAATTCAGCAATTTGAACATGGTGCAAACATATGTTCACTCTATTTTAAAATTGCTGAATTGACCATGTGCTCTTATGACCTTCTTCCTTTTTCGCTCACTTATACCGTCCTACTCCTGAGATGCACTGGTCTGCAAATGTCCATCAGTTTAAGTGCAGTTATCACCTTCTGTTAGGTATATATCTGGTGTTAAACTGGATGCTTCCAACAGAAAAAAAAAAAATAATTCTTGTTGATCACCTTCTAAAGAAACTAAATACAAGCTCTGAGCTTCATTGATGTCAAAGTGAATCAGTGTAACATCTTTTTTATCCTGTTGCAAAGTACATAAGTGTTTTTGCCACAGTGTTAAAAGGCAGAAGTGAATGTGCTGGACTCCTCCTGACATTATGATTACAAATTACATGTGTGTGTAGCTATTTTGGTTTTATAACAAGGAAATAAATGTAGTGATCTGAGGACATGATTAAAGGTGGGGTAGGCAGGATCTGAGTGCCAGTTTTTGGGAGAAATGTTGAATGTAAACTCTATCCCTCCCAACCAGTTTTCCCCTAAGCTCCTCCTCTCCCCTCCCTCTCTGCTCCAGAAAGCCCCGCCCACAAACAGACACTCCTGCTCACTCGTATCGCTCTAATTAAATTCAGATATAATGCAGATAAATACTTCAAATAATTACAAATGGAGCCCAGTCAACATGAAAGTAAAAAGCATTGGTGCTACTGTAGATGCCAACAGACTACCAGCAAACACAATGTTTGCAGGACTTCTACAACTAGGATAAAATGACATAGTCCAGGATCCGAGGTAAACAATTCAGCCATGCTACAACACGCAGCAGGTCCCACTTGACAAGAAACACTTCTGTTACAGACACTTGGCTTACTTTGATAAAGCGGTTTACCTGTTCAGCAGAAAGGTTACAGGGTCCGTAAGAGCCCAAAGCTTTCCCCATCATTGTTGACCCGGCTTCTTACTTCTTGTCCTGGTGGTCTACCTCCTTTTTAAGCGCCAGCTATTCCACCAGAGTCTCTAGTATTTACTTCGTTTTCTTGCTTGTGTTCGCAGTCGTGGCTAAAGGAGGATTCAGACAATTTTCTGTACTTTCTGGTTGGTTTCTACTGTCTGATATTGTAGCACGCTAACTTTGTTTAGGTTCATGAACGACACGGGGGAGCAGCGTCTGCCTCACAACCAATCAGGATGGGAGAGGTGGAGAATGGCTTTGTTTACAGTCAGAGAGAGCGGAGAGCTCTGAAATTTTTAAATGTTGACTACACAAACATAACAAAACACAGCGATATTGTTATGTTACCAAATGTCATCAATGACTAATAGCTATTGACTGATATTAAAAGCTTTTTTGTATATACACCACAAAAAAAAAGATGCTTCTTTAACGGATTCCTGCCGACCCCACCTTTAACGTTAGAGTGCATACTTCTGATTTTTATATGTGAGGAATATGTAATATTTATAAGTAAATCAGGTGTGATAGGAATGCTAAAAACAGCAATTCAGTGGATTAGTGATTCTGATACCTGTGATTCTTTGTGTGATGAGCATCGTGTTGTTATTAGTGGTATTTAGCAGAACAGACTCTTTAGAAATGAGATATTATTTCCAGAAGTATGTGTAAATCAGTGCGTAAGCACCTCACTTTAATATAGACAATTGTTTTGTTATTGTTAACTTACAATGAGCCCATATAGGAGCAGATTCCTGTTCTGCCATCTTGCATTTTCTTGCATGTTATTACAGTTGCAGAGAGCGGACAAACCAGTATCTTGTGTGTTTTTGTCTTCACTGAGAAGCTAACTGAAATGCACTAGCCGGAAGAAAAAGAGGAGAGCAGTTGTTATTGAGCTCAAAAGAATTGTATCAATAAAGCAAGGAGGCATTTTAATCTTAAATCTGGCTGTTAAATATCTCTAAATATTTCTATTTCTACTCTTTGCATCTGTAAAATGTCACCAGGACATTAAACTGTTATGTCTCATTGGCAATGCAAGACCCCCGGACTGCTGACAGGCCAATGTCTGTTAATAGAGCAAATATCACCTGATACCAGAGTTCAACTCAAACATCTGTGCATACCTAATAAATGTGTAGATATGGAATAGCATGTTCGATCTTGATTTAGAGGGTTGCAGCAGAGTGGCTGTGCATCAAATGCCTGAGGAGAAATAGGAGGTTGTTATGCAATATATTAAGTATATATTTTTAGATACCAGGGTGAAGGTTCACAAGAGCTTGGAGCGAAGTAGTTGATGTTTTTGTTCATGCACCAGTTCCCTCCTTAAATCACATCTGCCAGGAGAAATTTGTAGTTCAGCCAAGTAAACAGAATTATTATTATTTGCAAGCGTGAGTTTAACCCTGGTTCTTTTTGTGTCATTGTTGTGATCCAGATGTGTGACGCTGATGTTTGGTGCATTGTGTAGTATCTAAGAGCGCCTTCACTGTCCCATCTCTGTGTGATGCTTTGCTAATCACAGCCACAGTAGCTCGCTTGTCCACCAGAGAAAGCCCACCCCGTCCTCTGCTTCCTCTGTTTTCTCCCTCCTCCTGTCTGTCCGTCTGAACATGAGAGCTAGGCTGCCACTGGCACATGGTCTCACACACACATACACACTCTTACACACATACATACACTCACACTGACAGTGCTTCTGCCCGAGTGGATGTAAATGAAGCAGAGAGTCATTCTTAAGCTATTTATGGAGCGCTCTTCAGGCTCAGCGGATCTGGCCAGCGTGAGTAATACATAAACACGGCACATTTTGTGTTGTTCACGCTATGAAAGTCAGTGTGTGTGTGTAGGATGAGCAGTGATAGAGGGCAGAGTTTCCTGTAGTTCCTGTGGTGTTGGAAATTTGAATCGGCAAAGCTGAATAGAGTGGATATATGGTTGAAAGGGACCCCTTTCCCATCAATTTGTAGTGATGCTTTTGGAGCCCCTAACAAGATGTTTCTGTCCCCAGCTGCAGACTGCCGGACTCCATAAATACTGGAGATTTTTCTACCGACAGCATGACAGGTAAGACCTCCTCTTCTTCTGCCTTCTTTTGTTTTCTTGCCGGGGTTGCATCCCCTTGTGTGTTAATTATAACTGCTGCTGAATCATTGCTGTGACCTCCCACAGTTGTGTCTCCAAAGCTGTGCTGCTGGGGGATTTGCTGGATGTGGTTAATTAGCTAAATCCCCTTTGTAATTTATTGTCAGGCTCTTGTAGTGTGCCAACAATATATGCAGGACTAGAACAACACAAGCAGATCAGTAAACAATTTGTGGATATAGGTCAGCATCTGTGGCTTTCTGTAATGATGAGGACCATGTGGACTGATAGAGACATCTAAACAGACCACTGATGGTTGCACTACTATGATAGAAGTCTTTAAATAGAGTGACTTTGTATTGTCATTTTTACACTGACATGGATGGCCTTACTAGAAAGTAGTACAGGTAATTTTCATTTTTACAGTATTAAAGGTCCTGTGAGGAACTTCTACTTGACGCCCTCTGTGGACAAAACAATCTCTACAAAAGGCACATCCTCAAGATTTGCGATGTTCCCCGCTGTGCTGGCCTCGGTCACGTCGAGTTAATGGTGAAGCACTATGTAATATGCAAGCTAAAATTAGAGTTAGCCACCTGCTATTAGCCTTGCTACACTGTTAGCCATGCCAGTAACAGTAGAATAAAAAACACAACACATTAAATGATCGAGCTACTTCCCCCCTAATAATTGGTATCGGCATCGGCCCCCAAAAATCCATATCGGTCGGGCCCATATATATATATATGTAATGTGGGAGGGGGTGAGCAGCCTGTGGAGTAGTTATCATTCATTTATCGTTATTCAGGTGAACTGCATAATATAGCGTGAAATTGATTTGAGACCATATCGCTCAGAAATGGTACAAACAGGATTGTTTCTTCAGCTGCTCGGCCGACACCTACCCTCTCGCACGGGTTTCAGGCATTAAAAATGAGAACATAAAAATCTTCAGTCTTGTCCGTGATGGTCTTGTTAGCTTTTGCGTTTTATAAAAAGACAAAAATATGAATTTCAGTCTATTTCATGAATATCACAGAACTCCTTACAGGAGCTTTAAGGGCAAATATCACCACATGTGCATCAGCTTCACATGATATTACATTATAATATGCCTAGTCTTCCCGGCATGTATCTGTTATGATTATTTTCTCAAAAAGTATTTTTCCAAACAGTTTTGAAAATTCAAGAGAAATGTCTTTCAGTCAGGATCTTCCCATAAATAGTCCAGCATTTGCAGTAATTGTACTTTAATTGTCTTTATTTATAGGAACCAGATCAAACCGGCGGAGGCATTATCTGCAGCTGCTACATGTCTCTGACTTTATTATGTCTGATTACTCCTTAATGATATTGTCAGATATGAGATAAAAGGGTTATGCACATTATCATTACCACAGTGTTGATTTTTGTTAATATTGCTAAAGATGAATCTTTGGTTTAGATACAAAATACATGAAGAAGCAAACTCCTCAATCCTGGCAGATGACAGATGAGGAGTTGGTGTTGTGAAAGACTTTGTTGACGAGTGTTACGTGATCAGCTGTGTCAGTGTGTGTGTGTGTGTGTGCTGATGTGACCGGTCTAAACAAGGACACTCACCAAAAGCCGTCTCACCTCTGATGCCTCTACGGTGAACAGCATGTCTGCTCACTCTTTCTCTGTATGTCTCTAAAGTAAACAGGCACCTGAAATCAGAGGGTCATTCTCGTCTGCCAGCTAAGATCATCAGAGGTTTTTGTTCAGTTTTGACTCAAAATGTGTAAATGTTTGTCGTTTTCACAGCTCTGTCCTTCCCTGAAAAGATGTCCCCAATCAAAGCTCTCACCATGAAGGACTATGAGAATGTAAGTCAAATGGATTAATGATTCTTAAACTGTGGTTACACAATACCTCATGGACCGTCCAAACAAAACGGTGATCACTTTGTTGCTATTATTCTTAATAAATTGAAACCGCTCTGATTATGAGGTCATGCAGTCAGCTTCACCCCAGCACACCATACAGGCTGTTACGATTTATTAGATTTTATCCCCAGTCTGACAAAAACCCACTTTCACTGACCATTTATGGAGATGTAGTGATGAGGTGTGCGTGTAGGAGGGTAGAGATGGCCTCAAGTCTATATTTCAGCATTTGAGTTGTTGGCCTGGCTGCATGATTAGAGTTTTTTTTTTTTTCTTTTGGAGGGCCCAGACTTCTACTTCTTCCCTTTGACAGTCCACCCAACCCCCCATTACCAGATGCATGACGCTGTGAGCCCGCAGCACAATGATGCACAGTCTACTTCACACACATTTGCACTCAGACACTCACACACAAGCATAAAGGCCTCCCTTCATTTTAACAATATCCATACACATGCTCCTTTTCTGTTATGTAAACACGCTGTCCTGGTTTCTCCCCGCCGCCAAACTGCATGTTTTTGTACATTGATTACAAGTCAAGTGCATTTAATGTCATGCTAGAAAAAGCAAAAAAAAAAAAAAAAAACAACTCTACTTTTATGCGATTAATTGGTTTTAAACTATTTCCCTGCAGCAAATCACAGCCCTAAAGAAAGAGAACTTCAACCTGAAGCTGCGCATCTACTTCATGGAGGAGCGCATTCAGCAGAAATGTGACGACTCCACTGAGGACATATTCAAGACGGTGCGTAATCTCCTCTTTTCGCAAAATGCCAATTCACCCTCATGTGTCCATCATGACCCCCCTTAAAGTCTTTATCCTCATGTGACTCACTGTTTCCTTCCACCGCTAACTGAGCTGGCAAGGACCACAGCTTCAGCCACAACAGCTGGATCTTGTTCGACCAAAATCACGGCCTTTAAACAGCTGTCTCGCCTTTTTTTCTTTGTCTTGAGATTTAGGCATGTTTGAATATCCTGGTGTGTTTAAGGGCCCGGGGCGTTTCTCTTTTATTCCATGAGAAATGAGGTGTCACTTAAAAATGTTATCTAGAGTTACACGTCCCAAGATAAGCCTGAGCTTCATTAATTTGGCCACATATTACCTAACAACCTCCTTTTCTTCTCGTGTCACGTTTTGTGCTTTATGACCATTTGTCAAAGCACTTTGTACACCTCTTTTTTTAAAAGTGCTTTAAAAACAAAGTTATTTGTTATCATTGTTTGAGCCAGTGTTTTTGTGGTTCCTCCAGATTTGTTATTATTTGCGCTGTAATGGCCTTATTTTGTCTGTTTATAGAACATTGAGCTGAAGGTGGAGTTGGAGTCCATGAAGAGAGAACTGGCAGAGAAACAGGAACTCCTGGTGTCTGCATCGTGAGTGTTGTCCCCTAAATAGTCCCACTTTTATACTTGTATTTTCTCATGATTAACACTTTTCAATTTTGACACCAAAAAAGTTCATAGAGGGTTAAAATGTCATAAAACGTATCCCACTCGTGATTGCTCTCCAGGAAAGCTTTGGAAAGCCTGGCCGGTCGGGAATCAGGCGAACCTCAGCGCGTGAGAGAGCAAGCTCAGAGAGACATGGATGCACTTAGAGATGCCTTCAGCAAGAGGATAGCCGACCTAGAGCAGGTGATGACATTGAAATTACAAAAACCTTTTTATCATCTTGGTTAAATGTTGTTTCAGTGTGTAGTTGTTATAGAAGCATTTATAATCAAAGAGTGGGGTAAAAATGAGCAGTGGGATTGAGCCGTAGCTATTCTGCCTGCAGTGCAGTCAAAAGCTGGATTGATGCTTATTGCTTTGGAAGTGGTCCTACTTGGTCTTTTTGCCTCATGTCAGAGTCTGCAAACAGCCGAGGAAGAGGTTGAGAAGATGGCTGCGATTGCTGAGCAAGAGAAGCTGAAGAGTATCAACATGGAGAGGCAGCTTCAGGCCCTGGGTCCATTAAGCACCTTCCCTCCTGTCCCCAATCAAGCTCAAGACCTGCAGCAGGCTCTGCAGGAGAAAGACAAGTAAGGGCTTGAAGTCCAGACACATTAGCTTAAATTCTTTTTCAGCTTCAGGGTCTGAATTTTTTTCCTCTTTGTTTACATCAGTATCATCGAGCAGCTCAAGATCACTGTAAAAAAACAGGAAGCCCTGATCCAGCAGAAGGAAAATGCAGACCAAGACAGAGATGCAGCATCAGCTGACAGAGTTCAGCAGCTTTCTGATCTCGTCACCAAGAAAGATCAGGAACTAGAGGTATGGATGATTCATGTTTTTATACGGCTGCTCTGGTTCTGATGAATAAATCATGGAAAAAAGGGGGGTATTAAAAAACAACAATGTTGCACTCACTCACTAACCTCACTGGTCATGCTTAAGTCTGCAGCTCATTTAAAGCCCCAAAACATGAATAAAAAGCACAAGCCAACAGTGCGTTCCTACATGACTTCATCCAGACTTTACCCCAAAATGATAGGAGGGGGCCAGCAGGAAATATTCCAGATAAAATCATGTTTCTGCTCATCCAGACAGATCATTTTTGGACATTTTCAGAATTTTTTGCATGTCCAAAAGAAACTAAAGCCTCTTATTTATTTTTAACTGCTTAATAGTTCAAGTTTTGAAGATATGATTTTTAAATAAAAAATTTACACAAAACTGCAGAGTATAAATAAATCTGAATGTTTTCCAGGCGCTGAGAGACGTGCTACAGAAAGAAAGAGGCCGGACAACACCAGATCAGCAGGTTGGTACTGCTGTGTTTGCCTTATTGATTCTCTGTGTGAAGTTTTCGTGTCACACATTGGAGTGACAGACCGTCAGATAAATTTCCATGCACCCATGTTGCGTTGTTAATATTTTATTTGACAATTGGATACTCTTCATGTCAATCACTGCTGTGTCCCTATGTCATACTTTGTTACTTGTAATCGACTCACTGGACTGTGCATTAATGTGCCAAGTCACTCACACACTCATGCTGCACACAGTCTGTGTGTATTTGCTCACAAAGTAGGCACTGTTGACTTCATGGGACTGTCGATGTCGGTCTGTTCAAGCACAGGAAATGCACTTTGGAGGGTTTTATGGCTTTTGTTTTTTTTTCGTCTTTCCTCTGTGTGCCTCCTGGTGAGGTTTTATTTGTGTCCCCTGCTTCAGTTAGGGAAGACGGCTGAATACTCTCTTGGTTGCTGTGGCTATCTTAGAGCTTTGAGTGGATCGCCTATTGTTGGTTTCACAATAAGAGGCTTACATCATCATTACTACGTGCTGTAGGAGGGAGTCTGGAGTTGAGGTGTGAGTTAGCAAGAAGAAAGCGGTGCCACAAAGATGATTAAGGATTAAAGATTTTGGTTTTTGCGATTACAGTCTGAGTAATAACCACAGCTCAACATTTCTTATGCATTTATTCATTTAAATTGAAGTGCTGTCTTTTACCATTTTACATTAATTTGAATTTAATTAATTTATTAACTTTGCACTGAAAGCCTGACTTCCCCTGCTAAGCCATTGATCGTAACAGTCGTGTTTATTTTTAATTCCCTTACGATCAATGTTTCATAACCTAACTCACCACTTACATAATACCACTCTGTTATTATGGTTTACCTTTACTCGGGTATATACTGCTGAAAGTAGTAATCCTGCAGATGCTGTGTTAAATTGAAAGAGTTTGATGCTTTAGCTGCAGCTTTTTTACCCCGTAGGTTTCACACATAGGTGATTCGTCACTTTGAATAATTCCTTGGTCTTCATGGTCAGCCTGAAACATTACTGACTTACTTAAGCGTTTACAAAAGTTTGCTTCTTGGTCCCTCTGCCATCAGCTAATAGTAGCGCAGCCCCCATGTTTATTAATAAGTATGGTATTTCAAGCCTGTGCACAGTAGGTGCCACTTTGTTTTTGCTCCTTGCATGTTGTGCCAAATACAACATACCGGCCCCTTTTTTGGGGGGTTACAGCAGGAGCACTCAAAGTTTGGTTAGAAGTGAAACCAATCACTGAAGGAGATGTATGCACAGCGCTTAGCATACATGAGTACACCCCTTCAGAGTTGTCAGAAAACCTTTAGTTTCCTTTCAAAATCAACATTTTCTATGTCAGACTGTACAACAAAATACTTCCCCAAATGTAGGCCATTGATTGCAAACAAGGTTTTTTAAGTTGCTTCCAAATTTTTTTTTATTTTTTTTTTCAATTTAAAATCAGGATGCAAAAATGAGTACACCCCAATCAAAGTTGTGGGAGCAAAGCTAAATTTTAGTTACCATATCACCCTTATTTTCATCTTATGGTAAATAAAATTTTATGTTAAAGCTTTGTCAGAACTTTGGAAATTGTACTTTTGCTCATCTAGATATCATCTAGTGATACATTTCTTTTAGTAGGGGGTGTACTGATTTATGCTGGGCACTTAATGTATGTGGACATTGTAAGCAAGGCTGTATATTGCTATCATGTCTTAATTCTCTGCTTGCAGTGCCTTCCTTAAGCTTGATGTGAGTAACCTCTCTTAATCTTTTTAGTGAAGTTTGAAGGAGTTTCAAGGTTGAAATGAATCTGCATTGGTTGAATCGTCTGGAAAATATTATGTTTTTCCTTTTCTGTGTAGCAGAGTGTGGTTTTATTCTGAACATCTTGACACTGAATATTATTAAAAAAAAATTACCCTTAACATAAAATGCAGATTATTTATTATGTATTTTTGGGAGCTGGAAGTTACTAAGGGTGGGAGAAAAAATCGATACAGCATAGTATTGTGATATATTGTGTTTACATAGTATCAGTTTTTCAAATTAATTGCTAATATGAAGTCAAATCTATGATAATGGAAAATTAAATTAACTGTTTGTCCAGTGAAGTTGGCAGAGGTGACATCAAAGAGCAGGAGAAAGTTAGTACAAATTATATTTTTAAGGTTTGCAAGATGTGCTACATGAAAGTAAAATATAGCATAAATAAAACAAACATACAGGAAAGACGAATGCTAAGTTAGCTAAACAGTTGAAAAAATTGTAAAAATCACAATAATATCGTAGCATGGCCAAAGTATTGTGATAATATCATATCGTGGGGTCACTAGTGATTCCCACCCTTAGAAGTCACCTGTTTAAAGTATTTGATCTAATATTGCTTATAAGCTTTGAAAGGAAAGAAGTTTAACGCTGACGTCTAAATATGATACAGGTGAAGGATGAAAGTCTGTGACGTTCAGGTTACAAAGCTTAGTTTGGCAGCATCTCCGCTTCCCTCATCAGGTCTTGGCGTCTGGACTCAGGTCACGGTGTTAAGACTGGATTACTGCGTCGTCTGGAGAGTGTTCCTCTCAGAGTTATTTACGTCCATCCTATATTAAAGGTTAAAAAAAAGAAGAGGCTGTTGTCCGTCAGTGTTTGTCAGGTTTTGAAAACAAATGAAGTAAAGTTTGGTTGGGAAAAGGATCCAGAAAGATAGGGTGGAATATTATTAGCAGGGCTGCTTTGGAGCGAGACAGGTCATTGTAGGGGAGTGTAATGGAATTTGTTACCGCACTGATTGACATGATTATACATCAGCCAGACTTAAAGCGGATTTTCGATGTACTGCCAGGAAGGAAGGAGTCTCTTTGAGTGATGGATGCTGCAGTCTTCATCCGTATCACGGGGGGTCATCTGTGTGGGGTTGATACCTCCCTCAGTGCACCTGGGAGGAGGTTTTCCACAAATGGTCTGGCAGTGGATACAACCCCGGTCCCTGGAGCTTTCCTAGAGGATTTTATCTGATTGAATATGTGGGAGAGAATGGCATAGAGGCGGGAGCAGGGATTATCAAAGGATTAGGGCTTTTAGTGCTCTGCACTCAGTCGCTTTCCTCGGTGCTCCTTTCCCCGAAGCAGTCAGAGAAAGTGAGAGATGGCTCTTCCATGGTTGGCATGTTTATGATTATGAGGTCATTGGACAGTGTGTGCATCAGTGAGAGGATTCTTGGACTTGCGTTAAGTGGGTAAGCATATACGACCAAAGGGCACCATGAGAGACCCGTGCCGGATTTGCGGCGTTCGTTTGGTGGGAAGTCAGTGTCGCTGGATCTTTAGCTCATCAGCAAAAAGGAAGCTACATGTCATTTTGTCCCATGTGCTGGGCTGGGAGTTGACTCGGGATGGTCGTGGAGAGTTCCTCTGCGGGAAGTGCGTGTTCCAGCTGGAGAAAGTGGTAACGTGTGATGTTAGCATTAGCCAGCTGCAAGACAAACACAACAGCGAGGTCCAGAGACTGCAAGCGGAGAAGGAACACCTGATTCAGTGCATCGTCCATATTTACAGAAAAAACAACCCCCAGCTGGATAAGAGTGACTCAGAGAGTTCCAGTTGCAAGACTCTGATCAAGTCCTCTGAAGTGGACAGTACTGAAGATGAGGTCGTGTGTCACCTGGCGTCTGAGATTCAGCAGTACAAAGAGACTGGTCACACAGAGATTCGGATCAGAAGGTGTGTGAGCTTGGACCGTATCGTGAGTAAAGGAGCATACTCAGCCCGCTCTACTGTCAGGAGGAGCAGGATTGGATCAGCAGCTTGGCTCGATGGCTCCGTGAAGAGCTTTAGTCTTCAAGGTACACGCCACTGTTCACAGAGCACGTACTTGGACCTGGTCCAGCGCAAAGGAACGCTGCCCAGACCTGGATTCAAAGCTCGCTCCACATCTATGCAGTGCCTCAATAAAGATTTCTCCCTTGACACCATTCAAGACCCCCTCCCCAAATCCAGAGCCAGGGAGCCCAAGATGCTGGTCCCTAGGCACGGTGTCTCTGAAGACCTAGGGGGAAAAGTTCAGGCCAGAGCACTTCTCCATCGCAGCTCAAGCCAGCCTTCTATTATCTCAGACTTGATCCAGCTCCTGCGCTGCATCTCAAGGCAGCAGGTCTGTGCTCCACCAGGGAGCCATATTCCTGTTCTGAAGAGGTTAAATACTGGCACCCTGAACCCCAGAGTCAGACGCAAACTCAAAGATGTAGAATGGAAGTCTCTGCATGACCTCTCGGAGGAGTTTGACGATCAGTTCACTCCTGTAAAAGCTAAGGTAGATCTGTAACACATGAGATTAGCTGTGACAGACAACTGCTGTGTAATATTGCTGTTTCATTCACACTTTCACTTTTTCTTGTCTGTGCAGAAACAAGGTGAATTCAGCCGACCGGAGTCCAGCAACACACTTCTTACTGAGGAGATCACGCGAGCAAAAACCACCATCGAGAACCTGAGCAAAACACTGGGGGAAACCCAGAATGAAAACAAGGTATGAGGGGATGTCTTTTGCTCATATGAATTCCTTTAAGTAAGACTGCAAGGTTTCTTTATGTAATACAGCTGATTTATGCGAACAGAACCTGTTGGGAAAGATGGAGGAGAAGGAGAACGAACTCAACACGGAGAAGAAAAACGCTCTGAAACGAGACAAAACCATCCAGGGGCTCACTCAGGTGCTCCGAGAAAAGGAGAAAGAGGTAATAATGCTCTCACAATAATCCAGACATTTTATTGACTGTGCTGTAAATAAGACTTAACCTTTCTGTCTGTCTCACTAATTCTGTATTATGCAACAGTGACTGCAGCCTGTCTGCCTTTTCCTTTGTATTGCACAGATTGCAGAGCTGTGTCATGACATTGAGGACAGAGATGACGCTCTGGCCAAGGCGAGAGAAGCAGCACATAAAGCCCAACTGCAGAAATACCAGGCAAGTTCTACATTTGTTAGGAGAAAGCCAAACTCCTCAGACGTGACCGTAAAGCAGAGGGACATTTTTCTATCCCTCTAGCTTTTGATTTTAAGCAGATCTTCCTCTTACCCTCAGGGAGCAGAAGAGCACCAAAACCTTTTAATGGAAAAGCAAACAGAGCTGGCCCAACTCCAGGGAGAACACCATGCCAAGGTGCTTGAATCCCAGAAACTACAGCGAGGCCTGGACAGGAAGGATCAAGAACTGGCAGATTTGCAGCAGGCAAAGGAGCAGCTAGAGGTGGAGCTGGAGGATCTGCAACAGCAGAAGAAGAAGGGAGATAAGGCCCTGAATGTAAGACTATTAGAAGACACGATTGTTGAGTAAACAGTTACTAAACCTAATATTTTTTCTAGAGTTAAGCCTTTTAAATAAGACATCTATTAGACAGAGTTTCCATTTCAATCTACAGGATCTGAATAACCAGCTCAAAAAGCTCAGAGGTGAGATTGGAGAAAGGGAGAGTGCCCTGGAGCAGCAGTACCAGGAGCTGCTGGATCAAACAAAAAGAAAACTGCAGTCACACGAGTCCACAATCCAGCGGCTCACATCCACTCTGACCGATAAGGAGCAGCAGCTACAGGTGACATAACAACATCATGATATTAACAGACAGATTTTAGACGAATATTTTTTTTCAAATATCTTATTACACGGCTCTTTTCTGTGTTCATCAGGAGTACATAAACATGGTGAGAGACCTTGAACAAAGCAAAAGCACTGAAGGGAAGGAAAGCGTGCTTTCCAAGCTGCGGCAAAGGCTGAGAGAGAAGGAGAAAGCTCTGGAGGTGTGCTGCATTCTCTGGATTTTACCTTCTCCCCACTGTGACTTAAACTGAGTTCTGACATTGCCCTGTTTGCTTTCTCTCACAGCAAGCGCTGGATGAGAAGTTTGCTGCCGTCGAGGAAAAAGACAATGAGATACACCAGCTGCAGCTGTCTCTGAGGGAGAAGGAAAGAGACCTGGATAGACTCAATAACTTACTCTCTCACAATGAGGAAACCATCAATGTAAACAGTGACTTTATTACATATTTAATGTAGTAATAGTATCAGAAACTGGAATTCGGACATCTTCAATGATGAGTTACAAAGTCTATCGCTTTACTTCTGTCCTCTCTTTACAGAGTTTTGACAGTCTGATCAAAGAGAAAGATGTAGAGCTGCAGCATCTCGCAAACACCCTGAAGAACCTGCAGAGATCCAAGCAGGAAGCAGAAGATAACCTGAACCGATCACTGAGGGAGAAGGACTCCATAATCAGCCAGCTGCAGCTCTCTCTGGAGGGCAAGACAAAAGATATGGAGGTCAGCTTAAAAAAATCGTATATTCCTTTATTTTATGTCTTTATGTACATTTTATTTTATTTTGATGTTTCCTTTAAGTTATGCAAGCCTGCCCCTTTTTTTAGGATATGGCTAACTCCATGCTAAGCCAGTCACAGAGTCATGCCCATGACCTTGCGGAACAGATGGGCCAGAGGTTGAAGGTCACTGAGGCTATGCTGGCAGAGGCTCAGAAGGCCAGAGAAAGGCTAATCATTGACAATGAGAGCGCTGTGGAGGGGCTGTTGGCTACAATCAACAGCAAGGATAAACTCCTAAAGGTAGAAATTTGATTATTTAATCGGGGCAAATGATGTCGGGATCTGTTTTGGTTCAAATTTTGTCTGTCAGGTAGATAATTTTTTACTCTCATGGATTTTTTTTTGTGGTTAGCGATCTGCTTATTTGTGGCATTCCTCAGGGTTCAGTTCTAGGTCCTCCACTTTTTTCCCTACACATTCAGCCGCCGAGCAAAATCACAGGGAGGCATTGCATTCATAACCACACCAATGACACAGCTGTTTACTGCTGGTTCAACTCAAGCCTCAGATTTTTCTCATTTTACAACACCAATGCACCACCAATAACCTCCAAGATGCTGCTATAAAAGGCATCTTTTGATAGTGGGTCACCATGGTGGAGCCAGCAATGCATAACTGTGTCATCACTGTGGCTTAGAAAAACATAGGCAGTGTCTCCTTATTGTTGCTGAGCAGCAGTATGTGTGGATTAAAAAAAGTATAGGACCCAAAATTGAACCCTGAGGAACACCACAATCACATGTTCTTCTTTCAGATTAAAAACAATAAAACTGATATAAACCAAAATAAACTTCTTATTTGCGTTTTAAAACTGCAAATAAGAAGATGAAAGTGTGAAATTATGTTGGAAAATAGTTACTGCATGTATCTAGGATATACTGTTTAAAGGGGTTCGTATGACAGTGGACTCATTTGTCTTCATACAAAAATCCACATGAAACAAATTCTTATTTCCTGCGTCTGTTATTTTGCCTTCTCAGGAGTCCGCCGAGCACTACAACCGCATGCTGTCTGAGCGTACACAAGAGATTCAGGAGCTGAGGAAGCAGCTGTCTGACTGTCAGCAGCAGCTCGCTGCCGCTGAGAGACAAAGCTCCACGACAGCCCAGGAGGGAAATTTAGAGACAGCAGAGCTCAGAGCCCTGCTCGCTGACAAAGACAGCCTCATCAATGTAAGTTCCTATGAGACAAAACACAGTCAGCTGTAAAACCTACTTGACTTATGAGCCTAACAAGGAGAGGAAGTCCGTAGTCCCCAGGAGAGTTACACTAATGATTCTCCCTTACCTATGTTCTGTTTTTAAAATGGTAAACTTAAGTTTCAGTCTGTGGTTGTTTGTGTAACTTTGCAGAAGCTGCTGCAGCGTGGTCAGGAGAGGGATCAGTATCTGGCAGAGACGAGGCAGAAGGAGGATCATGTGATGGAGCTTAGACAGACGATCCAGATCATGCAGGAGAAACTGGATGAGAAGGATGGTGAGGCAGTGAGACCTTTTAACCCCTTTTTACGTGGCATGTATGAGTAAAAGTGACAAATCTGTCCTCACTCTGATTGTGTTTGTTCCACATTGAAGCTGAGCTCACCAGGAGGAACAGCGACGATAACGCAGAAAACAATCCTCTACCCAAGAAGACAATTGTTGTCCTGAAGAAGGAGCTGGCACAGAAAACCGAAGCACTAAACAAAGCACTTAAAAGGGAAAATGAGCTAAAGGTCTGTTTATTACGTGCGTTTGACTTTGATAGTTACGAAACCAGCTCTGAGTTTAGTTTCCAATAATCTGTCTCTCAATTTTCTCTCTATTTAGATTTCTTTGGCTGAGCTGCAGTCATTGTTGTCAGAGAGGGAGGGCCACAGCGAGGGTCAGGCTGCTAATATTGAATCCCTGACAGCCACTCTGAAGACTAAGGACGAGATTATCAATGTAAGGGTTCACCTGTAAACGGTCAAGAAAAGCACATGAGCTTTGCATAAGGAGCTTTTCCTCTGATTCCATCTAAACTCAGCGGCCACTTCTGGGAGGTCTTATGTTTTGTTTTAATGTCTCTGCAGGTTCTCCACCAACAGCTCGGGAAGAGAGGGGACGGCGGGGCTGATCATACCCAGGATCAGGTCATCAGTTCTGGCATGGAGAGATCACTTCCAGGGCTTCCTCAGAGAGAGAGAACCATAATCGGTGGAGACAGCCAGCAAGAAGTACATTCTCCTCTTAAATGAAATACCAAAGAAATCAACAGATTTGACATTTTATTTGTCATTAAAACCACTTTGTTTTATGGTTTCTGTCTACTTAAAGGCTTTGCCCAACCTCTTAGCACTGCAACAGGAACGTAACGCTCTGAACAGATCTCTTCGAGCTGAGCAGCAGCTCTACTCCAGCCTGGTCAGGACCGTGAAGGAGCAGGACAGGTAAGTGGTTAAAACGAAAGAGCTGTTTGGTAACTTATTGAATTAATTACTGTGGTTTTAATGCACGTGTGCTTTGCAGTGCTCAACGTCTCCACGCTCTGCAGCTGGAGCTGACGGCTGTGCAGCTGCTCCGGCAGCAGCTGGAGGACAGCATCAAAACTAACGAGGAGCTGAGGGACGACCTGGAGAGAGAGATACACAGAGCCAAAGTCAGAGAAGGTGCAGTGATTAAAGATGATGAAAATAAATGAAAGAAAATAAGAAAGAGAACATTTATCAGTCCAGTTTGTAGAGTTGGAAAACTAAAACTCAGGGAGACATTTATTCATAGCTTGTACACAAATACACCTGACATCTTTATCCTGCATGTTTGCTTCAATAATATCTCCTGCTGACAGGCTCACACCCCCCCCTCATTATGTGTCACTTTATTCAGAGTCCCTCCATCACTCATCTTTCTGCACTTTCTGTTCTTTAAATCATCACCTCCTCATCTGCGTGTCTATCCAGAGTAGATTTGCCTGTTTTCTCTGTCCGTCTGTCTGTAACTGTGATGGCTCCAGTCTATTTCCTTGTGTGTCTGTCCTTTTATTAAAAAGAAAAAGTGAATAAAGGCTGCTGTCGGACGGTTTTCCTGTCTCTCACTTTTCACACTCTGTCTGTTTTTTTTCACCGCCCCATTAAAAACACTTGGTTGTTTATTGAATGCTCTAACTCCCCTCTGGTTATTAATCCAACTCATGTGAGCATCTGTCATTTCATTGCACAAGCATTTTGTTACGTAACAACTTTAAAAAGGGTATTTCAATTTGTCACACTGCTTCAGAATCAAGTTTCCTCCTAGAATAAATCCTCATAAATGAGCTTTATTTGTCTACTTTTGACATAGCAGTTAATCTAATTGACCTCTGAGTGTGTATGATGCAGCATTGAGACTGATTAAAGGTGTCACTCTAGCATAAACACTCTTACATCAGTGTTTATCCACATGCATGTGAAGTGCAGACTGCTCCCCTCCGTCTGTCTGTCTGTCTGTCTGCAGAGAGTCAGGTGTATAAATAGGTCAGCTGTAAGTAACAGGCTCGTGGCTCACATTCACTCAGTATCCAGTGTAGAGATAGAGCCACAGTAATTAAAACTGATTACATTTCCACATGTCCTCTTTCATTTCATCATGTGTGTGCTACACGTGCACAGTCTGATCATATTTAAACAACTCTATTACTGTTAAATGTTTATTTTTTGGGGAGTTGCAGACCGCTATCTCTTCATAAGACACTGCTGCTTTTTTAAAAATTTTAATTCCACCTCTTCTTAACCTGATTTGGTTTTGGATTTCATGCGTATTGATTGCAATATTAGAAGCATTTTAAACAGTTTTATGTGGCCAAAAATTCTGCATGTTTGGTATTTGAGCGAGCCTTAATTTCCATCGAATTCAGTATTTTTTTCACTCCTGAGCTGTCCTATTTTACACACCATCGACTCAAAATTTCAAGTTTTGTAAGGGTCTCTTTTTCCTGCAGGGATTGTTTTGTTTTTTCTAAATTAATTATTCAGAAATAACCTCTTTCAGATGAATTCACACACACACACAGAAGTCAACTGCGTTTCACAAATTAAAGCTCCTGTGAGGAACTTTCTGTCCGTGTTGATTTTGGCACCCCCTGTGGACGACATAGTAACTTTCGTCCTTATAAAGGCGCTGTTAATAGACGAAACTCTTCCCCTGTTGTCTTTTTACAGTAAAATCTATCACTCTGTTAAAATTTGTTGTGGGAGAAGTTTCCTCAAATGTTTTAGCAGCTAAAAAGGACTTAAGAGAAATGTTCAATTTTGTTGCCAATGCTCTCATTCCCTTTTGAACATCATAGAGATGCATCTCTTTTCATTTCAGTCTGGTTTATAACCTCCAAAAAAACTCCTCTGCACAGGAAACATGACCTCTCTGTATTTCTTCAGGTGTGGACCTGAGTGATCCTAATGAACTGGAGAGTGTGAGACACCAGCTGGAAGACGCACAACGCTGGAACGTCTCTCTGCAGGCTCGCTTAGGAGCCATACAGAACCGGGGAGGAGGCGTCGGTGGGACCAACGATGGTGGTAGGATTAAAAAAAAAATTAAACATCTTATTCCAGAGCGTTGGAAGACAGGAGGTGTTTAATAAACCTGACTTTACGTTATTTTTTAGGTGACACTCTGAGTTTCATTGGAGATCAGACTTCCTACATGAGTATCTGTGTGGGTGAGGGGCAGGATGACAGCTTGTCTCAACTCTCTGCGCAGGAGCTCAGGCAGAAGGTGACCTCCTTTTTTTTTAAACATATTATAAATAAATAAATAAATCCAATTCAAGTTAATCCGACTGGGTAAATACAGCAGTAGATTATAAAGTGGTTGTCAAAGCTAGAACCAAATTAGGTAGAACTGGAAGGCAGCAATACAGTTTGTAAAGATAAACCCTTCATGTTCTCAGGTGCTGGAGCTGCAGGACACCGTCAGCAGACTACACGCTTTGAATAATGAGCTGCAGAGCCGACTTCCACCATCGGAGAAGTCAGATTGTGATAAGGAAGTCAGAGAGGTGGCCGGCAGCAGCCCCGTGAAACAGGTTAGAGGCCAAAACAAAGGAGGAAGTTGTACTTAAAAATGAAGATGACTGTTTCTCTGGAGATGTTTCATCAGTCATCGTCTAACATCCACCTTTATTAGCGCCTTTCTTACCTTCAACCTAAATCTTAACCTTTACTCTGTCTAACCTTTTACTAGTGTCTCTTTATTCTGATCTGTAGTGTTGTACTGTGTGTCTTATTCTCTAACAACTCTGTTTCTGCTCTGTAGTAGAAGACTCCCTCTTCTTTTCCTAACCGCTCCCTGTGTTTTCTTTATCTCTGTGTCCCATGAAATGATCTCTCTTCGCCACGCCACATTAGACACGCCATACCATTCTGCTGTTGCTGTGCAGTGTTTTATGGATTCTGTTCCCTCGTTAAGTTTTTTCTTTTACGGAGCCATTTGTGTCACACTCGCCTCCCATCCCATTACTCTAGCAGCTTGAGAAGGCGCAGGAGACGCGGCCCGCGGTTTACAGCAGGAGGACACATCAGACTGGTCAGGATAAAGAGAGTCAGACGGATATCAGGCTGGAACAGGTATGAAAAACTTCATCTCTGAAGAGCTTTTCTTTAATTTTAGACATAGGCACAGGTTTATATTTTGGTCATATTTCCTCACGTTTGCTTGTAGATGATGTCTTGGAGGCTGCTGGGTAATACAAGTGGTCCAAACCAGAGTGAAGAGCCTGCTCTGTCTGGTAATGACACTCGAGATGCTGGAGACAAAGACTCACAGGAGAGGAACATAGACAAAACGGCACTTCAGTCTCTCCTGGCTGAAAATGGGGTCACATCTGTCACAAGCCTCAGGTGGGTCTTTGCTGTAGTTAGAGTCCAAGTCGTGTTTTTTACTTTCACTTTAACCGCAGTTGTAAAGTTGTTGCGTTTTCTTCATTGCAGGGAAGAGCTGCTCAGACTCAGGTCAGAAATCACAGAGCTGCGGGGTCTCCTAAAAGAGCAAACATCCACCGAGAGTAAAGAGAGATCGAGCACCGACGCCTCCGAGAACAGCAGTGATGGACAAGCGGAGTTAAGAAAGACGGAGGGTCACTTTAAATTCACGACTCTGGAGAAACAGAGGAACTCTTACAAAACGTCAGAAGGAGGGAGCCCTGTCAGCTCCTCAGAGGGGTCACAGAGTCCACAAACTAAAACCCAAAAACACAACAAGAGTCCAAAGCAGCATGTCGCCAAACATGGGGTAAGTTTTGACAGAGATTTCAAAATTATAGTCACATGACAACACTAAAAAAAAGTGTATACACTAAGGATGTAGTTCTTGATGATTGGTGCACACTTTGAGACTTTAAGGACATTTACACCAAGCATTTGTTTCTTGTGTATCTATATGTTTGTGCCATGCATGTCAGCTCAAAATCATCAGAACTGTATTTTGAACGTCTTTTCCATCTGTTTCCATCCCAGGCTGGAGTCAGATCTCGTCTTCCAGTCCCTGTTAGGCTGAGAGTGGAGGCGGGCCACAGCAAGGGGGTTTTAAACTCTGACCATCTGAGAACTGATGCACTAAAACACCTTCACATGGATGAGCTATGTGGGCCTGACCAGCTGCTACTCACAGACTCCGACTCGTCCTTACGTGGGTACACGTGTGGCAGCAGCCAAGTGGAGACGGACAACGGCTCTGAAGCAGGAACAACAACAGATCCCACCCCAGCCAACTCGGCTCTGCTCACTCAACTCGAGCTCCTCCACCAGGAGTGTCAGGAGAAAGAGGCTCTGATCAACAAGCTCAGCGAGCAGCTGGCCGAGTGGGAAGAGCTGGACGCTCAGCTCCAGGAAAAGGACTCGCTCAATCGGCAGTATGTGGAGGCCTTACGGGCCGCAGAATCCACCATCGCTTACCTGACCGCCTGCAGTCTGGACAGCCAGCAAGGATTTGGGATGCACACCCCAGGCTCGTGTGTAGGCTCTGGCTCTGTGGGTTCAGATACGGCCCTCCAAAGCAGGTGCATGGAGCTGCAGACTGCGCTACACCAGAAGGAGGAGCTCAACGGCAAACTTATAGATCTTCTGAGTGCGGCAGAGAAAGCCATGGCCTCCTCTAAAAGCCATGATCCAGAAAACATCGATCTGTGTTTAAAAATAGTGACGGCCTTGCAGCAGGAGAATGCTTCTTCAAGTCGACAGAGCCCAAGAGGCAGTTTGGGAGGCACAGATGACTCGGTACAAGAGCTGCAGCGACATGTGGACTGTTTGCAGGAGGCACTGTTGGAGCAGAACAGGCGGAACGCAGAGCTGCAAGAAAAACTGAGAGCTGCAGATCTTGCAGCTACAAAAAGCGTCAGCAGTAGAGACCAGAATACAGAACCGCATCAGAACAAGGAGTCAAAGAGAAGCTCTGATGATGTCTCCTTAAATCAGGAGATGACCAGAGTTCTCATGAACTGCCTAAGTGCTGCAGAGTCTGCCGTTGCTTCCCTTGCAGCAAACTGTACAAATACAAGCTCCTCAGCTTCAGGCAGATCTTCACAGTCCAACTCTGACCTGCAGATTAACTTAGAGAAACTTCAAAAAGCCCTGCAGGAGAGAAAACAGCTAGGAGAGCCGTGTCAGCAAACTCTAAAATCCACTAGTAACTCGGCTACATCTTCTGAAAGAAAGGGAGAGCATCAACAAGATCTCCATGACAACGTCTGCCTCCTCCTGAAGGTCCTCAGAGATCAAAATCAGAGAATATCGGAGCTCCAGGCTTCCCTGCAAGAAGAGAAGGGTCACAAGGAGGAGAGTAAGGTGGGGTCATCGCAGGACGTGAAGGGGTTGCCACCAAGTGTTCAGCTTCAGCTGGAGACTCTCCACAAGGCGCTGAGGGAGAAGAAGAAAGCCTGTAAAAGCCTGGAGGAGAAACTGGCCACCGCTCTTTCCAACACTCCCTCCCCTGAAACGACACGGAGAGGTAAGCTGGTGTCAAAGTAGAGACGATTTAAAAGCATGCTTGTGTTGATTGAGACCAAAATGGATTCAGGAACACCACAAAGGAGAGAGAGCCTGGTGCTCGCTGAATGAATTTTCCTAACTCAACATATATTACCTCCAATGCCAGCTCTGGAGCAGGATGACAAAGGCGTGCAGGTGGATTTGCAGGACCTGGGTTACGAAACCAGTGGCAAGAGTGAGAACGATAGGGAAGAGAGCAGTAGCACAGGTAGACGGCCTTCAGACGGACTCTGCATGTCTGTCTGCTGAGTGGACACTAATCTCACCTGTGGATAGATTCTCTGTATGCATGAGGAGTGACCAAAGGCATCTGTATCTCTGTCTCTTACCTTGAGATTTTTTTGTTTCCACTTTGGGTGTCTTAACTCCACAATCTTCTAGTTTTAACTCGGTGTTTCTTGGAATGAGCATTGATGAGTTCTTGCATGTTTCCACTCTGATGTTTGGAGCACTCATTAACCTTTCACTTTATTTTCTCTTCTTATCTCACTGTAAAGCTCTCTTCCTCAAATCATTTCTTTTCCCACAGAATATGCGTCCACCAGCTGAAGGTTTTTTTTTTTTTGTCCCCTCTGTCACCAGATCTAGAGGTTGGTGTGAAGCCCAGCTGCAGTGCCTCTAGTCTGCCCTCTCTGCTGAAACATGAGCAGGCCAACTACTCCTCCACAGACAACCTGGACTCCACTTCCAGCACCCCATACCCAAGTTCCCCAGCCTTCAGCTCAGCCAAGGTAGGAAACTCGTCTCTACTTACTTCATCTATATTATACAATTTCCCACTCTCCCAAGTTTCAGACCATTTGGAGTCGATAGGTACAAAAACAAAAATTAGCAAAAAAAATGTCCTTTTTTTTTTTTTAAGTGTTTGGGTTACGTAAGATGTGAGGGTTTTAACTACAGTTGCTGACCTGGGATTCTCAAGGGAACGAGATAGAGATCTGGGACCAAGACCAAACCACCCTATTTCATGTACCTCGAGTTCACTGGTACTGGAATGAAGTCTCTACGGCGTTGCGTTCCAAAGTTATGGGCAATTTAAAAAATCCCCATTCAAGTGAATGGGATTGTCCAGGGCTGCTACCCTCTATAGCAAGGTCAAGCACTGTTTTTCTAAGTGTTTAAGGTTAGGGTTAGGGTCGGGGTCATCACTGTCCAGTACTTATTTAGGAGCACGTATCAGACCATTTGGAGTTGGTTGGTACCAAAAAAAATTAGGAAAAGTTTTCGAAGTGTTGAGATTACGTTAGGGTACAGGGGTTTCAACCACAACAGTCGATTGGCGATCTCCAAGGGAACAAGATAGAGATCTGAGTTCACTGGTACTGGAATGAAGTCTCTACAACGTTGCGTTCAAAAGTTATGGGCTGTATTTATCGACTGTATTAACCATATTCTTTGTTTTCAGGTCAGTCTAAAAGGTCTGCAGGTCTATGATGAGTATGGCGTTTCTGAAGACCCTCACCAGCTTCAGGGGCAAGTCAAAGAGCTGAAGGCCCAGCTGGAGAACCAGACCAAACTCATTCTGCAAATGCAAAGCCTTCTTCGTAGGAACTCTCTCTCCAGTGACCATCTCGCCAACGCTCCAGATCCATCAGGGGGACGAGAAGGGACGCACAGGGATAACCACAGCCAGGGTAAGGGCCACAGGAGTGGACTGCTTGGGGAGAAGAAGGAGGGGGAGAACCAGGCATTGAAGGATAAAGGCAGCCATCTAAATGTGGAAGTTGAAGGAGAGAAGATCCAGAGCAGAAGATTGAGTGATCAGCTGCAGCAGACACGCAGCCGCTCTACATCACCTGCAAGGTCAGCAGTCTTCTAAGTAACTATGAGTGAACCTGCACTATCATTTTCAAAACAACATCTTCTGTTGTCCCTCCTTTGACTCGTCTCCTCCCTGTCTCACTCAGACTGGACTCCCTGGTGCAGTCACAAGCCAGAGAGCTGTCTCAACTCAGGCAGCAGATAAAAGAGAGCCGCAGGCTGGGAGCCCTGCAGCGCCGGCAGCTGGAGGAGCTGAACAAGGCCTTCAAGGAGCTGCTGCAGGCCAACTCAGTGGACTACTACATGGGGGAGGTGGTCAAAGAGCAGCTGGATAAGAGCCTGGGCATCTTGGACAGGCTGGAAGGACGACTGGACAAAGGTAGAGCTGAACTTTAAAATGCACAAAACTCCAAAATTAAAAATGCAAATGAATTATCAAGCTCTGCCATCTTGCTTTATAATTATATCTCCAATTAAGTTGAGGCATGTGCTGAGTTTTAAAGGAAGCTGTGTGTAAGTTTAATGAGAACAGCGCTGTGAATGGTTTTAATAGAGGGCGTCTTCGGCAGAGAAAGAGAAGTCCTCTGATTTTTACTGACAGCTCCTTGACAGCATCTTTTCTCTTCTGCCAGGAGAGTCTCATCTGGATAACGAGGATGTGGCGGCTCTGGAGCTGTCACGCAGGTATGTCTCCAACTCTCATACTCCGGTATTTTATGATCAGTGCTTTGTTTATTCACCTTTCATTTGTATACTTTTTATTATCTGTCGTAAAACCAGATTTCTGGATAATCTCGTTCCCTGATTCTCTGTCGACATGCTGAAAAAAAAATCTTTTGTGTTTGAGGAAACATGCTCATTTTCTCTCTGGTGGAAAATGAGATTAAGGATGGTTATCTCCTCCATAAATATTTAGCCGGAGCAAGCAGCCAAGAGGACAAACAGCTAGCTTGGCTCGTCCAACTACACTGAAAGATAACAAAAAAACACAGTCCAAACTTTGTGTTTTGGCTTATTTAATGTTTGACTTATAATCCTCGTTAGCTGAGATGTTTTAGTTTTGATCCGATGACCCTTTTTCAGCCCCCCCTCCCACTTCCACCCGGCCATTTTGCCGTATGACCCTGGGCGGTGCGTGTTTTGTTGATATTGAATAGTATCCTGCTGTTGACCTAATTTTTTCTGTGACGACCAAAACATTAAGGTTAGACTGCCCTTTAACTGGGTCACTGGTGTGTCTGAGAAAGCAGAGCACAGGAACCACGTCAATACTCATTCATTTATGCATGTTTGGTGGAGCCTTAGGCCGTGTGTGTGTGAGTGCGCACGGAGAGGAAATCTCATTCTTAGAGCAAATGCGCCTTTAGCTTTTCTACATACATAGTTTAAATCAACGACAGTATATTTAAAATTATTAAAGGTTCAGAGAAGTTTCTTTACAAAAAGGACAAGTCTGATAACTGATACTGGATCTTGGCAGCGGTGCATTTAAAACAGCCATGACTTTGCAGTGGAAATCACTACATGGGACAAAAATCCACAGCCAAAAAACACAGTTTGTTGCTGCATCAACAAATGCAGGTCCGAACTTCACCATGCTAAGAGGAAACAAAATAAATAGTAAATATGATCCCGGATTACTGGCAATTTTTCTGTCTATTCAGGGTGGACTGAGGAAAGTTGAAAACTTTCTGGTCCAAAAAAATTTAACATTCTACTTGGAAATCATGGATGTCGTATCTTCAGCACCGAAGAGGAGGGGCTAAGCTGGTATTTGGGATGCATTAGTGCTCATAGCATTGTAATTTGTTTATTTAGGGAGGCACTTGTGCTGCCTTTTTCAGGGAGTTTGAACACAGAGTTAGCATTTTTTAAGTGACTCTAATCGGGGAAAAATATTTGCACACTTTCAAAGTGTTAACTGAGAAACATAGAATGCAGCTTTTCCCTTAATTGGACTTTAAAAAGGAAAAAGAAGAAAAAGATTTTAAAAATTTATCATTTAGTAAATCATGTGTCTACAAATACAAGAATTTTGGAGTTTACACATTTTTGACATTTTTGAATTTTTTTTTATTTTAATTTTTGTCTTCTCTATATTATTGTTGTCAGTCACTATTATTTTTTTAAATCATTTTTTTCACGTTATCTTGTGTTTTTGTACATTAAAATTGAAATATTAATATTCGGCTATTATAGGTGGAGGCTTTAAATAAGCCCATTGTGGCTTTTTGCCTCTCTCTGCACTGTTTCATTATTACCTATCATGTTAAATGTTGTATTCTTTTAAATTATGCAAAAAATAAAAATAAAATTAAAAAGTACCATAGCTTAAGAAAACCCTCTTTTTATATCTTAAGTCCACGATTAAAAAGGTCCTTTTCACACTACCTTGGGTTTTTCTAAATCCTAAGGAACTGCTAAATGCTGCTAACACTTATTTTCTGCTGTGAAAAATCTTAATTTGGACCCTGGAGTTGCCAACTGTAACATGAGTTTATCCACATTGCTATTACTCTGGGCAGTCTCGGGGAGGTCCAGCAGGCGTCACAGCCACGGCTGTGTTGTAAGGAGAGTGTGAGAGATCCTGCCGACAGCCCGGCTAGAATCCAGCAGGAGATAGATAACCTGCGTGTGGAGCTAGAGGGCGAGAGAGAGCTGCTGCAGCAGCACGTCAGCCTCCTCGTCCAGCAGAACCTAAACCTGGCTGAGTGCACCAGGGAGCAGCTGGACCTGTGAGTGGGTCTGATCCAGATAGATAGCATGAGGTTTGCTGTGTGAACTCCTCTCTTCTTGTTTCCCAGCTGTGTGTTTCTGCTGAAAGCCACAAGCCCACTGATTAGGAGCACTTCTTTCCTCACTGTCTTTGTTGCTGTGTTTGGTTGGACTTGATGTCATCCCACAAAACTCCGCAGGGACGTCACAGATAAGATGTTTGGGGTTTAAATCTGCTAATACACACATGACTTATTCTCCTTCGTGTTGTCCTTCCAGGCTGGCTAAAGAGCTTCAGGAGAAGAACCGCCTGATCCAGAGCCTGCAGAGCCAGTTAAGGCAAAGTCCCAGCAGCCACCACAGCTCCCACTCTGAACTGTACCACTCAGACAGAAACTCCTCCTCTTCCTGCCACAGCAGCCCGACCACGCAGAGTGGCAACCAAGCCCACAGTAAGCACAGAGACACGTTGATATAATCCAGGGAGTTTCTACATGTAATTTAAGACTTTTACAGAGTCCTAATGATAAAATCTATCTGTGATCTGGTTTCAAGTTACAGTCTTAAGTGTCAGGGATCCTGGACTTTGCACGAGACTACTTAGTTATTTAAAGCCACAATAAGATGAACTCAGTTTCCTCCATTAAATATGCATATTTCTTTGCTTCGGCGCAACTTTTAAGATTATCCGAGTCCACCTGTCGGGCCGCTCTATTCGCAGCCTGTAATGGCACTTATTCTCCACTCAGAGCCATTCTGTTGCAGCGAGGCGTCCCGCAGGACAAAGCTCAGCAGCCAAGGACAGAGGGGGGGTCCAGTTTCAATTGGCCTCCACTTAAAGCTGCATTATTCAGTGGCACCGATCTGGTTCAGCCCTCAAATGGTGCTGCCTTTGAGGAAAGAGACAGTGAAGGCTGTTACAGAGAGCAGCGGAGCATCTGGTCACGTAACAGATCCTGCAGAGGACTACGAAGACTTTAGAGGACAGTGCCATAAACATTCAAGTCAAATCCAGGACTAAGAAGGTGGAGCCTGATCTGGGGTTAATTTGGGGATGTAGTAAAAGTTGATAAACACAGAAAAAGAATAAAACGGTTCTCTAGATGTTAAGAAAATGATGGTTATATGTCAAAGTCTCACACCTTGCTCTGAATGTTCTTCCTGTTTAGGTCAGAGACCCTCCACCGATTGGACAGGAGTGTCTGTCCCTCCTTCTGTGGGAGGAGTTCAGGAGGAGGGAGGTGTGTCAGCAGGCAGCAGACTTCAGGGCCTGCAGAGGGAGAACGGGCGACTGCAGGAGCAGCTGAGGGACAGCGAGGAGCTCAACGCCACCCTGCGCAGCGAACTGGACCTGCATCGCTCCATCATGGCCCAGACCAGCTTCCACCATCAAGAGCAGGACCACAAACAAGACCAGGACGGAGCAGGGCCTCAGAAAGGAGATAGTGGCCCACAGAGGACGTCTGCAGATCAGTCTCGCACAATGAATCCAGGTAAATATCGAAGAGAGACAGTGAGGTTTTCCAGATATTTATTAAAGGGACATTCCACTATTTGTAAGGAGTAAGTTCACTCAACTCAAAAAAGGGGCACTGAGTTCAAACTGGAATCAGTCACAGTTTGGTCTTGTTCACATGTTCACATACACATGTAACGGCACGTATTGATGTGAAAATGTGTGATCTGCTCATACAAACATTTCAGAAAGTATTTAAATTACATGTAAATCCAGGAAATGCAATTATGCACAGCAGACCAATCACAGAGCTCGATGTCTGTGTCATTTTAAGTACATTATTACATCTTTGAGAGAAGTGTACATCAAGCTATATGTGCAGGCATAGAAATCAGAGCTATGCTGAGGTTGAAATTAGGGGTGAGAGAAAAAAACGATTCACAGAAGTATAGCAATTTTTTGTTTTACAATTTTTACGCTCAAATTATTATTATTATTATTGTCATTATTATTATGTTTTGGGTTTTTTTTCAAATTGGAGAATAAATCTTTGGAAAAAAAATCGCAATTTAAATCAAATCGGCATCCAAAAATTGTAGAGGAATCGAATAGGGCGAAAAGCATATTGTCCCAGCCCTCGTATAAATCAGACTCAAGAGCGCTTTATTAGGCCGAGTGTGAGCCAAAGATGCTTGGAAAGGTTTTTTCATTGCTGCTTTACTTGTGGAGGTTAAAGGTCAGGGCATTTAGCCTTTACTGCTGAGATTTTTGAGATTGCTCTTTTAAACCGGTCTCTTCTAAGCCCTGAGTTTACACAACTGGGACTCTTAATCCACATAAAAAGCCCCTTTAAATCCGTGTTCTGCATGTGTCTGGTAGATTTACTCGCAGAACATCTGCAGGAGATCCGAGCGCTGCGGCAGCGCCTGGAGGAGAGCATCCGCACCAACGACCGCCTCAGAGAGCAGCTGGAGAGGAGGCTGGCTGAGGTGGAGAAAGACCCAGGTAAACCCTGGAAACAATCCACCTTCTCTTTTCTGCCTCTTCTTCACAGTTTATTGTTGATTGACATGAAGTTTTTGGTCTCTGTTTAGCAGCAACCAACATCTTCATCCAGGGCAACGAGGAGCGCGGTCAGCTAGCCAATGAGATGCGCTTCCTCTGGGGACAAAACCAAGCCCTGAAGGAGCAGCTCAACATGGGCTCCCGAGGTAAAACACACATTTCTTTAGTCGTATGTGGAAGTTTTTTTTTTTTCTGCTGATGCTTTTTTTGTCTATTCTCAATTCTAACCCTGAGTTTTTATTCTCTCCAGACAAGCAAAAAGAGAACGAGAAGCTGCGCGAGACTCTGGCCCGGCGCACGGCCAAACTGGAGCAGAGCAGGAGGGAGTGCGACGCTCTGAGGCAGGAAAACAGCCACCTGCAGGAGAGGCTGGAGCTCAGCAACCAGGAGAACGCCGCGCTGCAGGACTCACTGCACTACAGCAAAGAGGAGCTGCACAGGTACACACATGCTGGACAACAACACACACGTGAAGACTACCACTCTTCATGCTACCTGAAACCACACAAGGTTACTAATTACCTATTTAAAGAGCCATCGCTATTAGCATTAGCCTGCACTGTGTGGGAAAGCAGATACTCTGTTATTCATACACTCTTCCATGAACACGTGCACACAAACTGCAGCATGGTGATGATGGTATGTGACCTCTTACCCCGAGTCCCACTGACACAGCTGAGAGAGGCTGACACCTGAAACCTGGAGTCGGATCGCTTCTCCTCTCCCTTTTCTCATCTCCTGCTTGTGTTCAACTTGCACATTGTCTATAATTATGTTGTTGTTTACACAGACGTATATTTCAAATGTTTGTTTGAGGACCAGGTCTGTAATAGAGTTCCTACACAAGTATGGAAAGTGGGGAAACAAATTTGATCAATTTCCAGCTCTGAAAAAAACATGGAAAATGAAAATAAAGTGTGGAAAAATATTTTTGTTTCCAGACTATTACCACATTTCTAAAATACTGTTTTCTAAAATAGAAAAGTAGGTATTTTCAGAAGTAATTCTAAAAATAAGCGTATGGAAAAGTATGAAAACTCCAACTGTGTAGAAACCCTGCTTTAATTCCAGTGATTTCAGTTTGATGAAGGGCAGGTTTAGGTTCTCTTTCGGTGATTTTACTGATGATTCTGATGGATGAATTCATGAAATTTTGCACAAAAAGCTGCAAAATTTGGCAGCAACTTCAGTTTCTGAACATTGCAGCTCATCCTCTTCGTTTCAGGACTGTAAGGTGAAACTTTAATCCTCACAGGAGATGCAGGTTCTTTTCTGTGAGGCAGATTTGATGTAGTTGGTGTTTCAGCGAGCTTGCTTGCATCGAGTCCAGGAATTTCATCGTTTCTTTTATTATGGACTGAGACATGATTTGTGTGTGTTTGTGTTTCCAGGCTGCAGATTGAAGTGAAGCTCCAGAGGCAGCAGCTGTGTGACTCTCAGCATCTCCTGCAGTCGCTGCGGGTGGAGCTGCAAGTTTACGAGAAGATCAAGACTGACGCTCAGAAACAAAACGGTATTAATCAAGTTTGAGTTCATATCAGAGACAAGGTCACTTAAGTTTATGTGTGCACTGACATGCATACGCCATTTTTCGTTCCAGAGTCCTCTGAGTTCACCCAGAATACCGTCCCAGCCTCCTCAGGCCCCTTGGACCTGAGCGAGCTGCTGCAGGAGATCCGACACCTGAGGCTGCAGCTGGAGAGGAGCATCCAGACCAACACGGCTCTGAGACAGAGGCTGGAGGAACAGCTGCTCCGAGGCCCCAACCTGAGACCCGAGACCATCAATATCAACTACCTGCTGTCCTCGCCAGGTAAACACACAAGATACTGATACACAAAGAGCTGGAAAACGCTCTGAGAGGAATCTGACGGTGTTTTTAAACATTATGTTTTAGATGAAGGAGGGAGATCACCGGGTAGGGAAGGCTGTGATCCACACCGTCACTCATTTCAGGGTCATAACGAGCAAACAGGTGAGGAGTCCTTCTTAGAAAAAACGCACGCACGTTGATAAAAACATTAAATACAAGAAAACAGGTTTTATCAATCAAAACATCTAAATAATCTTTTCAGATGAGAGACTCCAACATTTAGACGGCGGTTCACTCAGCAGCAGCTCTGGCGAAAGTGCCACCGGCGCTCCCTCCCGCCTTGTGCCGGGTCACCGCATGTGGGCCAACCGCAACGGCCGCCATATTCTGGGACTGATCGAGGACTACAACGCCCTGCGTAAACAGATCTCAGAGGGACGTAAGCTGTCACGCAGCATGGACGCACAACTTCAGGAGTATCGGCACGTAGTCAGGCAGCAGGGATCTGACAACAAGGTGCTCATCGGTGTTACAGTTATTTCTCAGCTCGCACAAACTGTAAAAGACAAGAGTTTTAACGCCGCAGTGTCCGTCTCTTTGTAGATGGTTGAACAGCAGCATCTGAAGGGTCTGTCGGGCAGCGTCAACACCATGCAGCAGGTGTTAGAGGAGGCCGGCCGGCTCCTTAAACTGGTTTGGAGAGTTTCTCTGCCAGCTGGTACCATGGCAGGAGACGGCAGCAACAACCAGCAGGTGCTTACACAGACATTAACTACATGATATACAAGAAACGCTCCCTTTATAGCTAATCTGAATCTCTTTGTCCTCCGAATCAGGATGAGCTGCTGAAGAACGAGATCGCCAGACTGAAGAGCAGACTGTCACAGCAGGAGAGGATGCTGAGCGGAGCCGTGAAACGTCTGAGAACAACCAACCAGCTTAAAGAAGGGATGGAGCGAGTCATCATTGACCAGTGTATGATCACCTTCACCTTTATATTAGGGCCTGACCGATATGGATTTTTTGGGGCCGATACTGGTTGGGGGAGGGGGATCACCGATTAATCAGCAGATTTAAAAAAAAAATTTATCAAGTTATAAAAATATATATATATATATATATATATATACTGTAGATATCTACAGTATACTATATTATACTGTAGATATACTGTAGGCTACCGCTCTTCGCGCTGACAGAAACTCGGACCAGTAAAGCCTTTTTAACTACCACCCTGCCACCGTCGATCGGTGCCTCTGCGTCTTAACTCACGTTACACATTTCTGGTCTGGTCTCATCTGAAGACATGTAGCTGCCTTAGTAAGATAAGTTGCTCGATCACGTATTGTGTACTGTTGTTTATTCTACCGTTACTGGCATGGCTAACAGTGTAGCAAGGCTAATAGCAGGTGGCTAACTAACTTTAGCTTGCATATTACATGGTGCTTCACCGTTAACTTGGCGTGACCGAGACCAGCACAGTGGGGAACATCATGAAGTGGGTTGAACTGAAACTTGTTGACTTATTGTGTATTTCACAAACTGGTTTCTTTACCGTTGAGGCGGACCACTCTGCTCCGTGCGTCCCTGAGCTGCCTGCTTCTGCTCCGTCACTCTGCTGTGCTGTGAGGTAGTTAGTGGATGAAGATTGTCATGAGGTCACTGCGCCATCTACAGGATAAGTCGGGGAACTTTTCAAATAGCAGAACATTTTTAAAGTGAAACCGAATCTTATTCTCCACATTTTATTTCTGAAAATAACAGCGACAATCAGTGAGTTATGGCCGATTTCCAATTAGTCTCAAACGGGCTAAAATTGGCCAGTTTCATCGTCTCGCCGATAAATCCTACTTTACATGTACTGAAGGCGAACATTTGATATGAAGGAGACTTTTATTTTGAAAACCTTGATTCTGTTATATCCTTTACGATTGTGCTCTGTTGTCTAGTAAGTATATAGTATAAATAATTATGTGTTTTAGCTCCTCTGTTTGGACACTGTATTGAAATCTGACTTCCTGTTTCTGTCCTTCCATTCAGTGTGTCTGACCCATGGTGTGTTGAAGAAAGCCAGGGGGAATCTAGAGGTGAGTCATCTTAAATAAATAAAAACAACAACATGCCACAGTCGATGTTTGTCAACACTAACGTTCTTGTCTGCGGCGGTGAACTCTCTCAGTAAACCCTCTTCTTTTCCTTCTCCTGCTCCATGTGAAATAATGATAGACAAATTACTGTACCATCTTTGGCCTGAAAGGTCGGTCTGGAGGACCAGACGCAGGTCAGTGCGGTTGAGGTGCAGGTTTTCAGAGTGATGCATGAGACTGCTGCTTTAGTTTTATCTCCTGCATGAAGCAAAAACAAAAAGACGTCGACTCATCGTGAGATATTTGGCGGTGAAATGAACCTGCTTTAGTGTCTGCTTTGATTAATTTGACTGAAGGTTCAGCTAACTGTACCTTTTAAAGTGGATATCCACCAAACTGAGTTGCAGTGATTGTGTGAAGCATGAAGAGCCTTTTCTACTGTTATGAAGTGTCTTAAAGGAACAGTTCAACATTTAGGAAAAGAAGCTTATTACATTTCATAACTGGAGGATGTGCTTTTTCTTATAAGTTTGAAATATCAGTCTTCTTAGACTTAAAGCTTGTCCTCTTGAACAGCTTTTCACAGACCTATGGGTCAAGACTCAAACCCAGTCTCCAAATTGGTAATTCTCTGCCGACATGCCACTATGTTGAAATGACTCATGAAGTTAAATTTTGACTTTTTTGGGGACGTTTTTACTCTTTTCCTCAAATTTCATCTCATTTTGATATCTCAGCTTTATTCTTGAACTGAAAAACTCCCTCCTTGAGCAATTAATTCCTCATACCTGTCCCTGAGACGCTTATGTAGTTGCCTAGAAACACAGTACCTGTTATGTAGGAATTTAATGAGCAAAATCCAGCAAATAAAAAACACAGTGAGCTTTACAGGCAGTTTGGACTTGAAGTCTTCAGTGTGAAATTAAAAAAAGCTGTTTTTTCCTAAATGTCAAACTTTTCCATTAGAGAGAATTCTGACGCATGAGTCTGCAGTCTGAATGTCAGTAACTTTTTTTTTTTACCCAGCATGTCTGAAGCTGTGAAGTGACTTTACCGTGTTTGCAGGATCAAGTTTAAGCATGTTTTTTTCTGTTTCAGGAGGTTCCAGTCAATGGCCCATAGGGGGCACTGCAGACCTTCTCCCAGAGCAGAGGGTCGTCCCCTCTTCTCAGCGGGCTGCAGAGAGACACTCGGATTCCTCGAACAGTGAAGCCTCTTTACGCTGCAGCTGCTGAACCTGCTGCTCCTCTGCATTTTTTTAACCTAGCTTCTTTAAATCCTTCAGGCCTTATTCCTCCTGCTGTGAAACCGTCACCTTATTCTCCTGATCTTGAAGCCTTTTCTGATGATTATTGCGTTTGCACAACTTTCATGTTATTTGTTTATTGTAGGTACTGAAGATGTAAGTTTTTTTTAACCTTCTTTGAAAAGAAAATGCCTTTGTAAATATTGATTCCTGCTACTTAACAGTCTCCTTCTCTTGTGTTTTTATATGACGGGATAAGAAGATGAAAATGTATTTTATTACCGACTTGTTTTTACTTTTTGTCGCATATGTCAAGGAAGTTAAACTACCGTGTGTTCGAGAAATCATGTGCAGATGCAGTAAAAAAGAAACTTTAATGAAACAAAAATGTGGTACAAAAGTCCCTTTATTAGCATAAACTTACACTTTTTTAAAGTACAAATCTTGGCAGCTGCTTAGAAATGTGTGTAAGGAGGAAGAGAAGTAAGAAAATAGCAAAGTTGAGACAGAGTTAGTGAGGAAGATTAGAAAAAATACAAGAACATTTTCTACATTTAGTAAGTTCAGAGGAAATGATTATATTTAAAAGGTCATTTTCTTTTGAAGCACTTGAAATGTGTCTAGCTGGTTTTTTTTATATAACCTTGCAGTGACCTATAAAACTAGGCCTGTGAACCAGTCGGTGAGTGATTAGTAGCACCCAGATGTCCTCATATCACATGTTAGTTTTGACCATCAGGCAGCTTCTCATTGGTCTTTTACAGTTAACACTTTGGTTGTGTTAGAAAATCAAATTTGGCAAAATGACACATGAAAAATAAATGGCACCAAACGTCACAATAAACACGCTCCAGGTCCAAACTTCAGGCTAACTTCAGCTACAGTAATAACTTTGTTTTTGAGAACACACTACAGAGACCCTCTCTCTGCATTTTTACAACCGGGGTAAGAAAACCATTTTTGGGATGTATTTAGATCTGTTCCTTAAACTTTGAATATACAGTCTGTCTATCTCTGCACAAGTCTGACAAAAGCCTGAACCAGCTGGATGAACGGCTCCTGACCTTCGTGGCTCGCTTTGGAACCCGGTGTGGGGGGTTTGGATTGTGTGGAGGGGAGGATCCCGCTGGCAGGGGACGATGGAGAGCCCCGGCGGAAGTGTCGAGACAGGCTGGAGAGGAGAGTGCTCTAGAGATGGAAGACGAAGAATTCAGATTTTAGTTTGACATGAAAGAAAAGAGAGAGTTTATTTTACTTTTTGTTGTTCAAGACTGTGAGCACTAATGTTTCCTGAACCTGAAGTTTCTCTTAAAGGTGGGGTAGGCAGGAATCCGTTAAAAGAAGCACCTTTTTTTAGTGTATATACAGAAAAGCTTTTAATATCAGTCAATAGCTATTAGTTATTGATGACATTTGGGAATATGATGATATCACTGTGTTTTCTTATGTCTGTGGTGTGTTTGACTCTAAATTAATTTTACGCCGGAATATCCCTTTAAAAGGACAGTAGCTTAAAGACAGAGGCTGAAATGAGGGTGTTTTCAAAGACAGCAGCCAGAGTTTGTTGAACTGTAAATAATTTGAAGCTGCTAGGAAGTGATCAGAGGGAAAATATAAAGACTAAAATATAAGTCTAATAATCCCTCTGTAAATGAAACCAGCAGAGAGCTTGAACGTCTTACCAGTTCAGAGCTGAGCTCCTGTTTGAGCCTCTGTTTGTCTCGGGGGAGGATGGAGGAATCTTTGAGACAGCGAACAGCCTGAGAGATCAGCACGTAGAAACAGTTCTCCATGGTGAACATCAGCAGAGACCTAAAGGAAAAAAACAATCACGACAAATATTATTGATGTTTTTCAGCAAAACATCGACGTGAAAAAGTCTTCGCACATTTTGGAGTCACTGTTTTGGCTTCTGCGTCCAAAGAAAGATTAATTCTGTACCAAGTTTAGCCGAGCACAAAGATTTACTGGATTCTGGCTTCTACAAGATCAAATGTGTTAATTGGTGGGTTTAGAGCTGCAAACAGAAATGAATGAGTAACTCACTTCAGAGCTTGGATCTCCTCTGATGAAGCCAGGGAGACGATGCTCAGGGAAACTGGCTCTTTCTTTTTCTCCATCTGAAAAAAATAAACAATCAAAAATGATTTACAATCTATTGTCAGCTGACTCCAGCATCACTTGTTTACGATTAGACTCGATATCTACCTCGCTCAACATGCTCAGAGCCACGTTGATGGTGGCCAGCAGAGTCCCGAACGATGGAGCCACATCGGGGTCGAAAGCTGGTGTTGTGAAGCTGAGCACAAACAGGGTCCTGTACTCGGCTAAGTCCATACTCTGACCCACAAAGAGACTCAGAATCAGCTTTTATACTCTGTTTCTGTTGAAGCTTTAAGGTGACGCAGACTCACATGATGCTGCTTGACACAAATAATCAGGATAAAAGTGGAAATATCAAGAAGACATGAAGCATGAACCTGGTCCAGGAGGATCTGGCAGCAGTCTGGAGTGAAGTGCTGCAGAGTCGCCAGAGTCTTGCTGAGGATCTTCAGGAGGCTACACTGCACGGCCATCAGAGCCTTCTGTTCGGCCTCCTCTCTCTCTCCTCCACCTGCTGCTTCTTTAGACGGAGTCTGCGGGGGGCGCTGTGTTCTGGGGAGGTGACCAGGAGGCAGCGCTTCTCCGTTCTTCGCCTAAAAACAAATTATCGATCAGGTCAGCAGGACTGGAACAATGCTGCTGCAGGTGTACCAAGTATGCTTGTTTCTGACCTGGAGGTAGTGATGCAGCATCTTCTTGCTGTGGAGCAGATACGTGCAGGTCTGACACAGATAACACAGATTAACCTGCACAGAAAGAAAAACTCGGCATTAGAGACTCCTCAAGTTTATCTGGATAAGTTAAGCCGTTGTAGTCGATGATGTGGAGCTTTCTTGCCTGAACATCTCGGAGCAGTTTAGGAAGGTGAAACTGCCACTCTTTACAGAAGCTGGAGAGCTGCAGCAGGAAGCCGACGGTATGATCAGCCTCGTCCAAACACGCCAGACTCTGAACCGTCCGCACTGCGTTTAAACACTGAGCACAGGGGGGGAAAGGTCAAAATTAAAGATTGATGGAGAGTCAAAGAAAAGATAAACCAATTGGAGCTGATGTGAGGAGGAGGAGGGAAATGTGAGTGTGCAGCTGTGACTGATGCTAATGTTTAGTTTTTTATACAAGAGTAAAAGTAGAAAAAGTTTGGTGATGAATCTCTAAATCTCTAAAGCCAGCTCTTTGTCACCTGAAGTATCCGCTCCTGATGGACTCCCACAAAGTCCAGGGCTTCATTGATGAAGTTGTATCTCAGAGTTTTGAGGAGACTCTCCATTAAAGACATGCAGAGGCGGTACACTCCAGGCCAGCAGGCAGAGTCCTGGGACTTTCTGGAGAAACCCTGCACATATACGACGATACGTTAGGTTATTGAATCGTCTCAGTCTCACTGAGTGTCACTAACGTTCTTCTTAACTTACCTGTGATGTTCCATTTGGAGACACCTCGTAGACACTGAGGAGAGGTAGACATATAGTCTGAATGACTCCTGCTCCTGCGACAGCTGCTGCCCCCTGGAGGACAAAAAATAAACACAGCTTTAACATCTGACATCTCAGCTGGATCTCCTTCAGTCTGCAAAAAGAACGACTAAAATCCATGAAAAACCAAGAGGAGGATGGAGGATGTGGTCAGAGACATCTCCTACTTTAGTTTCACCTAGTTAAACTTTTAACAGTGTAATATAGAAAACTAACACCAGACTCTTCAGGGTTTACCTGTGGAGTGCGGGCCAGCGTTAGCAGAAGGTGGAGTGCGGCTTCAGTGAAGTAGAGGTTGTGTTTGGATCGTAGACTGAGCTCCACAGCGCTGAGCACAGAGGGGAGGACCGGCACCTTCCTCATCACGGAGACCCAGTGCTCGCCATCCTCATCGGTGCGACACAGCTCCTTGGCTAAGTGCAGGGCCAGCACACACACCTAAGGGAGGATAAAAGTCGACAAAAAAAAGATGACACTGCTGCTGTTTGTTCTTGAAATCACTTACTCAAACGTAACCAGAGGACAGATCTGAGGACAGAGTTCGGGTTTAAGGGCGTCTGCTCACTCCGTCTCTCTGGTCCTTCTGTTGGCTGCGGGGGGAGTCTGTCTCCATGCTGTCCTCGTCCTCCACCAGCGGTTCTCCAGCCTGTCTCATGTGTCGAGTGTTATCAATGAGCACCAGGGCTTCGTCTTTCACCGTCTCACACACAGACAGCAGCAGCTGGGGCAGCTGGGAAATATCTCCGCCTAGCAGAGGATAAGATCAAATCAACAAAGAGCTCCAGCTGCAGAACATCACCGCGCCGGATTCACAGCGCACATACCCTGAATCTGCAGCACAGAAATGAGCGCAGAGAAGATTTTGGCTTTGGTCCTCTCCATCATCTGCTGGTCGGCCTGCAGGACGCTCTCCAGGATGAGGGAGAGCGGGGACAGGATGTCAGGAGCTGTGGCTACCACACTGGAGAGAAAAAGACAACAAGAGGAAGAGTTAATCCGAGGTAAAATACGCAGGATGTGGTTTCAACTGTGCTCTGATGCCTGATTCTTCACCTCTTCCACTGTTTGAGGAGGATGAGCAGCAGAGTGGCCATCATGGACCCGAGACGGAGACAAGGCACAGATGTGGGAGTAGTGAGCTGAAGAAGGAAAAAAAAAAGAGAAATCAAACAGCTGTTTGGGTTTAGAAGAGATTAATGGTTGTAAAATGTTGTCCAGATGACTTACAGAAGCTTTGGTCCCATCCAGAACATCCATGAAAAGCTTTAGCTTGGTCGAGTCCTCCGTCAGCTGCATCACCTCGGACTGAACACACACATAAAGCATGTGGTCCATCTGCATCCAGCTCTCTTTGGGCAAAAACACAAAGGCGACTCAAAAGAGGAGACAAAGTGAGATGACATGACTGTAACTTACGTGACTCGTGGAGAGGATGAGCAGCATCCTCCAGGCCGAGATCAACATCTGAGTTTCTGGGAAGTAGCAGATGCCTTCCTCCTCCATCTCCGCCACATGACAAACCAGAGACTTGACATACTGAGACCAGTACTCGTATCGCCGTGCATTGGCAAACTTCTGCAGACCGTCCTTCAGAGACTGCTCAAGGGAACCGCTGCGACAACACAGAGAAATCTGACCTCAATTACAAGATAACAGAGTAATTATGCGAGATGAAAACACTGGAGGTGACACTTTTATTATCAGTTTGATTTACCTGACAACATAGTAGATCTCCAGACCGATGATTTTCATGACAAAAGCGCACGTCTCTAAAACGCAAGGCTGAGAGAAACAATGATTCTTCAGTTAGTGCAGTTGGGATCTGATAACTTGTGTGATTTTTCAACGGAGTGGAACAATAAACATACCTCTGTGGTGTCTGAAGGTGGGGTGAGAGTCCCAAAGAGAGGTGTCGTCAAATTTTCCCAAAACCTCTCTCTGTGTGAAGAAACATTCGGGTTAAACACAATCCATAAAGTCCTGCTGTAAATATCCTTTATTTTTCAGTCTGCGTTTAAGAGCGTACTTTTTTCGGAGGACAGAGATGGCGCTGTCTCTGCGATCCTGCCAAAGAGCGAGGAGGAAGGCCAGGGCGGCTCTGTGCAGCAGCGGGGGACACCAGTACTTCCCCTGCTGTTTGGAGTCAATCAGGTCCAACACCACATGGAGGCAGCTCCACTCCCCGAGGAGAAACTCCTGCAGGAAATAACGAATAAGAGGATTAAGTTTGGAAACAGCAAGTTAAGACAGAGTTCTTTGAGATGAGGCACATATTGTTACCTTTGACCCCTCGGTTCCATCCTTGACTTCCAGATTAAGGAAAAGCTCTATGAGTCCAGGCTGCGTCTCCACAGCAACGGTCAGGAACTCCAGTATCATCACCTTGATCCTCATGTCTTCAGTTTTACTCTGCAGACGAGTGAGAAACGCGTCCCTAATGGCTGCTGCGTCGCTGCCAAGGCAGGCGTAGACTGACATGGGAGCCACCTGTAGAAAAAACGTATGTTAAAAAAATCCCCAAAATTTTTTTTAGGACGAACCAATGAAACAGGAGAATTTATGCTGGAATTCCTTACCATGGCGAGCCGCTTCAGCAGCTGGATTGCCAAACGAGGCAGCGCCGGGTCGTGTTTGTGATAAATATACTTGGCTAGAACTACAATGAGATTGTTGCCATGGCCGCCATGTTGCGTCAGCGCCTGCTCCAGAGGGGACACGACGTCAGACGGCGGCTTCAGGCGGATGACGTTGTTGGTGACGGAGAAGGCCAGTTTGACGGTCTGGATGAGGATTTGACCGGGACCCTCGGAGCCACAGCTGGACAGAACCAGAGAGAAAATCTTACTTTTCAACTTCTCATCATGATCTTACACCCAGTCAAAAAAATATAGAAAGTTTCTGCTGAAATGTTTGACCAAAAAAAGCAGAAACAAAAGACAGAAACTGATTAATTCACCTGCTGGGCTGAGCGGCCAGGACCACATCTATGGTGTCAACTCCAACTCCCATGATATTCACGACCGCCTGACCAGCCTCAGTGTTTGCCAAGCTGTAGATGCAGAGGGACTGCAGGGTGGGAGTGCTGCGGATGGACAGAAAGGAGTAAATTAATGTTTTAAGAGGCGGTGCTAATGCTTGCTCATGATCAGGTGCAGCTAAATAAATTAAAATGACACTTTTGTTTTTGAATTAATAAACTCAAACAGGTGTATTTTTACCTGCCCTGGTCCTCCCCCTCTGGGCTCAGATTAAGGATGGCATGAATCAGCTCCAAAATGAGACAACCTGCATCGATAAAATAAAGAAAGTTTATTCATGCTGCAGAGAGCGTTTCTTCTGTTTGATAAAGGTTGATATTAAATAGTTCTCACCTATCCTCTCCCTCACTCCGTAGGTGTTGTAACGCCACTTGTGGTAGGTGGGCAGCATCTCCTTTAACACCAGCAGCACACAGGGGATCAGGCCTTTGTTCTGAGTGCTGCCGAGCTGACCCTGAAGTTCACAGAGAGAGAGAGAGAGAAAGATTGTTAGCATTAAAGCAGCAGTCAGTGCAGCACATTTACAAACAGGGATGATACTGGAGTTCATGAAGGGGAAATCTGTCACCTTAACCAGAGTCGTAATGAGACGGAGGAAGGCGATGGTCACAGCATACTCCCCCCTCGGCTGCTCAATCTGAACCAGCAGGTTGCCGTAGTTACCTGCCTTCATCCCTTCAGCACTAGAAAAAAAAAAAAGTTTTAGTCTTTGAGTTGATAGTTTTGATTTAATTCATAATAAGAATAAAGTTCAGTCTTGACTTTACCTCACACACTGAGCCATGTTCGTCAGAGGGTTGGAGGCAAAAGGGAGGAAACCTGTGTGGTGCAGACTTGACCACACCTGAAGATTTAAAGATGAGAGACACATGAAGGAGGTGTGTGAGGAGACTTTTATATATGATTCACTGGTTACTCTAAGAGTGCCGAGTATACCCCACCTTTCCAGGCATCCTTGCTGCCAGAACAGAGAGACAGTTTACACAGGAGGCGATCACGTCCACAGGAGGGTTGATGACTGATGTTAACCTGAGACGGTAAACACAGAAACAAGAAAAACGTCAAGGTTTGTTTTTAATAGAGATGTTTTTTTACTGGCGGAAGAACTGAACTGATTCGAAACACAAATTACTATCAGTGCCGAAAAATGAAGTCGATGCAGAGAAGCGAAACCCTGCAGGTTTCAGGTTCTTATCTTCAATCGCTGACATTTCCAAAACTAAATGTTTCACCAAACTCTAATATAGAATCACAGATATTTTGTTTCTAAGCCAGGAAATCTAAATTCAGTTTATTTACTAAAAATCTGCAGCTTTGCAAACTTCAAAATACACATTTGTTGTAAGAATATATGATGTGTCCTCGGAAACCCATGAGAGGAGTCACTGAGACTACATCCGTGTTTTATTACATTTATAATCTCTGTGAAGTCAGTTTACCTCTGCAGCAACATGTAGATACGAGAAGTAAGAGGCAGCAGACAGTCAGACACGGTCCAGTCTGTGCTTATGATCTTATGGACCAGATCCAGGATGGGCTTCACACGTGCACAGTGAGCTAAAACATCTAGAGAAGAAAAATTAAGAAAAAAAAAGGTATGATTTAAAACACAAACAGATTTTCTGTCTCCTTTTACGCCAAATTTCCTCTTATAGATGAGTTCATCCTGCAAACAAGTATTTTTTTTAGTTTATGTTTTAAGCCTCTCTTCTGTCATTATCAATATGATTAAATGTTTTCACTGTTACTTCACTCTCAATACTTAATGACAGTCTCTTTTTTATGTCCAGAAGACCCAAAGTAGCCTCAGATGTTAAAAAAATTTCAAGTCACTTTGATGGTTTGAGTTTTTCCATAGAATTTTTTGACCAAATATTTGCATATCGTCACTTTTATCCTTGAAGTAGTCTACAGTCTGCTTATGTGGATAAATGATTGCCTGTTCATGTTAGGCCTGAACGATATATCGTTTGACTATCGTCATCGCGATGTACGTGTGTGCGATAGTCACATCGCAGAGCCTGCGATATTGGAGGTGAATGAACTCATTTAATTTCAAGGGTAACCGACTGAGATACACTCCATGTGACTCTGCATGTGCTGTGCAGCGATCCACCAATCGCCTTCGTCCTTAACTCAGTTGCCAATCAGACTCACTTCTCAGTTGCCAATCAGACTACCCTGCCAGCTGTCAATCAAAATCAGGGAGGAGAAAACCCACCCCTGCACATGTTCTGCACATGGAGGGAGACGTGTGTCCGCTGAGAATTACTTTCGGAACTTTACTCATGACTATTAAGCCCAACAAATAAGAACTGTATGGGTTTTAAATTGTACATTTCCGTGGACCACTCTACTATAAGCGGTGCGCGTTTTGCGAGGTGCATGCAATTCTCGGAGGACATGCGTTTCTCGGCACAACACCGCTAACAACAACAACAACGATCGCAAAATGAACAACGAACAAGCGAAAACCACCGAAAATGAAGATTTGTTGCCAAAAAGAAAAGGAAAGTCAGTTATCTGGAATTATTTCGGTTAAAAGAAGGATGATGTCGACCAAAACACGTCTTCTGTGTTCACCTGTTGCCACAATAACGTCCCAGCACAATAAAAGCTAAAAATATCTCTGAGACAGACAGAAGCCGTTCTACTAACATTCACAAAAAGAGGTAAGATCAGAGCAGATTAACTGTCCTCAAGATTTCAGCAGTGCAGCATAACATTAAGTGCTGTTCAGGTCATCTGGTGAAAATACTGTATTTTTAATATCGCAATATATATCGCAGGGTTGAAAAAATCGCAATATTATTTTTTTCCAATATCGTGCAGCCTTAGTTCATGTACCTGCAGTTGAGACCACATGCAGCAGCATCTCCACTTCACATGTGAAGAGCGTCCAGGAGCTGTAGGAGTAATCCCAGCGCACCACGTAGCCCTGCTCACCTCCGATCATCACCTGACCCAGCACTCCCTGAGGCATCCACAGGTTAGTCTGACCTGCACCTGATGGTCCAGAGAACATGGTATGAATATAAAAACTCTTAAAATGTTTCTTGGTCACGCAGGTAAACGTCTCCAGAACACTAACCGAGAGGGTAGAGGAGTTTCGGTGTTTGTCTCCTCCACAGCGTCTCGTCGTCTTTGGAGATGATATCATTGGGCTTGTGTTTGTAAACTTGTGTGTAGAAGGACATCTTATCCAAAAAGTTGTAAACCTGTCAAAGAGTTAAATTTAAAGTTCTTAAATGTACATGACACAAAGAGAAGTTTGTATGCTTCAGCACATCTGTAAAATCTACCTTTTTAACGGTGGACTTGTTCGACAAAAGAGCCGTAAGAAGCTGTAACAGCGGTCCAATCTTATGAGGGAACATCCCAACTGCACTGTCCAGGATCATTCCCAAACCCATGTTGGGTTTCTAGATTAAAAAAAAGGAATAAGACACAAATTATAATAAATATCTGTTTTTTCTGTTCAGTTTATCTCCTGAGAGTATCCTCAGTTTTGCATTTTCTTACCATTTCCCAAAAGACCTCAGCCAGACTGGGAGCAGAGAGGACTTCACAGGCGGCATCGATCAGGTGGGAGCACTGTGTCGCCACACCATCAGTCTGTCACATTGCAAAGATAGCAGGTATGAGTGTAAGAGGGGAGTGTTTAATGTGTACATACATACAAACTGGACTTATTTACCTGTAAGCTCTCCTCCTCAAAAGAAGTGATCACAAAGGAGAGGAGGCCGTAGACGCACATCTTTGCTGTGCTTGCTGTGCACTGGAAAGAAAGAGTTTCAATGATGACTTTTGGTGCATCTGATGTGACAGTTTTTTACTGTGTTATTTTCAGTGAGCAATTTTGGCATTATAAGTCTCACAGAATAAATATCTTTGTAAATCTCTTAACTCTTAGGACGCTTCAATATTTTCACTCTCATCTTTAGCTCCCCTGATCAGAAACACACACTTTTCTTTGACTTGTTACAAACTTCTGTGGTTTTAAACTTCCTGTGCCTGTCGTTGTTCTCTTACATTATTCCCAGAGGATCCGAGACCTTTCAGCATGGTTGAAATATACTTGAACACCCCGAGCTGCAGGGCAGTGTTGCCTATCTTCCTGATCACGGGGCTGGTTTCATCTGGCCGCAGAGTGTGTCTCAGCAGGACCCAGGCTAGCAGCACCGGCGCGTGATGGGGGATGTCACCAAAGGTTAGCAGCAGCTGATCCATCTCCTGGAAGAACAATAGAGGGAATATGGAGATATTATGGATGCCTGAATGGGAGCCCAAATCACATTTTCCAGTTTAAAATCAATGTTAAATGAATCGTTGCTTGACTGGAGTTGAAATGTTCCTCAAAAGGCCTTGCAGCCTTGAGCCTTATTGAGTTCATTCAGCCTGTGCATGCACTACATAGTTCAGTGTAATTGCTTCAATGTCACATTATGGTCTCTTTGTCTGCTTTGTCTCTTATTAGACTATGATCTGACCTTGATCACATCAGGAGCACTGGAGAACTGATGTTGCTCTGTGCAGTCTTCCAGAGCACATTTTTGCAGAAAATCTATGTCCATTCCTTCAACCAAGATGAGCGAACTCAAATATCTGCAAGACAGAGAAACAGGTGAGGAATTAAAGACGACACAATCAAGCAATTAGCCAGATATATAAATAAGATGGATTCCAACTGCAACATGTGAAAGTTCTAGTTGAGATTTTTCAGATGATAGTTTAATTAAAGATTTCTGATTTCTATAAACTGCACACAATGCGAGCTCGTACCCGATGCGGTCCACCAGCGCGTCCATGCTTTTGTTTACCAGGTGTCTGTTTGTCTGCCGTAAACCAAAACCCTGTTCCTTAAACATCTTGGTGAAGCTCAGCAGGTCGGCTGGGCTCATTTCAAAATAGGCGTAATAAAGGAAGATGATCTCCAGCAGCAAAGCCTGTTCCCGCAGACACTGAAGGAACCACAGAGACACTTGCCTCTCGGTCTGAAAAACAAAAACAGATGTTCTAGCAGCAATAATGAGATTCAAATCAAACTGATAAAAATTTTAAAATCTATAGACAATCTGAGTGATAACTAATACTGTGAATCCAATGTGAACCAAATGATCACCATCAGGTTTCCGTGAGTTTCCCATGTTGGTGCTTCTGCTTTGAAGAGCTTCTCAAACTGTGACTGGTAGTTGCTCACCAAATCTTTCTCCAGTTTATTGACACAGTTACTGTACTCAGCCTGGACAAGAACAAACACAACCACAGTGATTTTACAAAGGGAACAACATGCAGACTTTTATTATTGACATGACTCAAATCCTTTTGCTTCCTCACCCTGTAGGGATGTCTCTCATCCTGGAAGTATGTGAGCAGGAGCAGGACACATCTGAGCAGACACATGCGCTCATTGTAGTAATAGTCAGCGATCTGTGAGTATGTATGTATGAAAAAAAGCACAATTTCTGGATTAAATATGGCAATTCATTGATTTTGAAGAACAAAAAGTACATAACAGCTGATTTATGCACTGACCTTCAGCAGAAGTGCCTGGCTTTGTCGCTCATCCTTGAGAACAACCTGTGTGGCAGACTGTATTAGCCATCATCTGAATCACAGTCATTGAAATATTGCCTCATAATCTATAATTGTTCTCTTCCTTTTTCAAATCCTCATTTTAATACCACAAAACTAACTAGGAGAATTCTAACACCATCAAAAGATACATAAGCAAGACGAGACACCTTTAATGAATCTCGGGTTCCTCTGTAGTCCTCCTGTAAGTAGCACTGTAAAAGCTGCACACTCTGCTGCTCATCCAGACCCTGTAACATTATCAAAATATGAAATCGTTATCAAATTATCCTGGCTTGGACCACCAAATGACAAACATACATTTTAAGACTTACCAATAATTTACTGATCCTCAGACCAAAATCCTTCAATGGTTGTGCAACATCTTTGTTCTCCTTCACTTTATCAGCAGAGGATGAGCTATAAAATGTAATAATGACACTTATCGTACCTCCACAGATTTTAAGAACATTTGCATTCAGGTTATTAGGCTTTAATAACTTAAACATACCTGGGTGGCTTGTAGTAACTGAGTCCTTGATGAAGCCGGTTCCAGTGTCTGTCCAGCTCTGCTTCTATCTGAGCCTGTACCCATCAAACATTACACAATAAGAACAGGAATTTAAAATAAAACACTTGATTATTTCACTTATTTGTGGTGTAACAATAACAGAAAAACAAATCTAAAGACACTTTTTATATAAAGTTGTACATCAGCGCTTAAAGCCCTTGTTAGAGGTAAAAACATCACTTTTACACAGACGAAATCCTCATATATCCTACATTCCAATCAGGAGCTTTAAATATATTTAACATGAATACATACCGGCTCTCGCAATGCAGACCTTCCCAGCAGAATGGTCCATAATTCTCGACAGCTCCTAAGAGAAGAGTAAGTGTAGTTAAGCGAAGCAATGGCTGACACATCGACTATCAGAGGAGTTGAAATGCTGTGACAGCACCAGGTGTTGGACAAAATCCAAAAGTTTGTCATATTTACAAATGAGAAACACAGTTGCTGAACATAAGTGAACATTTTATTGAATAATTGTAGATGAAAAAACATTTACTTTAGTTAATATTGCCAAAAATTAATTTTGAATATCCGTCAAACTATGTTTTTTCTCTTGCTCATTTTTGTTATTCCATTTTGTCATTACTATTACCATCATTATAATTTAATTAAGATTTTATTATCATTATTAATATTGTCTTTTTATATTTACTATCCTGTTTCCTGCTTTCTACTTGTCTTTTTATTACATTTCTTTTTCTTACCTGTTTTATGTTTTTATTTTGGTCCTCATGGTCTCATTTTTTGTTGTAGGGTTCTTGTATTATCTGGGTTTCTTATAGCAAATGAAATTGGCCTTCAACTGGAGGCCTTGTTTTTAACTGAGCTTTAGTTTTTTATTTGTTTATATTTTCATGTGCTGTATGACTGTTTGTCAAAGCACTTAGTAAACTTCTGTTTTTAAAAGTGCTATAAAAAATAAAGTTATTATGATTATTTTAAAAAAGGATGAAAACCCAGGGCTTAAATATATTTTCAATGAATTTAGGAAACATAATAGTCACGTTGGTCTTGAAAGTGCTGATGCTGGTATGATATTATTATTAAAACAACGACCCTCAGTATAATGGACCCCCACGGTCTCAACATTGTATCAAGAAGGCTGTGCCTCTTTCATATTCAGTTCACTTTGACTAATATCTCATATTCAAGGGGCACTGACTCGGCTTGTTTTTAAAGTGTTGTCTTTAGGATCTGCTTTAATGTTGTGAAAATACAGAAGAGAGTATTCCTCATTCAGCTGCTCTGAGCCTCTGTAAGTCATTGTCCTCTGACTTCAAACTCTTAAATCCTCCAGCATTTTTGACAACTAACCATTCCCGGCAACTGAAGCTGGTGTTAGGTCATTTGACATAAAGTAAGTCAAATATTCAGGGTTATAGTTTTGTGTTGTTGACATGCGGCTGGCACACTGAAGCCATTCAAATCTTTCACTGCTAACACTTGCTAAGCTAAGGTAGCGTGGTGCTATCACTCAAATAGAAGAAATATCAAACATTAATGTTATCGCTGGTAAGACTTTAAAAACATTTCACATATGTGCTCACAAACTTGTTTTTACTCTACTAACTGTTAAAATAACCTAAACGTTAGCTAAAGTTCGTTGCTATGTGCCTACCTGACACTCATCTCCGATTCCGCCATCTTCGTTCCTTCCATTTGATTGGTTGCTGAGCTGTTTCGTCATTAACGTCACAGGAACGTTCTTCTTCGACGTCTTCTGCGTACAGTTTTTTTCCTGAAGGAGGGCGCCATCACCAGGAAGAGTACCTCTTTTCATTTTAAAGTAATTTATTTAAAATAAAAATAACAGTCAGAGCGATAATTAGTTATTTTATTCAGCACACAGCGCTTGGCTCACAAAACAGGAAATCAAACAGCAGAGTTCTGCCTTCGGTACTCTACGTATCTTTCATCGTTGTATATTTTTACATTGTATATTTTAAACCATCAATTAATATAGTAAGAAATGACTCTGTATATGGCTTTTCGACAAAAAACACATTTATTTTTTATTTAAAATTGAAAAAAATAAATACATACACGAAAATCAGCCTTTAAAGAGATATTTTTATGGTTGTACCACGTGACCCGGCTGTCAAATATGGCCCCCTCCTACTGGGTGTGAGAGAAGGTACAGCTGACAAAGGAAAGGAATCTCTCTTAAAAGACGGCACCGCTTCCCTTTATGACACACTGTCTTCATTATAAGACTGCACTAATGTGGTAAGTTTGCTCGTTTTTGTAAATGTGGGTTTTATTTCCTCACCACCTTCTATTTTGTGCAGTGTGTCATTGTGCTAACTCGGTGGAGTCAGCTGTATTTTTGCCGTCGGCAGAGGTTGCAGCATCCTTGGCTCTTTTAGATGGACGCAGATATCACTTTGGTGAGGGTCAGCTGGCCCCTTTCACATGTATTAGCATAACTGTGAGAAATTACTGGAAGATTTTGTTGACAGACTTTGTGGTCAGGCGGAAAACTAAAATTACCCCAGCGTTCAACTCCACCGGATCTAAAGGTCTATCAGCTGATGCAGAAAGAGCGTTCATGTCTTCTGTGATCTCAGTCTTGTGCGTGTACATCTTAGTGGAGTTCACGCTGAGTGGGTGAATGTTCATTGCTGACATAGGTTATGAAATAGTATGACCAAGGTTCACAGTTTGGATGATAAGTAGCTCACCCAGTATGACACATAATGTAGTATTTATCACATAGGAGTTTTAAACACGATTATTTTCCTACCCTTTATGCTCATCTTAGTAGTAGCTTTACATGATATACAGATTTTTAAGAATTCTTAACTTATCTCAGACTGGTGTCTGTCAACACCCTCATTTCAGCCACTATCTATCAAGTCCCCCCCATCACTTCAGAACCCTCCTCCACTGTTGTCATGCCAAAAAGTTGTTTTTCTTTATCTTAAGTGACAAGTAAATGTGGCCATTTGTGTGTGGGGACACCCATCCGACCCATAAATTTTGGAAAGGGACAAAAAATAATCCCTAGCAACAATTGCCTTGAATGCGTAGTCTCAGCCACTGTCTTTTTACAACCCACCAGCACTCTAGAATACCCCTCTACTGCTGTCGTGCAACGAAGTAGTGTTTCTTTTTTTAATAACACATAATAAAACATTGCTACATGTTTGGGACCTCCATTTATGTCAGAAAATTATGGAAACATTTTGCTCCCTCTTGATTCTTATGTGACTTTTTTAATAAGTCACATCAGAGCAGTTTGTCGTCCCATTCAGGAATTACTCCAACGTACTTTTACCTCACAGTTCGAAACTCTCCCATGTTTAGTACTGAGACCCAACAGTTTAACTTAAAGATGTGGTAGGCAGGAATCCATTAAAGAAGCATCTTTTTTGTGGTGTATATACAAAAAAGCTTTTAATATCAGTCAATAGCTATTAGTCATTGATGAAATTTTGTAATATAATGATCCCGCTGTGTTTTGTTATGTCTGTGTAGTCAACATTTTAAATTTTTTGAGCGCTCCGCTCTTTCTGACTGTAAACAAAGCCATTCTCCGCCTCCCACAGTCTGATTAGTTGTGAGGCGGACGCTGCTCCCCCGTGTCATTCATGAGCCAAAATTATGTTAGTGTGCGACAATATCAGACAGTAGAAACCAACCAGAAAGTACAGAAAATTGTCTAAATCGTCCTTTGGCCAAGCAAGAAAACGAAGTAAATACCGGAGACTCTGGTGGAATAACGTGCACTTAAAAAGGAGGTAGACCATCCAGACAAGAGCTAAAAAAGCTGGGTCAACAATGATGGGGGACGCTTTGGGATCTTACGGACCCTGTAACCTTTCTGCTGGACAGGTAAACCACTTTAACAAAGTAAGCCAAGTGTCTGTAACAGAAGTGTTTCTTGTCAAACGGGACCTGCTGCGTGTTGTAGCGCCGCTAAACTGTTGACCTCGGGTCCTGGACTATGTCACTTTATCCTAGTTGTAGAAGTCCTGCAAACATTGTGTTTGCTGGTAGTCTGTTGGCATAGTAGTACCAATGCTATTTACTTTAAAGTTGACTGGGCTCCCTTTGTATTTATCTGCATTATATCTGAATTAAATTGGAACGATACGAGCGTCTGTTTTTGGGCGGGGCTTGCTGGAGCAGAGAAGGAGGGGAGAGGAGGAGCTGAGGGGAAAACTGGTTGGGAGGGGCAGAGTTTACATTCAAGATTTCTCCCAAAAGCTGGCACTTCCGCAGATCCTGCCTACCCCACCTTTCATTTGTAAAATACGAAAACACATGTCACACCTTAGTACAATGTCTTGAATGGACATCTCATTGTTTTTATTTTCCCCTTTTTTTGTAGATATCCTGAGAGAGTGAAAAATGCCTGCTAAATGATGAAGTGTGCCAGAGAGAGGAACTGACAGGAGAAGGCCTTCATTGTTGCAGACCATCTGTTCAGATCAACCCTCCTCCGTCCCTCCCTGCCGGCCTGCCTCCATCCACCCCGCAGCCATGCAGATCAATCCAGTTTATGTGGAGTCCTCTGTAGTTCTGGCAGTGGTGCTCTGCGTCCACATGGCAGTGTGGAACCAGCACTCATGGTGCAACATAGCCCTCTTCATCCAGGCTTTCTACGTCCAGCACAAATGGGACCGTCTGCTCAGATCAGGGGCGGCCGTTTTCCAGTTTCGTCCTTCAGCGAGCAGCGGCATCGTCCCTGCCTCCATGGTGATGCCTTTACTGGGCCTGGCACTAAGAGAAAGGTGCTCCGCCTCAGGGAATGTCTACTTCGAGCGCTTCTCCATGGTGATCACCATAACAGGCATGATGCTGGCTCTGTTTCTCTCCCTGATTGCTCTGGGAATCACAAGACCTGTGCCCACAAACACTTGTGTGATCGCAGGTCTGGCTGGCAGCGCAATACTCTACACTACCAAACAAACGCTGACAGTGTCGGAGGTCATCGAGGTCCTGGAGGTACTGCTGATCTTTGTTTATCTCAGCCTGATTGTGCTTTACCTGCTTCCACGCTGCTTCACACCTGGGGAGGCCCTTCTCGTGGTCGGAGGAATCAGTTTCATCGTCAACCAGCTTATCAAACGCTCTCTGAACTTGGCAGAGGTCAAAGGTGATCCAGTGAACTATTTCCTGCCTGTCGTGGTGGTGGGCTCGCTGCTGCTGGGAGTTTTCTTCGCCCTGCTCTTCTGCTTCATGGAGTCTGAGACCTGGGTGTCGTCACTGTTCTTCCACATGATGACAGCTGTTCTGGGTCTGGGGATCCTCATGCCATGGCTATCCCTATTCATTGGGCGACACCCCATCATGTGGCTGCTGGACTTTGCCATGTTGAATGACAAAAGACTTTGTCTGCTGGGGTACTGGGTGTTTCTGGCCGTTGTGGCGACTTGTGTTGTGTTACACCAGAACCATCAGCGACAATCGGGATCCAAGAAGCACCAGGCCTCAACAGTCGTTAGGAAGTACTTCCACCTGATTGTCGTGGCCACATTTGTCCCAGGGTTGATATACGACAGGCAGCTCCTCCATGTGGCGTCTGTGGGCTGCTTGGCAATTTTCTTGTTCCTGGAATACGTGCGTTACTTTCGGATCCGGCCACTCGGTCAGCTTCTCAGGCAGATGCTCACCTTGTTCCTGGATGAGCGGGACTCTGGGCCACTTATCCTGACCCACATCTACCTGTTGCTAGGCATGTCCCTGCCTATATGGTTGTTTCCAGGACCCTGTGCCCCTAAGGGGACACTTCCAGGTGCAGGTGGGCTGGTGCCTTATGCAGGTGTGCTGGCAGTGGGGGTTGGAGACACCGTGGCGTCTGTGTTCGGCAGCACCATGGGGGAGATCCGTTGGCCTGGGACAAAAAAAACCATGGAGGGGACTGCAACATCTGTGTTCGCCCAGATCATAGCAATAGCTATGTTTCTCATTTTTGATGGGAGCATCAACCTGAACTCCACCTACTCATGGATTGTGGGCTCCGTCACTCTAGTGGCCATGCTTGAGGCCTACACCTCCCAAATAGACAACCTCCTCCTCCCACTCTACCTCTTCATCCTGCTCTTGCTTTAGGCAGACAGATGGCACAAACAAAAACAGATCCCTCCCACTGTCCTTAGCTCTCGCTGAGGGGGGCTAAAAAAGATAAATTTGGAAAAATAAAGTGCAAGTATGTTAGTTAATGTAATAGAAGTACCTTTAAAAAAAACAGTTAAATCTTTTTTTTCTAGCACAATAAACAATGTTTAAAATCTAACAGATTAGTAAAACTGGGTACACCAAATAAAGTCTGCTTTAGGAGGCAAGAGACAGGATGTTAGCATGACTTTAGCGCCTGTTACCTTTAGATTACACATATTTTTAGCTGCTTGAGGAATGAAACAACCTTTACAGAATAAGTTGCAGAGAAACATGAATAAAAGTTGCTAAAAATTAGTCTGTATTAACCCTGGAGGAGTGCCGCTGTCTCAACTGTAAGGTACCTGACCGCCGACACCCATTCCTCCTGAATTATGCAACAGGAGATAGTTTAGCAAAGTGGAAAAACGTCCTTTAAACACTCAGAGAACCCTAGACAGAACAGACGCTGCTAACATATCTCGATCATCGGTGAGAATGATTTCCTCTTTTTCCCAGATGGATTCATGCCTTTGTATTGCCTTTGAAGAACATTCTTTAAGCCTATTGAAACATCCTTAATTGTTTTTGTGATTCGATTATTTTGCCTCCCTGATGGCAATATGAAGGACTCAACTGCTGAAAGCATTTGCCTTAAGATGTATCTTTTCTACACACATTTCACTCATGAACCACTGTTGTAAATGCTGTAGATGAAAGCATGGCAGCCCCTCTACTCTTCTTAATAAGGGCTGATTTACACTTTGCAATGGCAGAAGTCATTATGCTCATGCATGACACTAATGTGAAATACGGTACTGTAACACATACACAGGTATCCTACAGTATATGTTTTTGTTAAGTAAGTTTGCTGACTGTATATTTGCTTTTGGGACCCTTTAAGTTAGCAGTACATGTCCTGGTTATTCTGAGCCTTCAAACCCTGCAGAGTTTTGGACTCTGTTGACGAGCCCTTTATTTTTTATTTTTTGCTGCATTCAATTTTTGCTTTGAAAAAGTTATCTAATAGTGTCAGGTTGCATTTCATCGTTCTTTGATGAAAATTCACCAAAACTTGTATTCAGCATGAAATTTCAGCCTTTTGATCAATTTTCATCTTTCAAAGTTATTTATACTTCAACAGCATGATCTTTCTAGTTCGTTGTTTTTACCATCACGGTTACATTTCAGAAATGTAATATTGCATGTTCAGTGCATCAGATGAAAGGTTAATAAAGTTCAATATGTTTATAAACCCATTATGAAGCAAAATCTTCAGGACTGAGTGATTTTTCCTTGAATTCATGTTTTTTTCCAAATTTATTTTTCATTATTAGATATGATATTGTGGTACTTTATTGTTCATATGTACATGCTTTTGTTGTTATTTTTTTTTAATTTATGATGCGTCTTACAGATGAAAATACTTGAACAATTAAAAAAAACACTTGTCTGTAATAATTTGACTCTGTTATCTTATTCTGATGCAAATCAAAACAGAGAATCATGAAGATGAATATCTGTGGTTGGAGTTGCCAAATAAAAATGTATCTACAACTGTCAGATGCAGAGTGAAATATCAGTGAACAGAGATTCAAAAATCATTTTTTATTCATCAACATTTCCTGTCTATTAAAAATATTCATTTAAAAAATATTGATACATTTTTCAAGATCTAAAGCTCCAGCGAGGAACTCTTGGTTTGTGTTCATAATGGCGCCCCCCTGTGGACAAAACACTTTGCTTATTGTGCGGTCTATCTATTTAAGAAGACGATCAAATGCATCATTCATTGTGAATGTTTTGTATGTAAAATAAAGGCTGTCTTCTAGTTTATCAGCTGAAACCTCCCTCCTCACTCCAGTTTGACACCAGTATTGAAAATTACCTGAGAAAAATGGCCAATCTTGTCACTGATGGTCTAGTTTTCCATCGTATTTTATGCATCAGTATGAATTTTAGTCTATTTCACTGACGTGTAAAACTCCCTTAAGGAGCTTTAATAGTAGCTTATAGTCAAAGGTGGTGTCTTGTATGTCAAATGACAATCCATGACTAATTGCAGCATCACTTCTCTTAAAAACAGCTAAATCAAGTTGGTCTCTTTTTAGTAATTAACGTATTGTGTCTCTCTGTGAACTGCAGCTCCAGATATTAAGAACGTCCTTATTTAGGGTAAAGAGGCGGGAAAGGGAGCTCTTCAGTTGGCTGCAACCTGTAAAGACCAAACACACAGGAAAATCATAACTACATTAAAATTTTAGTCTCAGCCTCAGTGATTTTTAGACAATCACTTGAAGAGTTATAAATATATTTCTTTGTGAGCATTAGCTTACAACAGCTGGTGGTCAAACCAGACCAAGCACAGAAGAGGGAAACATCTGACTGTATGTTTATTAAAAAAAAACTGCACTCTTGTGTCTAATAAACCACAACACACAAATTCTCACCAGTTGTCTGGACTCCAGCGTGTGTCCTGAGAATCCATGATGTGGAAGGTGTAGACGTGACGGGAGTCTTCAGAGGTGTTTTCAGCGCTGCGATGCACCACCTCCCCGTGGATCAGGACTACACCACCTGACCACAATAAGATACTTGCAGACTAAAATATGCTAATTTTCTTCAAGGTATCTGATATTTAGTGATAGTGGATGAGCAATTTGTGAATTCATATCATTCAGTTGAATTTTTCTGTTACCAATAACAGACCTAAAACATTATTTCACTCAACAAAAAAAGGTCTTAAACTATTTCAAATGAGCCCAAAATGAAATTCAATTAAAAAAGAAAATAATAACAGATAACTGCTGTAATCATACTGTACATCCCCACACTGAAATACCTTTTTTAACAGGAGCGCTGACAAACTTTCCCTCGTCGTAGTCCTGCTCCCGACCAATGAAATCTGTCAATGGATAGGTGCCTTTTGGTGTTCGCACCATACGCCGGGAAATACCACCTGAGAAGAAGAGTTAGATATAATTTAGTCAGTCCAGAATTAATCCAACATACTAAAGTAAAGTAATATGGAGACAGAGTAGAAACACACATTTGACATTTTGACATTTGTTTGGAGGTGAGGACTCTGGGTAATGTAAAGTTTGATGATTCTTGAGATAACTTTTGTCATACTTTCTCTCAGCACATCCCTTTTTTGGCATCAAAAAATTAGTAAATAAAAACTAAATTGCTCAGAAAAATTAACTTCTGAAGGTTAAAAAAAAAAGATTACTAAATGCCACAGGCTTGTTTGAGAAACATTAATTTGATGTCAATTTTTCTTTATCTTACATAACAGCGGAGGAGGGCTGGTAAAAGTCCATATTAAGGTTTTTAGTATAAGCATAATTAGTAAATAAGGCCACTTCTAAGGTGCTTAAAATACACAATGTGATGATAAGTGTTAATAAAAGCATAATTAACATATTTATTCTACTAATATGACATGTTTAGGATGTTAATTCACACTAATCAAATTTTATAAGGATTTTTAAAGGTTGATGAACATATTTATTATCAGTTTCAAAGAGAGCTTATAACCAATTACAGTTGATATTTAATGAGATTTTTACCACCTTTAATATAAGTGTTTGAGCCTTTGTTAAAAGAAATTATGAACACTTATTAACACAATAAATCTTTAAACAAATTCACGTCTAACAAATTAATCTTACAAGGTCTTATCAATGGCTTATTGACTATTAGTTAATGCTAATATGTGTGGTCATTAAAGTGTAACTACGTAGTTTTCTTACAATTTTGTGATCCTGGGATGAACCACAGACAGCCGTTGTTCACAGTGGCATCTTCCAGGGCGATCCACACACCCATAACTCTGCCTAATGGCTCTGTGTACAGAAACGTGGCGTCTTGATGTGGCGTCACTAAGAAAAAAAGGAAAAATCGTCTGTGAGGATATTTAATATACGCAACATTCATCACATCAGACTCTTCGCTGATTTATGCGTTTCACTTTCAGGTCAATTTTCTCACCTTCCCCGCCAATTCCTGGTTGCTGAAGGAGAGAAAGGAGGAGAATATGTGTCTTAAACTCCTCACATACTGTCATGTCATCCACCATCATTCATGTTTAAGACAGAGATGTTTTACCTTAAATATAAACATGCTTTGCAGTATCACAGGACTTATGAGACCCAGCTTCTTAGCTATACCCTGTGAGAGAGTCACAGTTCAAGTCAGGCTGGTTATTCTTCAACTCATTTCATCTGTCTTTAATATTGTTCAACAGCTCACTCACCTGGATTTTGGGTGAATGTGTAACTTTTTTGTACAATGGCTCATAGGCATGCAGGGCTAAAAAGCAGATTAAAAAGAGGGAGTTCAGTTATGGCCTTTTGGAAATACCCTTTATATAAATGCCATAATCGAATATCTTACCATGTCCAACTTTATTAACTGAGCGCTGTCTTGGTACCATGAATTCCCCTGAAGAACAAGACAGCTTTTGTGAGTAATAACTTCACTTGAAATAGAGACAAAAACAAGGCTAAAGCAGGACGCTTGGACAGCAAACCAAAACAACAATGTCATAAAAAAGACATGGATGAAGATAAAACTGAGCATGGTAAATAAGGGTTAAATAACAGAATAAAAAAAATATATATCAGGAGCTTTTGAGAAATGATCTGAAAAGACTCCCTCACCTTTGTCATCAAAAACCCCTTTCTCAAAGAAAAAGCGGATCTTATCTCCACTGGTGATGAAATAATCTGCGTTTCCCTGCAGGTCAGAGAGTCAAAAACAGTCACATGATCCAGAAGAGACGGACACAAACCCCTGGCGCTGAGCAGACTGTTGACTTTAGAGTTTTCTATTAGCCTGAGAGGACATTTAGTGTCAGACTAGACGAATAGAAAACACTGACTATCTGTAACACTCACTCACCTGCATCTTCAGATACAATATGAAGCGAAGCATGTGAACAAAGTGTATGGAGATAAAATTACAACTCACAGTTAATGTTTCCGACCTTTCTCACTGTACAATGTTTGTTATATCACCTGTTTTTGGAGTTGGTCATCATGATAGGTGGAGAAAGTGGTGCGACAGTGTTGAGGGACGTCCATCTTGTCCACTATCTCTGCCATCCTCTGCCTCAGCTCATCACACTCTTGGGGGGTCAGCAGCCCGTCCAGAACCACGTAACCATCCTCCAAATACTGTGGGGGAGGCAGGAGAATGATTCTGGGTCAATTTGGACCAACATGCAAGGCTTTGTTTTCTCAAATATTGGCCATAAACCCAAGATAGATGCTCAGATCCAACCATGCAAGTCTTGTTTTTAAGGGATCTTGCTTTTATTAGGTTTTACAACAGCCTAAGGTTAAACGTGTGGTGCATTGAAAAGGAACGTTCAAAAAAGCTTGAGTGACAGAAGTAATACATTGCAAAATATCATTTAAATATTAGAGCTGCTCAGTTCTCTGTCATATGGAACAAAATATAATAATAATAATATTTTTTTTACAAAGTGCTTTTACAGGTGCTCAAGGACGCTTTACAAAGAAAAAACTCAATTTAAAATGCAGAAATTTTTGAGAAATAAAACCAACAATGTAAAAGGTTAAAAAAGACGCAATATGAAAAGACAAAAGAAAAATTAAAAGCTAATTTAAAAAGGTGTGTTTATAGGAGTGATTTGAAAGTATGGGGGTCTGTACAGTCTCGGGTGGGTTTGGGGAGTGAATATGCAGCCAATCCTCAAAAGCTTTATGCAGCAAAGGAAATATCAAATTGTGCATGATGGAAAAAACATATTTTTAATACTTGATTTGGTTTGCACTTTATCTGCAGGTTAATAGTTTTGCACCCTAACATCACAAAGATTGCAATTCATATAAATCTGATCTCCTTTACGCCCTTTTCTAAACCAGACAGACAGGAGGAGTAGGGCTGATCTTTCCTAAGAATCAATCATTTACATATAAACCCCCAGTAGAGGAAAAACTGGTCTGATCTGACTTCACTTAGGTGACTTCTGGCTGCAAGAGCCTGTTATGTAATAAGCTCCAAATGGACACAAACACCCTCTTTAACATTAAATAAAAATGAACAAAAACGTTTGGCTAGAGCATGTCTGAAGAGAGATTTCTCAACATAAATACACTTATGTACAAATTTAACAGAGGGGTAAAAACCGACTCAGTATGCAGACGTTTGGTATTAAAACTCCGGATAATATCTTAAATCATTACTCACTTTAACTTGATTTTTATTCAAATAAGAGTATACACAAGGCTCATACTCACCTTTTGCACATCTTGATCCGTCATAAAATCCATGGTGGTCAGCTGTACTCGGTCCAGCTCATGGGTCTGATACGATGTATATCATCCGGGTACTTCACTAAGTTCCGACCATGTGACTCGTCCCACTCAATTTAAGTCTCACCCAGAAGAAGCCGTGGCTGAAGCTCAGTCTCCTCCCTAAACCCTGAACCCTGAGCCGTCATTGACTTACCGGTCTGAACCTTGAAAGTGATCGAGTGAATGAGACTGCAAGAGCTTGAGGTACTATGAAGAGGAATGGAACAAACCTTTGTTGACAGCAATGCACCGTGCGACTTACAATTGCAGCTGTAGTTTCATGTTTCAGCGCTGAGATTTAACAGCTGAGAGTTTAGCTGGTTTGTAGGCTCTTTTCATTTTAGTGTAACTGTTAATTATCTGACTCTGTTACTCACAGAAACCTCTCTGCAGCCTCAATAGTTGGGGAGAGTGGGGTAAGTTGAGCCACCCCCTGTTGCTTGGAAATGGTAAAAGAAATTGATCATGTGACCAAATTAAAAGAGATTAAACTGTCTGTAGTGATGAGTTTAAATAGATGTCAGCTATGCTTCACTTTAAAAACTACAAATTTCTCTTGTTCTTTCAGGACTCAACACCAGACCGTCCGTGTCATACTATACAATGACATTTTAATCATACTCTACTATGACATTTTTTGAACATAGTATACTATAACATTTTTATCATACTAAACTAAGACATTTTTAATATTCTATACCAGGGGTCGGCAACCCGCGGCTCTTTCTTCCCTAAGCTGCGGCTCCCAATGGATTTGGAAAATAAATAATAAATACTTAATTGCATTTTATTTTATTTTATTATTATTTTTTTTTTGTAATTCTAAATTCAAAGATTATAATGCTCTTGTAACATTAAATAAACTATTAAGGCTGCAACAACGAATCGATTAAGTAGATTCGTCGTGACGAAAAAATCCGTTGCCAACAAATTCTGTAATCGATTCGTCGGGTCTTTATATATGTCCATGGACACCGGCGTGTAAACATCAGCAGGACGCACAGAAAAGAAACAGCCATGGCCGAGGCAGCGGCTGAGAAAAACATGGACACAACCCAACCCAAATCCCAACCTAAAACATCAGCGGTGTGGGAAAAGTTTACCAAGACTGAAAAGGAAGGCGTTCAGTGCAACATTTGCAAAGACCGTTTTGCATGGCTCGGGAGTACATCGATGATGCGTGAGCACAGGGCTCTCAAGTCTCACGCATTCCCACTTGTTCACACGCTCACACACCACACATTGTATTTCTCACGCATTTAAATGAACACGGTGATGTCCACCAATTTGCACTTCTTCAACTATGGAACTGGGGGAAATCAACTGAGTTCCTCCGAGAGTTCAGAAGCTGCGTGCCACGCACAAGCCAATCAAATAAAGTATATCTACTGAACAGCCAATCAAAAAGCAGCATTGCTGTATCCGGGTAGATTTTGATGTCTTGCGGTTTAACTACAGAAGAAGACAGACACTCGCCGAAATAGTTCATTTATTTCATAAATGCAACTCGCTACAGTTTTTTATATACTTTGTATAAAGGTTAAAAAAAAGATATATGCAATGTTATCTTCATTTTAGATGTCAAAGAGGTTTTGTGGCTCCCTGTGTTTTCTTTTCTGTGGGAAACTGGTCCAAGTGGCTCTTTGAGTGTTTAAGGTTGCCGACCCCTGTTCTATACTATGACATTTCTTAACATACTATACTATGACATTTTTTATCATACTACACAATGACATTTTTACCATACTATAAAATTACATTTTTTATCATATAATACTGTCATATTTTTCACACTACACTATCACATTGTATAACATACTATACTAGGACATTTTTATCATACTATACTTAGACTTTTTTTGAACATACTATACTGAGATATTTTATCATACGATACTATGACATATTTTATCATGCTAAACTAGCATTTTCATCACACTGTACTATGATATTTTTATATCATAATGTACTATAACATTTTTATATCATACTATACTATAACATTTTTATCATACTAAACTATGACATTTTAATCATGCTACACTATGACATTTTTTTTTTATCATATTACACTGTGACATTTTATAATCCTATAGACGGGGAGCCAGGTACACCCCACGTGTTGTTTTTTGCTACCTTTTTTCACTATTATCTCTTGTTGTCCTATACCTTGGGCCATAACAAGTTCATACTGACCGCCCCCAACTCGGCCCCAAAAAACCTTATTTTTGGGAAAAGCTTCTGGCGAAATGGTGTAATTGCAAATATTCAGGTGCTGCAACTGCATAAATGGTCAAATAAGTCTGAAATTTTGCATGGTGTATCCTAACACATAGGGGAAACTACCAGAATAATAATCTGGGGCTTACTACCATTGCCAAATATCACCCTCTGAATACCCCAAAAGACCAAAAAATGTCTGTCCGCCTAACAAATTGTCATCAAAAGTGATCATTTTAAAGTATTTTCTTATACATCTCACTGCCTACCATGGATATGGAAAACTTCCCACATTTATAAGCTTCAATTTAAGTCCAAGCTGACATTTCTATCTGGAAAATTACAGGTGCTATGACCAAAGTACTTCACTGTACCCCAAATTGGAGAAACCTAACAATTCCAGAATCACCATTCCAAATGGGATTAAGCACATTTCTGAATCTAAATCAAACCTTAAACAATATTTGAAACATGAGTTATGTAGTACTACACTATCTGAAGTGAATTACATAAAATGATTAATGGTATGCCCCCAGGTGGACCAGGGTATCAAGGTCCAACATTAATCATGATCACACCAAATCAGGGAACCAAATAGGAGATTTATTAAAGAACAAGATCCGGATAAGGAATAAAAATGACTTGTGAACATTTCTTCTTCTATAGGTCAAGATATCATCAAGTGAAATCAACAACTCTGTTCCCACAACTTCAATTAACTGTCAATCTACACACTTAAATCCTGCTTGATAGATAATAAGTTTGCATTAAAATCATTTAACAGATAAAATTGTGACAAATTTTAGTATAAAATTTCAAAGCTGCCTTACCTCTGACCAGGACCGGATTATGGAGGGTCTGGGCCCCGGGGCCAGGAGTTTACTTCAACTACTATTGCTACTATTTCTACTTTCTCTACTGCTACTACTACGTCTACCACTAGCTCTACTACTTTGACTTCTCCTATTCTCAAACTATTTGTACTGCTTACATGACTACTAATATCACTACATGACTACTAATATCACTACTATGACTACTTATCATACTACCACTAGAACAACAAATTAACTTATGCCGCTTCTCACCTTCCTGCTTTTTAAGGTGATTTACTTCTCCATTCAAACTTTGTGCAATTTCAGTCATTTTTCTGGCCTCTTTCAGCATTAATAAATTTTCAATTCATGGCGCATATTCATACTGTTTGTCCTTCAACCATGTTCACAATTATTCAACTTATATTTCTTTTTCACCCCTTCAACAGCTTTTACATTAATATCTTTCTCCATGTTTTATTAGCAGCTTAGCATTGCTTTTTCAGCTTTCAGCACTCAGCATTTCCACGCATTTTCTGCAAGGAAATGCAATTTTTCTAGTTACACTTAGACTTCCAGATTTGTTCACTGAAAATACAGTAGCCCTTACAATGGCTTTAAGTCTAGTTAAGGTACACTATTATTACAAGACAATACAATACAATACAATACAATGTAAATGTCAATGAGCTTTTTAATAGGGTGTTGGATGCTAAATCTGATAGTCTAGGAAAGATTTTAATGTAAGAATGTTGTTAGGAGTTTCGATAAATGGATTTAACAATATTGGATTTTCACTTAAACTATCAAAATTTCTGCCATGTGAGGAGTTTCGATAGAAGCAATGCCAAGTGTAATGTGGGAGTGTTGTATGGATATTGGATTTTCACTTGGACTTCACTTTGTTGGCATTGGTGTGTACAGTACACCCCTTTACAGTGGGGACATAAGGAAGCGAAATCTGCAAAGTGAAGCAGGGCGAAACTCAGTGTTCTGAAGGTGAATATCTACCAGTCTACTACTCTCCTCGAAGTAACTATAGGTTATAATGACACGTGAATCTGCTGTGTATTGTGACTGGACCACGCGCGATAAATTTGCGTGGAGTTGGAGATTTCTGAACTTTTGGACGTGTCGCAATGACAGTTTCGATGCACTCCAAGGACCATGTCGTATTGTGTACACACAATACTGTGCGGGAGCGAAATCACTTCTCATAGAAAATAGGTCCAGCTTCTACTAGCTGTCTACTGGGGCCAGCGTTAGGCCCAGGATATGCTTGCCGTGTGCACATTTCATGCCTGAATGCGTTGCCATGCGTATTTTATGTCCATGTTACGCGTAATAGCACACCTGAACACAAGGTATTCAGACATGTGCGCATGTTGCAATATTGACACAACCGCGAGGGGCGATCTTCCGAACTTCCATGTTTAGCTCGTGGTAGAGTCAAACAATGGTGGAAAATATTAATGAGAGCCCGGTTGGCTATCTGCCCCCTACATGAAACCGCCAGTATCCAATGGTGCCAATTTAGCGACTTTGTCGCTAGATTTAGCGACTTTTGGCCGTCTCTGGCGACTAAAACCTCATCTAGCGACTTAGCGGCTTTTTAGATGAATCTGGCGACTTTAAAAAACACATCTCTCGAGTGTCAAAACCATTGTTTTTCAATGTAACTTGAGCTCTGCATCGCCACCAGAAGCCTATTGCATGGTTAAGCAGCACTGCGCATTAGCCCCGTTCTCTGTAAACTGTACCCTTTGGGATTGTCAACATAGCCATGTAGACACATTTTCTTGAGCTCAGTGAGTCGTGTCTGATGTTATGACATCATAGTAACGTCATGACGTAATCTAACGACTTTTCAGAGAACCAATAGCGACTTTGGGTGATTTGTTTTTGGCAAGACTACCAGTATCGTGCGTATTGCTCTCATCGTTCTGCTGCAAGTATGTGCGGTTGCGCACGTAAATTAAGTCACACAGCTAGCATATCCTCGGTCTTAGGGCTCACTGAAAGGACTTTCATTCAAAACCCTTGGTAAATCAGAGGCCCTTTAAGAACATTTGTAATAAGAGGGCTCTCTTAACAGAATGCTTTCCCATTAGGGCTCTCCCTAGGGCCCCCACATAGCCAGAAGTCACGACCCTTAGCAGGGGCTTTCATAATCATAGGGCCCTCTGAAAGCATTCCCCCCTACTTCCTTGAACCCCTAGTTGGTAAACATTAGGGCTCCCTTAGGAGTATTCACGAGAGGCACTACAGCAGGGCCAGCCCAGGGGCCCTCTGCCTGCCATCCCCCAAAGCCCAGGGGCCCTCTGATTGCCGTCCCTGTCCCCCCCGCCCAATTCATATCACCCTTCTCTCTCGGTTCTCTTCAGATATGCCCTATAACAGTGTGAGTAGTCATAAGATCCTAGAGAATAGAGGCCCTCTGACATTGCAATTGGCATCAGCATCTACATCGCTTTGGGCCCCTGGGCGCCGGCCCCACTGGCCCGGTCCGTAATACGGCCCTACCTCTGAGGGCCACATAATTTTTCCCTTCTCTGATGGGGGGGCCGGGGTCAGTTTGTAACAGAAAAAGTGTGACGATCACAGGGGTGACTAAACGTAAACATTTATTGTTTTCCAGAAAGCCACACATAACCAATTAATAACCCTTTCTGGGATCTTCACAAAAAAAAAAGTCTCACGGCATTTAAGACATCTTTCTTCTTGGGACACACCTCCTCCATAACAGCATTAAAACATTTCTTAACAAACTCTCCATCTGTGAAAGGTTTACCACTGCTTGCTATCAGTTGAGCAATCCTAAAGCTAGCCTGAACAGATGACTGGTCCAGCTGAGCTTGGCGTACAAATGTATTCTACTGAGCTAACGGTCCACTTTTAGCTTTGAGAGTTTGTCTGCTCGCATTTGGCCTTGCAAGCTATCATACTTGTCTTTGTGACGGGATTCATAGTGTCGGCGCAGATAGCATTCTTTAAATACTGCCACTGCCTCTTGACAGATGAGACAAACAGCCTTTTCTTTGCATTGAACAAAAAAAAAAATCATTTGTCCGCTGCAGGTTAAATACCCTGCAGTGTGAATCAATTTTTCTCTTACCAAACCTTTTCACCATTATTCTGACCTATTTGACAGAGGCCAGTCTAGGATTTTTTTTCTGGGCGGGGGGTTTCAGATAGGGGCAAAAACTGCAAAAGGGTAGAATAGAATGTCATGTTCTATGCATGTATTAATCTTGATCGCGTAGTCAGACTGAAAAAAATCATAATGCGTCTCTGATATTGTTCAGGGGGCCAGGCCAAATGTGGAGAAGGGCCGTAGTTTGGGGACCACTGCCCTAACCCAAACTCAATTAAATGAAGTTAACCAGCTTTAATCTGGGTTAAAGTAATTTATTTAATGGCGGTGGATAACTTTGAAAGAGTTTCGGGGTCAGATACGTTATTTTCTTCAACAGCCAAGGAAGATCCTTGGTGATGCCTTTGGTTTGTGGGTTTAGTGTTTTTATTTTCTTTAAAGCGCCTGTGAGGGTTAGGGTTAGGATTATGGTTAGGATTTTTGTGACATTTCTGAAATACACTCAATCTCCTATTTAATTGATACACAGAATTAAACAGAACCATCAGTGACAACATTTGTAAGTTTTAGACCCTTATTTTTATTGTCTAAAATTGGTGCGGGGTTGGGGGGCAAGCCCTGCATTTGACCATTTCCACAAAAAAAAAAATCCCAATAAGTACTACATTTGACTGTCAAAAGTCAACAGGATGAAATGTGTTGAGGCATGTAGTGGACACGATAATTGAAAACTGC